AGACACTAGAGATTTCAATTCGATTGAGACTTCTGGCGTATTTCGCCGAACATAACTCATTAGAAATTAGAGTAAAAACAGAAACTATTGAATGTAAATCAGTTTATATACATTCATATTACATTATTATGTGCGTTGCGACCCATTTGTGTCAATTTCTAGATCCCAAATATTAGCGATTTAGCTCCTTTAAACCACATTTCATTTCATTTCACATGTAAACCATATCAGTGAAAAAAAAACAAAACACTTTAGATTTGGTTGTCTTCTGATCCCAAACTTGGGGTAAATTGTGTCAACAATACTTGCTTAAAATTTATAAAGCTTAGAGGTTGCTGTTTCTCAGTATGTCAGTGTATTTATCAATTTCATCTGCTGTTTCTGAATTATATCCTTAGCCTGTTGGTGAGAGACTGAAATACAAATTTTGAATACAGCCTTTTGGTAAAATCATTGTGAACACAGCCTTAGTCTTAGTACTATCATACACTAGGAACTTTCAGATCAAAATTGGACATGGACTTTGTCTAGTCTATGGAATCTTTGCATAGACATGTACATGTAGTGAACATCCGGTAGTGTGACAGAGTATAAAACATCTGGTAAGGTGGACAGAGGCTAAAACACCTGGTAAGTTGGACAGAGTCTGAAATACCTGGTATGGTGGAAAAAGTATAAAACATCTGGTAAAGCGGACATACATGTAGTCTAACATCACTTTGCTTCTTTATATCTAAAGCATTTGCATTCATTGTGTACACCAATTGAATTTGTATTTGTACATAAGTCTGAATGTGAACACAGCCTTAGTCTTCTCTTATCACATGTGCATATACATTATATACAGACATGTTTTAACTGTAACAGGTTTATTGATGCTGTAAAAGGATATGATATCTGATTAATACATCAAGGATAAAGTCAACTATAGACTGATGTTATCTTATTAATCAGGCTTGGTTTAACTTGATTTATTCTACAATACTACCACATGTCTTAACTTGATTTATTCTAACATTATTTCCATCGGCAGGCTATACAATAACAAAAACAACAGTATACATGTACCGCAAAGTAAAGAAAACACATATTTCAGTATGTAAAATATTTTCTTTCTAAATTGTATGTCACAGTACTCCTTAGTGAATTTATGGTTATTACTTGAAATTATTTCACTCATGCGGAACAAGTTAAAGTCTGGAGTTACAGTTGTTAAAATCTGAATATATGAGATTATGAATAATGATACTAGTATTTTAATTATTTGAGCGGTCACTTTAAACCATGAATTAAATCAACCCTCATCGTACCTTTTTTTGGTTGAGATACACTGTACGTGTACATGTATGATCTTTGATTGATAAAGAGGGAGGGTGGGGGGTGGAGTATAGTAAAAGGTCTAGAATGCTGTAGATCAAGTACTGGTACATGTAAATAGGTCTATTACTTGTACAGATATATATATATATATGTATTGTTTCTCTCTATAATACATTGTAGCTTCTGTCTTCCACATGATTATATCACAAGTTTGTCTTTCATGTACAACATGTACCTTAAGAGCAGGCATGGAAATAATGATGTACCTGGCATCAATTGAACTAATCTTTGTTGGACAGAGCACCAGACGGGTACTTTGTCTTATACCGCCAGATTTGGTACCTGACTTATCTCTGACAGGTGCCTAATTTCCAGGATTGCTAAAGAGGTGTTTAAGCTATTCTCACCTTGTGTTTGCCACTCTCAAACTTTCTCTTTAAATCTGAGTGTTTTAATGTACCCATGTAAGATATTTAACACCTTTTACTGTTATATAGTGGTTATAATAACAGGTTCTACCTGTTACTATATCTGGTATAATAATACCTATTGTATACTTGTAGTGGGCAGTATTTAACTAGTCTTGTAGTGACATACATTTTATAGACAGGACTACTCTATAAATAACATAGTGGACACTCTTATTGTTGGCTATGATATGTGTTCTTGGTTGAACAGTTTCAAGAGACAGTAGTTTGTTCATCAACAATATACATTTGTATCCTTTAGTTCAGGGCTTTAACTTCAATATTTTACCAGCCGGTCTATTTTTTTATGAATTTTGTTACCTCAGATTAGCAAGATATTTTTTATCCAAAGACTTAATTGTAAAGGCAGGGAACTGGGTATGTCAATGTAAAAACTTAACTCTACTAGGAACAAATGCCAACATACACATATATGCATGTATGACATTGCGCGTCCTTTATATAGGTGACTGTGAGGACAGTAATTATTACAAGGTTTCTGTGGTTTCATAGATGTGGATCAGCCTAAAATATTACTGTATATACTACAATCAATAGATTTATGAATGTTTGAATATTTTAATCACTAATAGATCTACAAGAACACTTTTATACATTGTACACTACATGCATAATCTCTTCTGTTAATATACAGGAATAATGAGTTGTTACATCCTGAAAAGGACACAGTTATAGACTGTGTATCATCACCTGATTTCTATCTGTAAAAGACTTTGTAGTTGTTTAAACATCTGTCTCAAGGGATATTTGTTATTCTTTTATGTTTAGATTGGGAATTTCTATTCTATTCATTCCTGTTTGTTTGATAAGCAAGCGTGTAATTGTCTGTTGTTAATTGGTATACTGTATGAGTTACATTGTATCTGAACAGGAACTGATAGTTTTAATAGACCCATGAATTTTTTAAATATTATTCATGTAGAGATGTACATGTATTATTACAGTATAAAGATGTACTGTGCCCTGTCCAACTGTGCTATACTTGTATTTACGTTTTGTCTCGGTCTTGTCGGACCTTGTGTTTTTGTTCCATCTCAAGGACTAGCCACTGTTTTTTGCCAGACCCTCTCCGTCCTGCTCCATTGATAAGGGGTAACCAGGCTGGAAAAATTGAATATCTATAAAATTGTACATTGAGGTATTGAATGTACACATAGTTACATGTAAAACATGTAGTTTGGGTTAGGTGTATATGTAGAAAAGGGGGATCTCAACTGTCTTTGTCAGCGCTTTCTACCAAATCAATTACTGGTACATGTAAATGTTTGTTTAGATATAACCAAAGCAACTGTTAAAGAGACATAGTTAATTTCATTTCAAATGTTTAGAAAAGTTATGACCTTGTTCTGAAAATATAATCTATATATATATTTGTGACTGTCGTTTGTCTGTCTGTCTGTCTGTCTGTTCGGGGTTGGCGGCTACACTAGGTCTGCCCCGAGTCTGGAAATTTGGGGTATGGTATAGGGGTAGCTCGGACCGGGGAGTAACATAGACCAGGTGGCGTTAGTCTACCACTTCCGGTTTCGGAGTTATGACCCCCGGACGAAGTCTGTCTGTTCGGGGTTGGCGGCTACACTAGGTCTGCTCCGAGTCTGAAATTTGGGGTATAGGGGTAACTCGGACCGGGGAGTAACATAGGCCAGGTGGCGTTAGTCTACCACTTCCGGTTTTGGAGTTATGACCCCCGAGCGAAGCCTGTCTGTTCGGGTTGGCGGCTACACTATGTCTGCCCCGAGTCTGAAATTTGGGGTATAGGGGAAGCTCGGACCGGGGAGTAACAGAGGCCAGGTGGCGTTAGTCTACCACTTCCGGTTTCGGAGTTATGACCCCTGAGCGAAGCCGGTCTGTTCGGGGTTGGCGGCTACACTAGGTCTGCCCCGAGTCTGAAATTTGGGGTATAGGGGTAGCTCGGACCGGGGAGTAACATAGACCAGGTGGCGTTAGTCTACCACTTCTGGTTTCAGAGTTATGACCCCCGAGCGAAGCCGGGTATCCTGCTAGTGAGATATAAGAGATTCATCGTTTACTGATACACCTACATATACATGTGATATATACATTGTACATGTATCTTGTAGGTCTTGATCTGAAGAAATAAGGAATTATAGATGTTCTAAATGCAATGTATGGGTAGTAGCCACACTTCACTATGTTCCTATTGGTTGTTCATCTCTCTTTGTAATGAACCAAATGAATAGGCTACTCAAATTATCAGGAAGAGTAGAATATTATAAGACCTGATGAATAAAGTCTATTCAAGTCAAGGGTTACCAGTAATCAATATAATGGACTTCTATCAGCAGCCAAAACTAGACTATACAAAATACATGACCACTTAATGGTAGCTTGTATCAATATTGACTCGGTCAAATACTTAATACTTTCTGACTCCCACTTGCTTTGAAAACACAATTTACCTTGTTGTTTTTAGTTAATTTGATTGTTTCATGGTAATAAGTTACACTATTGTTGGTCGCCAGCTTTATCTACTTCAATTGTTTCTGGGGTTAATGGTGTTATCATATTCTTAATTAACCTAATTCTTTTGAAGATCCACAATCATTTTTACTGTTTTATTGCTCTCTGATGTAAAAATGCAAGAAGAAACTGGCATCTTCTGTATGTCTCTTCACCATGTTAACACATTATGAGAGAAAAGGCGCAATGAGCATTACTTGTGTTATACGTGCAATATACATGTTTATTTTATGATCAGTAGTGGAATACCGCGTTTTATCAGTGAAATAAAAGTGTTATTCCACTGGCAAAGTAGTCCATGTTGTTTTTACCTAAAATGATTGTAAAATCATAAAATAAATAGAACATTTGTCGCTTTGTCGTGAATAACATATTTTATTTCATCTCTAAGTTTTCTTGCTTCTCGATGAAATAAAATATGTTATTCACTCTAAAAGGACAAATATCCTCTATATATCTACCAAATCTACTGAAATTGTTTTGTTGCAGATTTTTTTTGGCCCAAACCAAAGAATCTTTTCAGATCAATTAAGGCAAACTTGTTAGACTTTTATTGTTATGTAAATGTAAAAGCTATAAAAAAACAACGTTTTAAAACATAACTGTGTCCTGAAAGTTTTGAAATCTGGCCACTATGAAATACATAATCACTGTCCTATCTTAAATTGTTAAATTTTTTGCCAATGCATATAGTTATGTTTATATTTTCAGATTATTAGTGGGAGCACCAAAAGCTGATGTACCAGAAATTAATGTCAAACGTGGTGGCGCCATATTTAAGTGCCCTTCAGGAACAACTTTTGAGAATGACTGTCAAAGACAATCGGCAGAGCCTTTCAGTATGTACATGTAAATCTATTAACTCCTAGTCCTAATTAACATGTACCTAAAACTTACGTCTTTCTTTCTAGAGAAAAAGGTTCATTTTGTTCCGATAACTTGAAATAGGAATTTGGGTTCTGCAAATCAAGACTTGCCAAACTTATTTATAACTGGAAGTACTGTATCATATTTCTTATAAGAAGTAAAAATAAAGTTTTAGACTGAGAGTGATTAGTACATATATAACAAAAGAAATCCAGTGATGTCATTGGGCATTTTTGACAAATACATGTATATTTGATAAAGAGGTCAAAGGTTGTCATTCGTAATATGCCCATGGATATTTCTGAAATTGATGGTTTCATGATGATATGTTTAGATTGTCCGCAAAAAAAGTGTTTGTGAAGTTTGTTTTCCAAGCAGCATGTTTATCCTGCATATTTGGTTACTGTTATTTCTTCTAATTGTTATCTATACATGTAAATGAACAGTAACAGTCCAACCAAGCCTTTAAATTAAAAAAACATGTTTGCAGATGTCCCACCTAGTGATGTGGAAGAGATGGAAGACCAATGGTTAGGGGTAGTTCTGCAAAGTCAGGGGGCTGGCAAAAAAATTTTAGTAAGTTTACATTTAACATATTATATCTTCTTCATATCTACAGACTGTTGAATAAAACAGAAAGATTGAACTTGTGATAGGCCCTACACAGATGGGGAACCAAACACACCAATTCTAAATTATATATGGTTTAATGGTCAAGAGCGAGACATTAAGTAATATATTGATACTGCACGAGGCATTAGCCAAGTGTTGTTTCAATATATTACGCAATGTCTTTAGCTCGAGACCATTAAACAACTTAAAATACAGACACAGTCCCGCACATGCTTTTCAATGAAATAAGTCACGCGAGTCCAATATTTCATCTAGTATAGATAATGTACGATTGGCAAGTTGCCGTACCAGTATTGGAAATAATGGTACGCCAACATAAAAGGACGACGTCACATCTGTATTTTAAATAAAACAAAAGATAAATAAAGTCATTAAATGTCTTATTTCATGTTTATTGAAGCTTACCATGTGTCTGAGATTCAGAATTCACAGAATTAAAAATATTCTGGGGGAGTGGAGCATGTACCTGTACCCCAATTACACTTGTACTGTTGAACACCATCACCAAGGTGTGACTGGTTGAAGTTTGTAATTACCTTGTCAGCACGACTGGTGAATGTAGAAATTTATAATTACCTTGCCGGCATGACTGATGAATGTAGAAGTTTGTATTGTAATTACCTTTCCTGCACGACTGGTGAATGTAGAATTACCTTGCCGGCATGACTGGTGAATGTAGAAGTTTGTAATTATCTTGCTGACATGACTATTGATGGATTATGTTTAATTCTATTGTCATAGCTCTATTCAGTGTTAATTTTTAAATATTTTGTTTATTTGCAGACATGTGGTCATCGGTACCGTAGAAAAGAGAATGGTATTGGTGTATGTTATACGTTATATCAAGGTCTTGATTATCAAGCTCCATGGCGACCGTGTATGGGACGCCCAGACAGCCATGATCATGAACAATTTGGATTATGTCAGTCTGGTCTCAGTAGTCTGTTGACTGAGGTATTCATTCATATTAATTCTATGCTTGAATTTACCCTAATATAATGTCCATTTTAGCTAGAATTTTGGGGTATGTGTGTATTTCATGAGAGTATACTCTCATTGCCTCTTATTTTAAACTAAGAAGGAAGCTTATCGAAATAAAAGCCTCACATTTATTTTACACAGATTTATTTCTATTGATCATGAAAATTTTAAAACCAGCATTCAAATAGTTGATTTGTTTCATTAAAGAAATATGAGAGATTCATGTATCCCAGATGTAATTTAGTGACACCAATAACCATAGATGCACCCTTTGTTTGATTTCTGCTATTTTGTATTCAGTATAAACTACATGTATGACATATATAAAGATGAAATATGTGCAGGCTATTTGTAGAATTGTTTTATTATGACAATAGAACAGGTTACTCTCAATCTGTAATGATAGCTGTATTATATCTTATAAACAATAGAAACTAATGACATGTATTATTTTTATTATTATAGGATGATGGTTTAGTTATTGGTGCCCCTGGGTCAACATATTGGAGAGGTGTGTATTTTATCAATGATAAATTTTATAATCTTTTACAACATATGAATGAGCACCTTTCAGTTCAATAGTTATTGTTTAGGAAGAATTACAGAATTTGTATACACCCACAAACCTTGTAAATGTTTTACATGTAATATTTGTTTTATCAAACTTGCTTGGATTGTTTGTTCAGGCCTCGGGAGGAATTCTATCATTATTCGTTTAGGCCTGTGGAGGAACCTTATCAAATTCTGACTTTCCCATCAATTTATTGAGTAGTTTTTGCTCTAGAACACCACTATTTACATGTATTATGTTGGTGGTGTTGGCCTGTATGCATTGCCTGGCAGCGCTATGTTTTCTAACACTACACCTGACATAGTGTGGTATTGTGGTGTATAGGTCACAAGATGGCCTGGATTGTTTATGACAATAAGAAGGGCTAATTAAAAAAAAGCCATTTTACATTTCACTCCATCCAAGAATTCCATCTAGGATCAAATTATTGTTTTGCTGGAACACAGTTTCAGCATGAGAAGAAGATTACTATTATTCAGATCGTCTTGTGTAATTTTATAGACTTTACTTGTAAACATGTTAAATGATGATTAGCCCTTTGAGATTTTAACAAAGGTATCTGAACTTCAATGTTATGATAATCAGGGCTGGGGTGATGGTAATGGGTTATAATGTGTTTTATATTTGTAGGTGTTGTATTTCGATCAAATATCAGTGAGGAACTGGGTGTTGACAAGAATTGGTATAAATCACCTATACCAGTAGAAGAAGGTTCAGAAAGTAATACCCAAGCTCCACCTGTAGATAAATATGCTTATCTAGGTATAGTTAATTATCATATTTATCATATTAACTAACAGAATTATACTGTATAAATTGAGATTCAATGAAAATGGAGCACTTTTATCAATGGATAATTTTAAATCTTGATTGAGAGATATACTTTCATCTTGCTGTTTTGACGACAAGATGTAAGAATGATGTTTGCGAAAATGACCCACAAACCAGTTCTCTCACATAAAAAAAAATCTGAAATGAAATGAAATGGGGTTTAATGTCCTTTGGTTCTGCTGCGAACTGGGCTAATGAAGACAGGCATACGCGATACAGTGTGCTGAAGGAAATTTTGCCCAGACAGCGGCACTATGGCCTACTCTTATATCAAATTCCAACTGTCAAGGGATCTTTTACGTGCACGTCAATGTGTACATGGGACCTCGGTTTTTCGTCCCATCCGAACGACTAGACAGCTATCTTTGTCAGGCCCTCCGTCCTGCATCACTGACAAGGGGAACCACGCCGGAAAATCGGTATGAACTTTCTCGGCCAATGCAGGGATCGAACACCCGACCTCCAGGCTAGCAAGCCAGCATCTTACCCACTTAGCCACTGCACTCACAGTATAATATAATGTAGTGATTATTATCCATAGAACTGTGTTGTGTTATATTACGATCATCTGTTCCATTGCTAAGGATTATGTGATGAAATGCAAATATGTGAGAAAAGAATTAGGCATACCCATTTGTGCAATAACGTTAAGATTACAATTTTTTAGTGTACCTCCAAAACTACATGTACCTCAGCTTTGCATCAAAAGTTAAGACCAAATAAAAAATAATCTGGTTCTCAAATACTCCTGTGTCACTCATAAAGAGCCATATTACTGCATGTTAGTAGTTTCCCTGGGTTACGGGAAGTAAGCATATAAAAAATTTTGGAAATGTAGGCAAATATGCAAGAATGCAAATCATAAATGTTACTGACAATCATAAATGATGCTGGATAGTCATACATTAAACAAAGTAAGGAGATAAATGTAGTGCCTTGTAATGTTTATAAGAACTGAAGTCATTTACCTCAGAAGTGACAAAATAAAAACACGAAAACAAAAACCTCCCTCACTCCCACCCTCATCATAGATTTAAGAAGGATTGTCTGACAACCAGAATATTGTTTTGTATGGCCTAAGCTAGACTTGATATCTTCATCTGAAAGGGATATATAGGTAATCGAGACATTAAAGCATATTCTATTTTATTATGTTTGACTAATATTGGTTTAATTTTAGGTTATTCAGTAACTTCTGGAATATTTGATCAAACTAAAGAAAGATATTATGTATCTGGTGCTCCACGATCTCTACAAACAGGGGAGGTAATCTTCTTTACCAAGAGTACAGCAGATGGCAGTTTAAGATATGCTGAAAACCAGAAACTTAAAGGAACGAAAAATTTTGCAGCGTTTGGTTATTCTCTTTTATCTGTAGACATAAATAATGACAAGTAAGTATGTAGCTCAGATGAAAAATTTGTATAGCAGTATCCAGATTCAGTGAAAAAAGTGAACAAATATCCATACTGATACCCAGTGGAAAAGTATTTATACGTGAGAACAAATAAGTATATACCTTGATACCCAATGAAATTCTATGATAAAATAATCAAAGTTGTAGGCAAGGAACAAATATTCAAACCAGGTTAAGTGAAAAATTATCTGTTTTGGCATCGTGAAAAAATATCTGTTTTGGCATCGTGAAAAAATATCCATACAAGCATCCAAATTAGGAGTAACAGTTTTCTTGCAAGTGGACCTCTAGGGTAAACCCTGTCGATATCGATTGAGGCCCAATGAATAAATATCTATTCATAAGATCAAGTAAATGGATATTGAATTCAGTAACTACTTTTACCTGAACCATTGAGGTCAATTGAAAACAAAGAATATGGCTATTAGCACTGAATGAATATAACAATGTCTGGTGGGGAAAAATGTGGACACAGATTTCTTGATGGTTTGAATTTCTAGAAGAATGGACAGAAATACAACTATATAAGCACACAATCACCCTTGGGGCCATTATTTATTTACTGTATTATATGAAATGAATAAAGCAAGGTTTTTCCTGAATCTTGATAATCTTAGAGCAGAAAGTAGTTTGGGAAAAAATAACTTCAAATTTCAATTTTTCATTCATTGTTTTTTTTTAACAGGTATGATGATTTAATAGTTGGAGCACCATTTTATCACAGTAAAAATGTAGGAGGAGCTATTTATATCTATCTTGGTGGAGGAAGTATGGTGAGTTGTTACGTATTTGTTAACTAAGCATGGGATGACTTCATGCAGATTAGGTAACCATTAGATTAGTGTTATATCAGTTTCAATAGTTGCTGATGAATTGCACTGAGAAAGAACAAACCCTAGTAGTGTTTTTCACCAAAAGTTAGGACGTCATGTTAACATTATGACATCATATTAAAAGTTTAATTTAGTTAGATTTAAATCTAATCCCCGTTGTTTTATTTTTGCTTAGATCAACAATCTACAGACGCCTACTGAAATATTGAGTCGAAATATGAATGATGCTGAATGTAAGCTACTACAGTGTGAACATGCTAGATTTGGTCTCAGTTTTACTCGTCTTGGTGATATAAATATCGATGGATTTCAAGGTACTATATTAAATTGCTCACAGATTCTCCTATAACAGTTCTAAATGGATTAAGGGAAATAACTCTTAATACTGAATAATTTGGCTTCACATTAGACTGAGCCTGCTTTTATCCTAAAGAGAAAAAAAATAAAGAGTTTATCGCAAACACAAGCTCCTCGTTAAGCTTAGATGTATGTGATGTACCTATTTTGAAGCAGAAGGAGTTCTATCAATATATGTATCGTCACAGGTTACCGTTAACAGGGGTCTAAATTCGGGAAATTGGAACGAAGGCATTTTTTTCAAAAAATGCCACAGTAATTCCTTCTTCACAACGGCAGTTTTTATGCACACTAAGGCAAAGCTTTTAATTTACTTTCGTCACTATCGCATTTTTTAAACTGGAAAACTTTGATAAAGGTTATGAATAATAAATGCACGTAAACTATAAACGTTTTAATGTTTTCGTTCATAATGTCTATTCAGACACATCATCATTATTACATAATTAGTCCAGAATTCGGTCACCACAAACACCCTTAAATTGTTTAGGGCTTTATGTACACCGCAGTCCAGATGAATAGCATAATACATGTATGAATCCGTTTTATTTCTTTGAAATCAGAAGGCCCACGAATCTGCTTTGGCTCAGCGACACAAAGATTCGTGCACCAATCTATTTTTAGCTGTGGTTCGAGATCTAACTCGATAGAAAATGCAGTCACGAGAACTCGAGAAAGAGACAAAACAATAAATTCCTACTTTCCATTATGCCGTGGATTACGCAGGTATACAACGGCGATTTCAGTGTCAACATCAGCAAATTGCCGTCGTGATATTCTTAAATGAATTACCACGGCTAAAGATGCCGTAGTCATAATTTATTTTCTACGGCAAATTCACTAAATACTACGGCAATTGCCGCGGGTGCCGTCGTGAATTTTGACCACTGCGTTAATGTTTAGGAGGAATGATAACAGAGGCGATGGATTTACATGGTGAACCTCATACACATTGCTCCATGTATGGTTGAAGGCATTGGGGAAAAGAAGAGAAGAGATTTAATATTAGAGTCATTAGAGAAATCTATGATGACTTGAGATCAAATGCTCGCCCCAAAAGTTTTAAATTCTTAACATAATAGTTTGATATTTTATTAAACTTTTATAGATTTTGCTGTTGGTGCTCCATATGAAGGTAATGGGACTGTTTATATTTACCATGGTAACAAAGAGGGGAAGATAACTAATTATGCTCAGGTTGGTCAATATTCTGATAAATAATAAAAACTTGTTTTATGCCATGTTTTATAGCTAAGATACAGTTATAAACGATTATGATTGATCAAGTATCATTCTTCCAATCTTTCAAAAAAATAGAACTTATGGCGGACAAACAGGTGATCCTAATAGTCTCTTCTGTTGATGATCGGTTCACAAACGCTTATGTTAGAAATGTTTATTTTATTTTGTGTTTTACATGCACCCTATAAGTTTTTTGTATGCCCATTTTGAAATTAGATTATATATTGCCCTCAGCTCTGTCGGTTGATTTGTATATGCTCTTGTGCCAAAAATGTTTACATGTAGATTAGTTAAAGAAAAATCATGAAATTTTTTTAACAAAAAAAGTCATCATCATTTAGAATAAGTTTATCAAATTGAACAGTTATTGCCTTTGATTATTGTCATTTTACTTTGATATTTTAAAGTATAAATATTTCAGATTTTATATGCCCACATTGACGTGTAGGCATATATTGTGGAAAAAACTCTCAGTACATTGTTCTAGGCGCCCATTTGCCTAGAGTTTTGAGAAGAAATAGTGAATCAGTTTTAATTGAGCATGTGTATATTTTGTTGACATTGATGTATTATCTCTTGGCTTTGAATGCTCTTTCATTTTATTTTACCATTTTGTTTCATATATATATATAGAGACTTACAGCTGAAGATTTATCAACAACTGGTTTGAAATCATTTGGTTATTCTTTGTCCGGTGGCCTTGACCTGGATAAAAATGGCTATCCTGACCTTTTGGTGGGGTCATTTGAAGTTGGTCAAGTTGCGCTGATCAGAACACGTCCAATCATAAATCTAATGAAGAGAGTGACCTTAACACCAGAAATGATTAATTTAGAAGATACTCCAAATTGTTCTTACGATGGGGTACAACGCCACTGTATTCAAATTGAGATATGTTTACAATTTACAGCTGAACCAGCAGAAAGGTACGGTAATTAAAATTTTCACTTTACAATATGAGAAATGAAGAGTTGTTTGGATATTTTTTAGTTTCAAGATGATACAAATTATATCAGAAACATCAGATCAAACTTCAGGATTAAGGGTGAAGTTGGAAGGGGTATAGATAGATTTGTCTGCCTAACGTATGGGTTTTCTCCGGATAAACATATTTCCAAGTCACAAAAATGTACAGATGGTATTGCCAAAGTTTTTTGTTTCGTGTCAGTTTGACATTAAACTCTCTTCTCTCCAGACTCTCTAACTGTTAATTTTATTTTCAGTTTTCAAAACCGTCCAAAGATAAATTACCATATTGAAGCTGAGAAGAATCGAGGAGTACTAATTAATCGTTTAGATTTAAAGAACTCGATACCTGATACTAACAATAGGATTATTAAACGTCGTATGACTTTACGCAGACAGGGTTTAGATGGTACACCAAGTAAAGAAGTCTGTGAAAAAGAAATAGCTTATCTTAAGGTATTGAAGTTATTTCTAAAACAAAGAGCAATGTTTGGCTTTAATTTCTAATACACAAGCCCAAATAAACTTTGATTTGGCAAATTGACTGGTGGCTTAAAACCCCAAACTAACCTGTGACATCCTAGATTTGTTACTCATGCAATGTCTTACGAATTTACATTGTGTGGATTGTTTAACCTTGTAGTTATTCCAGTTTGTAGCTCACTGTTAATGGCGGGTATGAGTTGGAAATGATGGTTTATAGGTGGCTGAAAACATTAGATTATCCAGTCTCAGGAGATACAATACAGCATCTCTAGCATGGGTTCCATGCCGAGCGTATATGCCGCTTGATACCAAGGGCTTTGGAAAATGACCGAAACCAGATCTGACACATCGGTCTGTTTGCACGCCAGAAAAATAGCGCATTTTTGAAAAAAGACAATGCTACTATCGACCTCTGCTATGTAACTATAAGATTTTACGGCCTGTTGGGAATAATGCACATGTATAGAAGCCATGTAATCTCTTGATTGGTGTTATAGAGTTGCATAGGTCAGTGTGTTTTCTATAGAGCGCATGGTAATACGTCTACTACAATGATATTGCTACGGGCAATTTAGCTCTTTATTTGTCTTTAACCAAGTAAGAAATTTCGATAATAAAAGCTATTTAAATAGACAAATGAGCTCATTTCATTAATAAATTATTATTATAAGCCAATAATATTTTGTGTACCCCATGCTGACAAAGTGGTATAGACACAAGCATTCATGATACCCTACCATAAATAAAAAACATGAAATATAAATTTAATATGCAAAGTTTTCGTGCTTTATAAACATAAGATTGGTGAAATTGTATGGAAATTTTATATACAAAAATGTTGGGTTTGGTAAAGGATATCCATTAAGAATAAAAATTTCTATCATTTGATTTTCAGGATAATTTTGCCGATAAGTTAAATCCATTAGAGTTAACAATACAGTATAGTTTAGATGATGTACCTTATACTAAACCTACACCTGGCGACGAACCTCTAGATGTTAACGAATATCCAATCCTAGCTACAGACGCCATTGATAAAGATTCTGAAGCTGTAACAATGACAGCAACTGTATGTATTATCAATAATTTGTTTTATTAAACTTTGTTTGACGTGAGCAATGAATAATCTGTTGCTTCATGATCACTCGAAGATGAATTGTCAAAAAACGACTATGTCTATTTTAAAACTAATATGGCAAGCACTTGACCCATGTAATATTGCAAGAATCACTATTAAACCCCTGTAAGAGCCATTGATGGCATGAAGACAATTTCAGATTCAAATTCATCCTTTGTCAAGACAATTCTGGCCTTGCTGGTATTAGACATAGATACATTTATTGTTCTTTTAACTACAATTGTGCTATATTATTGTCTGGTATGATTAAAATCCTTTCTATATCCAATCCCTTGCCTATTATTTGTCATAATATGCCCCTCTCCTATATTTGGCCTATTTAAACATATGTTCTGAGTTTCCAATGTTAAGTAATTATAAAAGAAATGTACTGATTATTTGTGATTGTTTATAGGTTGATTTTGTAAAAGAATGTGGTGATGATAACAAGTGTGATAGTAATTTACAGTTTAATGCTAAACTAGGATTACCAAAGTAAGTTAAACTAGTCAACTGTATTAAAGATGATGTCACAATTTTCATTGGATCTGAGAAATCGTTCTTGAAGTATGTAAACTAAATGCCCATATGTGAAGAAATAGCCTGTTTACATTGCCTAATAGTTTTAGTCCAAAATATTGAGCTGTTACGAAATGGATCACCATTTTAGAGTGCCTGCCACCATTTTTTCATTGTGTAACCTGATAAATGTGACTATTGATAATGGATGTTATTTGTGAAGACTAATATTTGTCCTTGTCAAAGACAATTTGAACTTAGGTGATGGAGTCGACTGTGACTGGTGTTTCTAGAGGGTAACAAGATTTAGGCAAATTTTAGATTACAAAGAATTGTTTAAGTAACAGATACAAAGTGTTATGACTACTCTAATTAATCCACAGTCCGGTTCACGTCTGATGAGGACATTTTACCAAATTGTTCAGCTGTTATAGCCTTGATCCTGCCTTGCCACAATTGTCCTTTTGTGCATGTAACCTTTAGAAAATAAACGGTTACTTGCTCAACAGGAGAATTTCATTGTCCATCCATGAACAGTCACATTAACATTGATACACAATTCGGCTGATCCATATGTCAGCCTAAATTTAACACTCCTCAAAACAATAACATGATTAACGGCTAACCATTGGTAACATCATGTAAATATCTAATAATAGAAGGCAGTAAAAAATAGGACACAAAGGGTCACATTAATTTCAATATTCAAGTGTGTGGACTCCTTTCTTGAAACATGTTATATTCTAGTAACTATGTTGTGTTGTTTGACAACCTATGTTAGTACATTTAATATTTTGATATTACAGAGATAAAGATGGTAATTATGTATTAAGTATGGGAGAACTAAGTTTTATTGATTTGGATATCAGTGTTATAAATATTGGTGAAGCTGCATATTTTACTAGACTATTTATTACGAAACCAGAAAGTCTACGATATCGAAGAACAGAGGTTAAAAATACAACCACAACTGTAAGTTGTCTAGATTTTCTTTCCGGATTTATTTCTATCACAGTTATCTTGTTTTTTGTATGCGGATTTGATTTAATGAACATGTAGTTGACACGCAACTATTGTAATCTACATTCACATTTGAAAATGCTTCGGAAAGAAAACTGAACATATTCAGAATCTGGAACAATTCACATTGGGTTTTCACTGAAGTATGTCAAGAAAAAGTGGATATTTGTTTTTACCTGCATTTATTACTTGTGTCCTGTTTTATCCCAGTGGGGTGTGGGGGGATATTGCTTAATGGTCTAAGCAGAACAGTAGGACGTTAAACCCCATTTCATTTCATTTCATTTGTCCCACGAAGAACGACAATGAAGTAAATTTTCTTGTGCCAACTGGACAATGGATAATATCTTTACCCTTAAAGAGTTGCTTGTCAAAATGACTGACTTTAGTCATAGTCCGCCTCTATTACTGTAAACAACATTTGAACTGTAAATAATTCAAATGATATGAGATAATTGTTTTAAAGGGGTATTGTCATATTTTGTGACATTGATTTATTTTACTATTGATTTCCTTACCCAGTCAGTTTAGTTTTTAAATACTACCTCTTTTTGTTATCAGTAAACGATTTCATTAGTATAAACTTAACACACCTTATGTCAGCCAAGTTTGTACATAAATATGTAATGGATAATCTCATAGAGTTAGAAAGTTGGCCATAACCCTTTAATAAGACTGGTTGATGAATAATCTTTTTTTTTGCAGCAGCAATCAAATGTTAAGTGTGCACCAAGTACTGAGAATAAAACATTGATAGAATGTGAAGAAATAGGAAACCCCTTACCCCAAGATCAGAAAGTTTTCTTTCTCATCCGACTTGATGCTGCCGATCTTGAGGCATCACAAGATGTATTAGAACTGAGAGTCTGGGTTAATACGTAAGTAATTTTAAATATTGGTAGATGAGACTGATAAGTTTTATAATTTGTTTCACCGAGAATATAAATGTAATAAAGTTTGATTGATATCATATTCAAAATAACCTTAGATTCATTTACCATCTTCATTAAAGTTACAATTTCATATTTTTAAGTTATAATTTTAAAATGTATTAAAATAAAGCCCTAAAATAGATGGTATCTATAAACAGTCCTACATGTACCTTGTTAAAGAATAATCCTATTAATCCTATAATTCACTGTTGCCAGTTGAGAAATTGGCAAAAATATCATATTCAACTTTAAATTCAAACGTTTGAAGATAGCTATTCTATGGTGGGGAATAGGAAAACAAGGGAGGTAATTGTGTTATTAATTCCAGTGCGAAGATTTTTAAGTGTGAGAAAGATAAATTATGATAGTATAATAGAGAGTTGACAACCTATTGAGCAAAAGACAGAAATGATTATGTTTTGACTTTCTTAGAAAATATGAAATTGTAACTTTAAACTCCTTGAATAACAAACAAAATTAATTGAAAATAACATTAAACTCATCTAATTATCATAAATTCAAACACTGGCCTACTGAAACAAAAACATGTTTAAATCTGTTATCAAATACATTTGTTTAGGATTAACCTTAAACTGATCTGCTGACAATTCTGTTTGGGGATGTTATTTTTCCCATTTTTTCATCGTTTTGTTTAGTTTTAAAAGTTTGACCAATTTTCAGTTTTACTGCTTTCTACACATTGTAAAACCAGAATAGAAAATAAAAGTTATGATTGACAAATGATATGATAAATGTATTTGTTGTTGTTTCAGAACAAGTTCAGAGTTAACTAAAGAAAGTGACAGTATTAGCATGCCTTTCCGTGTTATAAATCGTGCAGATATTGGTGTCAATGGGTAAGTCAAGTAATTCTTAAAATGGTTGTGACCAGTTGAAAAATTGTGGACTCAATAAGAAAAGTAGTTCATGACATGGAAATATTCTTTATTCATTGTTGAAGGAGAAGGTCCAATTTTTACTGTGTTTCATTTCATTATACAAATCAACCATTGAAATGTGCAGAAAGGCATTATTTTTGTGTAGAGCACTCGCTTCTAATTTCTCATTGAGTGATCTTATACATTATAAATGTGTCTGATCAATATCATTTTTTGGATGTCACCTTATAAAAATAGATTTTATTGTTACTCTTTCTGGAACATCCAGTAACGCTTAGTTTTCTAGGCAACTTATCTTTGACAGAGTTGTGGTGGGTATGTTGCTAACAGCTTATATTGGAATTTAACAATTGTGAGTTTGGAACGTACCAAATTGACAGAGAGAATTGCAATTGAGTGACAGAAATCAGATTTTCTCAGCGTTCTCAGATAGTAGGGTGTTCAAGATTAAAAAAGGGAACTTTGAGGAAAGACAAGGGGAACAATTTAGTGTGTATTTTATGCAGTAACAATTGGCTATGCTTGTATTTACTTTGTTACTGTACAGTTTTTGCTTAGTTTTGTATGGCCTATTAATGAGATATGAAAAATGTAGAAATGGTTTACCTTGGTTGTGAATTCTGAAAGTATGTAAAAAAATTTAAAGATGTAATAAATTTTATATTTTAGTATTGCACAACCAGATGATCCTATTATATATGGTCGTGATATATATGGACAGGATAGTATTAAAATAGAAGATGAAATCGGACCAGCTATTAATCATACATTTGTGGTAATATTATCAACATTATTTAATATCAGTATGATAAAAATTATGTGTCTTTCAATGTGTTTTATATTGTCTCCTGCCTTTTGAAAAAAAGCAGGGGACTATTAAAATGGGTCCGTTCATCTGCCTATCTGTCTGTCCGTCACACTCTTTGGGACACAATAACTCTGCTTCTAATTGAGGTAGAATATTTAAACTTGGTGTAGGTGTCTATTAGGTGAATACCTTGACAAAGTTCGATCATGCACATTTTCCACTAAAGCTAAGCAAAGTTAAGCAATTTAATTGGTTGAGACTTTGGAACACGATAACTTTGGTTCTGATTGGGTGAGGGCAATGAAACTAGAGTATAGATTCATTATGTCAATACATTGACTAAGTTTGATGATGGGAATTTTCTGCTTAGGCTAAGTAGTGATAAGCAATTTGGTTGTTCAAGACTTTGGAACATAACAACACTGCTTTTAATTGATGTATAGATAGTCATTAGGCGAATGTCTTGACTGAGCTCAATGATTAATATTTCCTGTGAAAGCTAAGATAACTTTGATTCTAACTGATGAAGTGTGATGAAACTTAGTGTATAGTTTCACTACAAGGAACTTCAAAACATTGACTGAGTTTGATCGTGAACATTTTATGCTTAGACTAAGTATAGATAATCAGTTTGATTATGCAATACTTTTGAAAAAAGTAAATGTGCAATAAATTAATGTGTGATCTGTTTATTTTGGGGTTTCGATGGGAGGCATAACCCCACTGTTGGCTTGTTTTCTTTCATTATAACTCCCACAATTTTATTAACATCAATATCAGTCTCTGTTTTTCGACTCGGTTTATTTTTGTATTATTTTTTTTTTACCAGTCTCAATTTTACTTGGAAATAAAAAGGAGAAATAAAAAAAAATCAGTGCTTATACTCCCTTTATTCATTTTTTATACAACAAGTTTTTATTAGATAAATATACAAATATAATTTTTGATAGTAGGGTGTAGTGAACTCTATTGACACAAATAGATAAAGTTGTGTTATAGGGCTATCACATGTCCATAATCTATGTTAGAATAAGCTTTCAAAGAGGTCGGAGTTTATCATGATAGTGGCCATACTATAGGTTAAAGTTTATTATCTAAACTTATCAAGTGGTGTGCATGATAACACATGAACTTTGGCTTATTTAACTCCTTTAGTTCATGTAAAATCACAAGAGAAGATGTAGGCTCATAGCTATACAGAGGTCTAGTTATATTTTTTTTGTTTATTTTTTGCATAAGATTTGAATTGTAGCTGACTCAAAGAATTATTATTTTTTTTTTTAAATATAAAATAATCTCTTATGATTTATAATAATTACCATAAATTTCACGTGAAAGATTTTGTAGTTTTCAGTAGGCACAAAGTTTTAGAAATAGGGTTATGAATAGACATCAGTATGATTATATCTTAAAATTACATGTATGCTTACTCTTTCTAGAACATGTGATACCTCTTCCACATAAATAAGTTCACATATTTTACATACTGTTTTGTGTATAATAAACATTTTATTAATGGATATGCAAGCTTTGTCTGTGTGCCTTGTTCTTTATCATTTTCATAAGAAAACAGTTTTCACCCAGTGGTGCTTTTGAAATATAGATCTTAGATGACAAACCACATCTTTCAATCAGGAATGACTGGTGTCCTGAGAAAATGGTTTTCCACACAGTTCAATTTGTCAGCAAAAAAAATGATATTTTGTTCAAGGGGAAATAACTAGTGTTGTTTATTTTTAGGTGACCAACTATGGTCCTGGTACAGTCACTGAATCTACATTATATATTGAGTGGCCATATGAGTTAATTAATACTGAGGGAAAATATCTACTGTATATGATGCAAGCTCCATTAGTTATGTCAGGCAATGCTGAATGTAGATACAATCCTGAAATAGTTAATCCTATTGGTATAAAGGTAAGTTACTGGATATCTTTATCTTCATAGCAAGGTTCTTAATCCATTTTGAAACAAACCGGCCAGAACTGGGTCAAATGAGATCCCTTTAATATAACCATATTAAACAAAAATAATTCTTGGTAATGTGTTCTGGAGAATGTCGTATTCTAATGTACATGTATGTGATTACCACAAAAATAGGTACACCTTTCGAAACATTTTCCATATTTAATTCATGTACAGCCTTGAAGTTCACGTCCGTAATATTCCTGAATATATCACTGTCGTGGTTTATTTGATGTATTATAAAGTGTTCATGTTTAGTTCATCATTCGATGGAAATTGTGATTTTTCTAGAAAAGTTAGTATCAGAAAATACCGTAGCCAAAATAAGCTGATACGGCACCATGGCATTTCTTCATGACACAATTTGTAGTTTTTGTCTTACCACATAAATTGTAAAAAATTTTATTCATTCGTTGATGATAGACAAATGGCACTAGGAACACATGACAACCATAATTGACATTGCTTTAAAATAAAATTTTGTACGACTATGTCATATGTAGCCTGCAATAATACAACATGTGTATAAAAGCAAGAATATGTCTGAATACTTATGTATTCCCCACCATGATATATACCTTTACCATTGTAATTCGTGAATGACATAAATTTAAACAATTTTTGAAAGATATGCATGGATTGTGGAAATGCTTGCCTTTATAGTCAGATATGCTATTCAATTTCCCCCTATTTTAAATACAGCTTTGTCCTTAAATAATTAGGGATTAAATCAGTAAATGTTTAACTGACACTAAACAAGTTTAGATGGTAGGTTGATTGAATCATCCCTCAACTCTATCCCCAAGAATTAGCAAGTACTTCACAATATTCCTCGATATCCCTGTAGAAAGCATGCTGTATGTGTTTATGTACTGTTTTGTTTTTCAGGAAAATCCACGATATATCATTCGCCCTAGAAACGATCTAATAGTTCAAGTAAGTTCATTCCTGAGAAAAAGTTGGTTGTATATTGTTCTGGCTGCCGCCCGTCCTTCCATTGACCACAGTTGTTTGTGGACACTCTAGAGAGTGTATTAAATTTATACACAGTTTTTATGTTTATGAGTTAAAAAAAGCCTATAATTTTTATCAATTTCATATAATTACTGTCAGAATCTTGGCCCTTGGTCACTGAGATAAATCTTGTGTGTGTTCTGGAGACTAAAGATATCGTTTGATTGATTTAAAATTGATACAGTGTTTCTGTTCATGACCTGTTTCGTTGTCATATATATAATCTACCATTTATGTTCTGGGAATAGCAAGAATATGTTTCTTTTATATCTTTTAAATTTGAAAAGAAGAAAATATAGTCTTGCCTTTTTGTTAGAAAAATAATGTTAAGTGTACTTCAACTTGTATGCCAGTAGGAAGCCACTGTAGCTAGTTGGGTAAGGCGCTGGCTCGCTAGACTGGAGGTCGGGTGTTCGATCCCTGCATTGGCCGAGAAAGTTCATCCCGATTTTCCGACGTGGTTTCCCCTTGTCAGTGATGCAGGATGGAGGGCCTGACAAGGACAGCTGTCTAGTCCTTTGGATGAGACGAAAAACCGAGGTCCCATGTAAACATTGGAATGCACGTAAAAGATCCCTTGGCAGTTGGAATTCGATATAAGAGTAGGCGATAGTGCTGCTGCCCGGGCAAAATTTCCCTCATAGCACACTGTATGGCATATGCCCGTCTACATTAGCCCAGTATAGGAGCAGAACAGTAGGACGTTAAACCCCATTTCATTTCATTTCATTTCTGTATGCCAGTAGGTTAATGACATCCCCTACCCTGTCGTGATCTTCATTCATTGTATAGTATATCAAGCCTGATAATTATTAAAAACATAATACCATTCATTCTTCCACCTAATGGTAAAACTAGAACAATATTTGCAGAAATGAAAAAGTTACCTTTAAGGGCACAACAAGGCAATTCATTCAGAAATATTTTAAAAGTCAAACAAATATACTATTATGTAAAGACTGTTATGCAATTAAGTAGATCAAGCATACATAAACTTTCATTAAATATGCACTGGCTTGTACGAAAGAAATATTATTCCAGTATTTGTCTCAGAGAAATCTAGATGGCAGTGTGAAATCAGTAGAAACCAGTATATTAACTTAGATAAACTTAGGATTGATCAATTAGAATAATTTTGGGACTAAAATGTATTTTTAAAGTTGATTGCATGTGGTTTGAAATTAAACTTTATATTTAACTTATATTCTGGCATGTTTCTGTTTGTTATTTCAATATATTGACTTTTAGATAATATATTGACTTTAAGATTATACCACAATATATTGCAATTGACTTAATGATATTACACCACAATATATTGACTTTAAGATATTATACCACAGTATGTTGATTTTAAGATGTTATACCATAATATATTGTTTTGCTGTAGTGTTTCACAATATGTTAATTAGTATATTGTTACGTATGGTGTATATTATTACAGCAAGGAGTAATACCAGGAGGTGTATTAGAATATAAAGAAAAACCAAGTGAGATACAAGAAGGGGGTAGATCAAGACGTAGTGCTGACCGTGTCAAGAGAGCTGATAACAATGTTATTTTGGTATGTATCAAATCCATTGAGGAATATCCCAACCTCACTTGTCCATAAACATTTTCGAACTGCACATGTAGTGAGATTTTTGTCAAGCCATTGATCGATGTATCTTTGAACAATCACAAACTCATTTATAATTGTATTATGCTATCAAACTTCAGACACTAAATTAAAAGCCGACTATTTAAATGGATTATAATCAAACATTTGAAAATCTGTGCAAACAAAAGATTATATTTAACAAGTTGTTAAGGTATTTCATATCTATGCAACTGTCATCAAATTAATGAAGAATAATATTTTTTTATTTAATTATATTTTGTGATTATGCATTTGTTATTATAGGGATGTAAAAGAGATACAGCTAAATGTCACACAATAACATGTAGCTTAGGTGAATTGGGTCCTAGAGATTATGTAACTGTTACTATCAGAGCTAGATTGTGGGAAAATACTTTATTAAAGGTAAGTACAAATATTAAATATCTTTCTTTGATTTTAAATGACCAATATGCTGTTCTTCATATCGTTAATCTCAAAATCTTGATTTGTACGGTAATATTCTCAGACCTAAACATCTGAATATATTAAGATTCTTGCAAAATATTTTACAAATTTTCAATAAAATCAACAAGATTTCATGGCTATTTGTTAGACAATAAATTATGCCATAAATAAGTATATCAATCTGATATGATTATATTACGATATTAAGCTATCTCATTTTATGTTTTTAGGATTTCCGTAAAGTACGAGAAGTAAAGATTCGATCACGAGCCGAGTTAGTGATAGATTCAGCTTTAAATGTAGAACAAACAGATGATACTAATGATATAACATATGTAAGTTTTATTAAATAATAATGATATAAGATAAGTAAGTTTTATAACATAACAATAGCAAGATAATTCTGTAATATTATTGACAAAGGAGATAATGATACTCAGTTGAATATTCTGGAATTTATTTCTCTCAGTCCATTGACAGATGAATATTGAGTAAACATAAATGAACTTGAAAATATCTTCAAAAGACATAAATGCAGAAACAAGTTCCACATGTTTGAATATGTCACGATTCTGCTCTCTTCATATCTATGATTGGAAAAATTGTGATTGAGTTTAATTCTATGTTGCTCGATTCTGCAGCATTGTCCAGACTTGCTGAACAAAATTTAATCTTATCTGCAAATAAATCCCTATGTAGAGATAAATTAACAAAAGAAAATAGTAGGGAGGGAGGTTTATATAATCAATGGTATATTATTGTTTATCTTATAGGCTGTAACTATAGCTATACCTGATGTTAAAGTAGCTGAACCTAAAGGTATAGAATGGTGGATTATATTGATAGCTGTATTAGCGGGAGTATTATTACTTGTTATATTAATACTTATATTATGGAAAGTAAGTAATAATAATAATTTCATTATTTCAGCACCATTTTCCCTTTCCTGTCTGCAAAGTAATATATCTGGAGAGTCAGTCAAAATATATACATTCTAACTGGAAAAGCAAAATTTTTAATGCATGGATAAATTGAACCCTAACATTCTTGAGCCAATATTATTGATTGTTCGTAACACATTATTGACACAGTAGATTAAAAATATTAATTTAGTAGACCTAATAAAATACAACATCTCAATACAAGTGTTAAGTTTCCACATCCGACTGGTTCAAAAACTAAAAAGAAATGAAAAGTTTAATTTCCTAATTTTCTGCACTAACTCAGCTAATGAAGACAGGAATATACCATACTGTGTGCTATAAGGGAAATTTGCCAGGACAGTGGCACTACAGCCTTCTTTTATTTTGAAGTCCAACTTTCAAGGGTTCTTTAATATGCACGCCAGTGTGTACACAACACCATGGTTTTCTTGCGATCCGAACGACTAGACACTGTTACTTGTCAGGCCCTCAGTTCTGCACCACTGACATTGGGAAATCATGCTGGAAAATCCAGAGGAACTTTTTCAGCCAAGACCAGGAGCGAATTCAAGACTTCTTTGTTAGCAAGCCAGAGTCTTACTCACTGAGCCACCATGGCCCCAAATAGAAGTGATGACAACAGGTTAATTTAGCAATATTAGCCCTGGTCTCGGGAAGATATACCTTTACTACTATCATGAGTTTGCTTTGATCAGACTTGTCCTCTTTTGTTTAGTGACAGCAGAATTATAGGCATTATTCTATGATACAAGAGAAAGTAATTTGGCCATTAAGTTAATATTCTTTTTTGTCTTTCAGTGTGGATTTTTCAAAAGAAAGAAGCCAGAAGATATGCAGACATATGAAGTCAAGTTTGAAAAGAAAAAAGAGTTTGTGGAAGAATATTACGATTAAATTTAGTTGCTTTTAGCCAGACACAAAGAAATCATGAATATTTGTATTTTCTAGCAGCTAATGAATATTCATATCTTCTAGCAGCTAATTAATATTCATATTCTGTTCCTAGTTCTAGGACCTGTAAGAACATTCCTTATTTATATTAAAACAAACAGGCCACAGGAACTTGTGATATGCAAATCATAAGTGTGCCTTTTTTTTTAGAACTAAATGTACATGGTTTTAAATTTCACTCATTGCTCTCTGCGTTTTTCAATTTGTGACTTTTGCTTTCATATTTTGATTTGTTTACATATTGTGATGCTAACTACTCACTTGTTTCGCATTGTGGCTTCAACCTTGATATCTGCTTTCACATTGTGACGTGACCTATCACATTGTGATATCTGCCCCCACATTGTATTGGCCTTCAAATTGTGATCCTAACTTTCACATTGTTATATCTGCCTTCACATTGTGTCAAATACTTTGTGACGTCCTCTTTATATCTTGATGACATACTATATTACTTGAAGACTTCCATCTTGTTTTTGTGGTGTTTTTCATAAATTGTGTTAATCCGGATTAAAGATTAGAATGTATTATCATGTTAAATTGTAGATTGTAAGGGTATTTATAGCCTTTCTCTACAACATGTGTATTTACATAATATTTACATTAAAAAAAATAGAAGAAAATAGAAAAATGAAAGTTTTGATTTTATGTTTTGTGAGTGAGAAATATTTTTATCATTCAAAATCATGCCCATTCCAGGATATTATCGATGTTGCATATAACTTGGTTTTTTTTTTTGTTATAAACATAAATAATACAATAAAGATCTGACATATACTCAGGGACAGTATTAAGACAATATATAATTACTGAAAAGAAAACAAACCAAAATCATCAGGGATACAATTTAGAACCAACTAGGTAGAAGATAAAACACCCCTTTTAATTAGTTGACTTGTCTAAACTTGATACATAAAGTATATTTTAGATTGACTTATGTTATATTTGAGGGTTGTAATGATATAGATACAGTGTGTAAGATGATTTATGTTTGGAAATAAAAAAATATGTTCAAGTATACAAGTTAAAATGAATAGGATAAAGAAGAAAAAATTGGCTTCCCTAAATACCTATGGAGTGTCTTTTTTGGATCATATTTTACACATAAGGGTGTCAGTGGATGTTATATGGCCATATCTTTTGTTTTATTCCCCAGATTTCTCACTCACTTAACATAAATCTATAATATTTACATATATATCATGATTTATTTGTTCACGTTTTTTTATTCAGTATTCTAGTATTACATGTTCAACAAAAAATTAAACCATTTCCTTTAACTACTGATGGTGTGATTTACCATAAAATCCACAATATTTTGTGATTTATCCCATGTTATAAAACCAATAATTATGTCAATATCCATGTTATCAAACCAATAATTATGTTAACCATAAAACTGGTAATGATATTCTTAACCATAATTGACTAATGTGTGTGCTTCCATTATGCTTATTTTTTATGTACAACAAATGAACTGAATTATGTTTTATAATTTTAACATTAACTGGTTGGTGGCAACTTCTATCCATGCCTAAATCGGGACATAAAAAGAGTGACCTGTTGACCTGCACAATGTGCTACCATGAAAACTCATTTAAATTCCACCTAGACCTGTGATGTGCACCATGGTTGGTTTATGAATATGTTACCATGGAAACATAGTATTAAATGTTATTGTTTAATACAAATATTATAGTGCTTTATAGATCTATGAGTGTCTAACAGTGTGTTAATAATAGTGATTTTGAACCAGTACTGCGATGTTGAGATTACAGTAATAATAAAGTAAAGAAACTTGTGACAACTTCTGTTTAAATACACCTTGAGACTAGTATACAGATTATAGATAGTAAAAAGTAGAATTTGATAATATACATAATAACTTGGGCATTATTTAGATATTGTGGTCATTGTATATCAGTTTAAAACATTATATATATCTATTCATATATCAGTGTATGCTTGGCAGTAAAATATTTTGGGTTTTTTTTTTAATCATTTGAAAATGTATGTGTTGTGTGAACTTTTTAGGGTTTTAATTATTTTTGGTATTGGTATTGTACATATATCCTACATTTTTTATTTCCTTTCTTTGATGGGGGTTTCCATGCTCATTCATTCCACTTTGTAAAAAAAAAACCAACCAAAAATAGATGTTTTTATTTTTTAAAACATTTATAAACATTGCAACTGCCACTCCATACTTAATTAATAAATTAATGCCTTTCTTGTACATATAAATTAATTTGAAATTAATTTTGGTATCTAGATTTCAATCCTTCTTTGTTCCATAAGTAATGAAACATAGTTCTTATTCTTGACACATGAATTGTGCACTTTTGATATTACCTTAGATGTATGCCCAGATAACCAATAAAAAACTGAAAATATATATTTTCAATATATCCTTCAAACAAAATAAAGTTATTGACTTTACAGGGATTTCAGTGCTTGTGGTTGACCAATCAGTTACGTGCTTGTTGTATATATTGGACAATAATTAATGTATGTGTGTATGTTAGTATGTACATGTAGCTTAAGTTTTGTGCTTTATGTCTTTGCTTTAGATGCTTTTTAAAGCAAATATTTAAGCATGCTTTGAGATAATTCTCTCCACATTTATCTAGCAATGTTTCTATGTGTTTCGATAGCTTTCTGTGCTAATATTGCCTTTTTGTAACAATCATGGTTTCTTTTTTTGTGATAAATTGGGATTGACTTAACTGTGACCCCTCTAAAAAGAACTTTGCTAGTCTCAAATTCACAAAACATTGGTTTTAGTACCATTACATTTATTTTCATTTATGTTTTAAAGAGTTACACCTTGTTGGGATTATTTTGCGTGTAGTATGGCTCTTCTGTGCTTACTATAAGGATATTTCAGCTTGCCTGAGCATTTCAAAAATAGAAAAGGAATCAAAAATATAAATAAAGAAAACATCATAATTATGTATGTAATACACAAAATGTAATCATGTAGTTTTCTAGGTATGAAATATGTTACAAGGTTAATGAGGTCATTCTTTCGAACCCCGAAAGTTTATCACTATATTATGATGCTTGATTAGGCTGAAGATGATTATAAAGGTTGTTAAAATGATTTTAATAATTCCTGTCAGTCGGCATCAATTTTAATACAGAAACTGTAAGGGCAGCATAACACAGATTATAGTAAACATAAAAGATAGATATATTACTCATTAGATAGTAGCCTAATTTAAATCCCAATGATCAAAGGAATAATAAAAAGAAATCATGAATTTGTTATTGAGGTGGATATCATGTTTTTTATGATGTAAATAGTTGAATGATATAATGTAGCACTGTAAATATTACTCACAAGATATAACTGAGGCACGAATGATTGAGAATTTGAAAAATTTTATTATTTTGATAAAATTATTTGATTGAATTCTAACTTAATGCAAAGAAAATTAAAGGGTTTTATTACAAAATCATGTGAAAAAAGACTTGTGAAAATGAGGTAAATAATTTTGACAGTAGCCATTATAAATTCCAATGTTTTAAATGTTCTACTAGGAAGACGACTAAAATGTTCTTGTCAAAGGAGTTAATCTGACTATTGTTGCCACACGTTCTTGTATATTGAACAAAGTGTAGTATTATTTAATATAGGATGTATATGTAGCTTAAAATGTATTTATTTTATATAAGTAGTTAGTTAGATAGTTTATATACAATATTATGGAAACCCAATCAGCATTTTATTTGTAATACAAAATGCTTAGTTTTATATATCTACCATAATGAAAGATGGATAAAAAGCTGATTGGTCCATGCAGTACACCATGTCTACATGTGGAGTCTTATGTATATGTATAACTGACTGTTTCTTGTTCAAATTCCTAATTCTTGGTTACACTGCACAGTGCAGAATATGACTACTTGCTGCATTTGCTATATTCTATAGCACTTCAGCTATAAGTTTCACGGATCAAAATCATGGTCCTGATTTATTGAATGTTACAAGGACATAATATTAAATGTGGGAGAACCGCACTACATATAAACAAACAGAAACCTGCAAGCAATGCACATCACAGACCAGACACAGACATTATGAGCAATAAACAATAAGGGTACCATCAAGTGAATTATAATGTTATTTAAAGATTTCAGCAGTTTCCATCGACATCATGTCAATTTTAAAACCCATTATTGGTCTTATAATTCATATTTGAATAAAATTCTTAGAATGATCCCAAGTAAGACATTATGGTTGTATATTATACAGTATTTTGTTTATATAATCTTAACCTTAAGATCTTATGTTATTTTATGGTTGACTTTAAATAACTTATGTAAACCATCAAGATCAGAACAAAATTAATTATGAGTTACCCAGAGGAATTCCTGACATCTGATTACTTCAGAAAATGACGTTAAATTAACATTAAAAACATGACCAAAATGATGGTTAACCGACTGACCATTTGATGTAAAGTTTACGTAAAATTAGCGTCATGATGTTATGTGGGAAAGTGTTTCGGCGAAGTAAGGTCTCGAAATATTAACCATACATTATGCAAGAGCTAAATCTGCCTATTTCAAGTCTTTATTTAGGCATCAGATGTTATAGAAATTGTTAATTGATCGGGCCTTTATTTACACGACAAGCTCAAACTCAACTCTGTAGACCCACGGATGGCTTGGATACGTTTGGATTTAAACAGTCGTCCATTTAAAATTAAATCAATAAATGGCGGACCAAGCTAACGTTTACCGTCAGTCGCTGATGTCACTGCCGGAAACTGGTGATGAAAGGCCTGCCAAGCGAGGCTACCATAGCCATTGAGCACGTAATTAGACTGAAATTTTCAACATTTTCTTTTTTTATCATCTATTTTTGAATTATTATAGCAAGAATGGACAACTCTTTATAAAACTCTTAACTAATGTATCTTTAATCAAGTAGTTCTTAACTGACACCCCCCACCTCCCAAAAAACCCAACAAAAACAAACAAATTAATGTCCTCCTGAAGTCAGATTTCTAGTGGAAATTTATTAATTGGTTTTCAATGGCCATAGAAAATCAAAAGACACTAAACATGATTTTCACCATGATTTTTTTTTATGATGTGACATGATCCTCAGATCACTCATTATATTTAAATTTTAGAAACGTATATATTTGTAAGTGTTAGAGGACCGCCACAAACAAAACACATAAGACAAATAGCCAAAAGTATCTGCTGTAGAAAAATGACGTAGCAATTCGTTGATTAACTTTTGCCTGGCTATCATTATAATAATAAAATTTAAATGGGTTTTTATTGTTTTATGTTTGCTAAGAGCTATCATGCAGCTTAACTTATTTTATTTGGTTGTGATTTGCCTCAATATTATGATTATTTTTGTCAGTTTTTTGTTGTTGTTTACATTTTGTATTCAGTCAGCATGTGAAAGATTTATATCAGTATAAAAGATATTATAGATTTTGTATCATGAAATAAACACGTTGACATTTATACTGTAGATTTATTTATAAAGGAATAAAGAACTTGTACATACATTTTATCTCTTTTGTGTTCTGTGCATTCCATTGTTTTCGCTTTGGCTGGTATAACTCCAATTCACAAAGAGTTGAAAGACGTGGTAATGTTAAAGTCACACATATTATTTTTAGGTGACTGCGCGAATATATTACGCCATTTTTTTGCCATCCTAATACAGATCAGAATTATTGTAATTAAGTGGTGTGTATGGGGGGTAATGATTGATTTTACGAGTAATGTTGCTACAAAAACTCTTTATAGCCAAATGCTGAAGAGAGGGGGAATGCGGGCATTGCCCTCACATAGCCAGTGTTGCAGCTTCACTGTTTGTAACATAATTTTACTTATTTCCATGCAAACTGTGTTGACGTGTTGAAAATTTTGCAACTGAACCTAATTTTACTTGCGCAAAGCCTTGAATAGTGTATCAATTGTAGGCGTAAATAAGACTTGTCGCGGGTCACAAATACTGCAGCTACCAGATACGGTGTCAAAGTATAGGCCTACTAGTACTAAAAGTGCAATACTAATATCTTTTCAATTCAACTTTCCATTTCAAGGAGGGGTCGAGGGGTGCATGTCAAATGCAAGTCCAGGGTAAGGGTGTTTTTTTTTAAATCGAGGTGTATTTTTGTGCCACAACATCTCGGCTCACAGTATTCCCGAGTCTGTAGTGATACAGGCTTCACTCAAAATGAAAAACAAACTCACAATAAATCAGAAAAAACCCCTCAAAAAATGAATACAAGAAATGATGCGACCGGTCTATTGGCGTTTGCTTGATGCGTCCCAACGCTCACACCAATAATATTCTTTTCTTACCCCCAAACAATGACAATTCATTTAGAGGAAAACACAGTTTATTGGCATCAATACTGGAAGGTACACCTATTTAAGAGACGTATGATGTTTTAATCCTTTTTGCCCACGATGTAAAATTATCCTTTGCCGGGCCGAGATGTCACATCATCACTCACCGCAGTTTACATAAACACATGGTCATTATGTCCCCCGTATTGCACTAAGAGCATTTTCCCCCCAGAAATCGAATATCTCCTTAACTCGTACTATGTGAGCCACATGTGAAACGGTACAATACTTTTTGAATTATTCCACTTTAAATAGTGTATTCACGGTTAGTTTCAATTTGGATCCAAGTTTAGTTCAACATGGCAGCCGTGTATAATAATTATTGACCAAACCCTAACCTTAACGACCAATGAGTTCATCGACACCCATTTTATGCGGACTACCATTCCAAGACGTTATATTCATTGTGATGTCACAAGTAATTTTTTACGTCACTACTTATTGTCTATTTGTCGAGAAAGTTTATTATTAATATTCGTATGGCATTATCTATTCAACAAGTTTATTTTAGTGGCAAAAAATAAACAGCGTCCGGGTATTAGGTAAGAAATCTAAACTATATTTTTTTCAATAAATTATAGTGATCATTTTGCAATAAAAAAAAAGCCTTCCTCGCCATGGCGCTTAATACTGTGCGGCTGACGAAGCATCTAATTTGTCTGTTGCATGGTGTCTTATGGTCGCCTTCGCTTTTCCCAAAACTCCAAAATGGGCGAAACGTAATGTCAATATCTTCGCATATATCATACCTATTTAAATAATAGAGAAATTCTTACAAGTAAAACCTATGTTAATGTACAGTGGTAAACTATGGAAGCCTATAACTACCATTCATAATTTCTACTTTTCGCCTCTTCAGAACACGAAAGTCGAAAAGTTGAAAAGTAGAAGTTACGACAAAATGTGAGGCGACAAGACGGTATACAAGCCAAAATCAACTCGAAAATAGGAAATTAAGACATTTTTGTTAAGGAGAATTGCGCGTATTCAAATGTGACCTGGAAGGCAGAGAGTACAACAACTTCCTAGGCGAAAAGTACGACAGATCATAGGTCGCTAATAGCGCAGTGTGTTAATTTCCTAATTTCTACTTTTCGAGTTGCATTTTGGCTTGTATAGCGTGTTGGCGCCTTCTTACTGACATCAGTAAATACAAAAATATGACTAAGTCGAAAGTCGACAAGACGGCATACAAGCCAAAATGCAAGTCGAAAAGTAGAAATTAAGAAAAAACGGGGGGCGCTATTATCGCGGTGTGTTATTTCTTAATTTCCTATTTTCGAGTTGATTTTGGCTTGTATACCGTCTTGTCGCCTCATATTTTATATTGCTTTTCAATTATCATATTTAAGACGTTTGAAATGCCATCGTGTCCCGAAGATTTCGAGAAGGGATTGGAACCTGGATACTTCAAAAGAGAGGGGAGAAAATTTTGCCTGAAGAATGGAAAGATCTTTGAGGTGCAAAAGTTAAAAGAAGAAAATCAGACTACCAGAAAGTTTGTCCTAGTTGGGGATATTCCTGGTGGTTGTAAATCAACAAAAAATCAAAATAAAGGTAAATAAAATTTTAACATTTTATATATTATACGTAGATATGCAGGCATCGTGCACAGAACAGAGTAAACTCTTTAACTCCTGATATCTCTAACACAATGTAATATAAACTATAAATTGGGCGTTTATGTTTTTATTGACGTAGCTATATGAGCACACGATTGGTGATATGATACCTACTCGATTTGGCACTTTGCTTCGTACCTAATTTATTATCTTTTTTCTGTATTATAATCTTCCAGTCAGACCAGAATGTTTTATGAAGCTGTTTATGGATAGTACTTCACCACCAGAAAGTATCAAACCATACATATTGGTTAGACCGGAAAAGGGTATAAAAATACATGCAGACGAACCTCGTAAAAATATTTTCGGACCTCGTCCAAAAGTAATGAATCTACCTGCACAAGAACAAGTAACAACGGTTAAAGAAGCAGAACGTGGAGAAAATGGCGAAACTGAAGATAGCGAAGCAGAAGATAAAGGTAGCGAAACTAATGAAACCGAAGATAAAGATAAAGTAACAGTAATACAAGATATGGAAACACAAAATCAAAACAACAAAAATAAAGAAACTAAAGATAGTGAAACACAAGACAGCAAGGTGGAAAGGTGTGGAATAAACGAAATGGGTGATAAAGAAAGAGAAGACAGAGAAACGGAAGAGGAAGTACGGGCCGTGGTGGAAATGGAAATAGCTGCCAAAATAAATGAAAACCGGGATATAGATAGCAACGATCCACAAGACAGGGAAACAGTAATAGAAGCATCTGCATGTATCATTGATGGGGGAGTACCTGTAAAAGAAGTTAAAAACAAGAAAAATAAAAGTAATATCGGAAAATTTATCATTAGAATGCAAACAAGGTTAAGAAAATTTTGTACACGTCGTCGTGTGTTAAAAAAAAAACATAGGCTGAAAGATTAAAGCTCTCATATGCTAGAGTTAAAATTAAAGGACTATGGTCATATTGGATAAAAAAAACTATTTTTAAAATTTACTTTCAGCTAAGTCTGGCACTAGTTTATACGGTTCGCTGTTATGCATAATTCAATTCTAGTAAGGGCATGGTGCATTTTGGATTTTAAATGCATTAACAATTTGTAGAGATTTATTGTATACATAACCATTGTTATATAAATAAATTCAAATATTGGTTTACAACATTGTACTGTGTTGATATGCTTGTCACGGCTTTTATTTCTGATTTGTGAGCACGCAATCAGAAGATTAACGCTTCCTCAGGGGTGAAAATAAGGATATTTTAATGTCATAATAAAGACATTTTCGTGCTTGAAACTATATACCCATGACCTATCAACCTGCAAGAGCAATCATGGAGACAGAAGCTGGTGCTGTTAGCTACAATTGCCCAAGAGTAATTTCAAACAAAATACACCAGGGCCCGGTTCCTAGAAAATTCTTAAAGTAAGCACAAAGTCATGCTTCACTTTTTCTTACGTAAGAAACTTATAAAAATACCGTCCCTAGAAAATTCTCAAGACCATTCTTACGAAAGCACAAGTCAAGTATAAGTCTAAGCACATTGTGACTGGTAAAGTTTACCATAAACTGCGACTACGATGCTCTTTAACGCAATAAAAACAACTTTGGTATGCGAATTACGTCTTAAATTTGTCGTCTGCTTCATTGACGTCATATATAATGTTCATTTCGATGCATTTGACATGTCCCCTATATAAAATATGCCACAAGATAAAAAAACGCAGACACATACAAACTAACTGAATAATTGTGAGAGCGCCTGATCTTAAAGTAGCCTGTATGTTTGTAGCCTATCAGGGTAGGCCTAGAAGCGAAATTTTCTATAGCATTCTTAATTTGAAATTTCTTACGGAGAAGGATTTTCTCGTCTTGTAATTGTCTCTTTGGTATCAAAAGGTGTCGAAAATGCCGTCGAATAACTCTACGGTCAGCCATCTTTCTGAAGCAGAAACAGACTTAAGGTTGGTAAGCAAGCCGTGTACCTTGCTTGGGACTTGTCCTTAGATTGACTATGTTTAAGAACGAAGTTGTGCTTAAGTTTTTTCTTGGAACGCATAATAACGTTCTTGTGCTTACAATGAAGTCTACTTAAAATCTAAGCACAAAAACGTTCTTAAGGATTTTCTGGGAACACAAAATAAGGTAAGTCTACTTAAATCTAAGCACAAGAACGTGCTTAAGAATTTTCTAGGAATCGGGCCCAGGTTGGTCAAATCGGGTCCATTTAAAGGACAATATTGGTGCCAGTCATTATCACATATGTGATAGAACTGGTTAAACACGTTCCAAATATTATTTTATCACAGAGATCATTGCTACGATAGATGAGTAATCAATGTTTCAACAATAGGAAGTGACGAACGCAAAAGGAAAACACGAGTTATCGCTTTATATAACTGAATGAAGTGACAGGTGATAACAGATACATGGGCGAATTTCTGCTCACTAATAATTCCTTCGAAGACCAAAAGTTGTGTTATGGGCCTGTGAAAGGATATCTGACAATTCATAAACAGAATTGACTCTCACTAGATAAGAGAACTTGAAAGAAACATAGAAAAAGTCCGTGCATTACCATGTTTTTATTAGTATAGAATGAATAAACACCCGTGAATGTACGGACTGTTTCTATTTTTCTCTTGTTCTCTTATCTAATGACATGCAATTACTTTTTTGAATTGTCAGATATACTCTTATAGTCTCATATAACAACTGTTAGTCTTCGAAGGAATTTTTAGTGAGCAGAAATTCGCCCATGTATCTGTTATCACCCGTCACTTCAGCAAATTATATAGCAGGATAACTCGTGTTTTCCTTTTGCGTTCGTCACTTCCTATTGTTGAAACATTGATTATTCATCTATCGTAGCAAAGATCTCTGTGATAAAATAATATTTGGAACGTGTTTAACCAGTTCTATCACATATGTGATAACGACTGGCACCAATATTGTCCTTTAATCATAACAGCAAATAGCTGAACGGTGGGTTGAGGGGCACCAATTAGGGGTTCTGTTACATACACTGCGCATGTCTGGGATATCCCATAATCCCCCGTTCCGCTTTTTTTGTTTCCCCATCTTCATTAGCCAATTGGAGCCGTGGTGGCTCATTGGCAGGACGGAAGGCTTGGCAAGGGACAACGTATAATACACATTGGCGTTGGAATTCGAAATATGAGTCGGTCGTAGTGCCACAGTCAGGGCAAAATTTCCCTTATGGCAAGCTGTATGCCATATACCTGTCTTAATTAGCCCAGTCGGTCGAGACAAGCAGAACCTTAACCTAAATTTAATTTCATTTCATTTCAAAAGGGAGCCACGGTGGCTAGGTGGTTAAGACGCTGGCTCGCTAGCCTGGAGGTCGGGTGTTCGATCCCTGCATTGGCCGAGAGAGTTCATCCAGATTTTCCGACGTGGTTTCCCCCTTGTCAGTGGTGCAGAACGGAGGGCCTGACAAGGAAACCTGTCTAGTCCTTCGGATGAGACGGAAAACCGAGGTCCCGTGTATACATTGGAATGCACGTCAAAGATCCCTTGGGAGTTGGAATTCGATATAAGAGTAGGCGACAGTGCTGCTGTCCGGGAAAAATTTCCATCATAGCACACTGTATGGCGTATGCCCGTCTTCATTAGCCCAGTATAGGAGCAGAACAGTAGGACGTTAAACCCCATTTCATTTTCATTTCAAAAGCTACTTTCTCCGAGCGACAGACTTTCAAAATGCACAATCCGAAACCTCTCGATGTATATCCCCACGCGTAGGCTATTTACCCAAGGCTTATTGTATGCCTCCAAGATAGCCATTGTTTTTAAGATTCCTCCAAGATAGCCATTGTTTTTAAGATTGTCGTCTATTTGACACGATACAGGAAAGTATATCATTAATCCAAATAACACACCATATGAATCCTATTATTTAGACTTAAGTCAAAGATTACAATCTATTTTCTTTTGTTTCTGAATTTTACTTATCCTGATTTATTAGACGTTATTTACAATTAACGCAGTTGGGATTGTAAAGTATTGTCAAGATTACTTGTATCGTGAAATGCCGTTTAAGACACTGAATAATAATAATTTGATGTTAATAAATCGATCTTAACACGACCTGTTCATCAAAGAACTTTTTTCAGATATATTTGAAATACAGTGAGGGAGTGGGTTGGGTTACACCAATGTTATATTGAGCTAACTTATCATAAATTCTTCATCACATTAATTTAAAGGACACTATTGGCGCCAATCATCAATTAGAACAAAAGTTGCAATTAAAAAGCAATTAGATGCATATAAATAGCAACTACGTAAATCTGGCAGATATTCTACCAGTGATCATGGACAATAACTCTAATTACAGAAACAGTTTTGTTGATAATCTAAGTCATGAATATAAATAAATCGGCCTTTGTGTTTGAGTCTTAAACGACTTACTTGGTTACGTATAACCGTATAGGTATTTCACAAATAAAATTAATAACGGAAATGCATGATAGGGCAAGATTCAACATAGTTAAAGTTTCGTTAGTGTGTAGTCCAACACAGTTCTTTGAGGTTCCACCGTTAGGTTGTGTACCAGTCCAATTAAATGTAGTTGATCCGTCCAACCATTGCCATTTTCCTTCACTGAGCTTATCGTTACCGCCAGTAAACACTTGTCTGGCTGGTACGAACTCTAAAAGTAAAAAAATAAAAATTATTAATAACCAGAAGTTTGTTAATTAACTCCAAGTTTTAACATCCAATGATCAACACCACAAGTTTTATAAGGATATCTTGTTTTTCATTTATTAAGAGGCTACTAAATCACTTTGAGTATATAATTTTTATGCGTCCACATTTCAGTGTGTGTGTGTGTGTGTGTGTGGCACTATGGGGTACAGATGAGTGACACTTTGGGGTAGCACTAGCTGTGACATTATCGTCTAGGACCTTCTTCGACTGCACGCTGTGGGATCAATTATTTCAATCATCAATTAACTGACTCTGGAACACCGTTTATGTTGTTACAGGGTGATCCTAGCCTCTAAGCCGAGGAGGCTATGAGTATGTTCTCCTTGAGCTCCGAATAATGTCTTCCCTACGGCCTCATCATGATATCTGAAGGTAAATCAAACCATATCTCTCCTATATAGATATTATAATGCGCCATTTATTAGGGCGGGTCAATTCGGCCTACCATTTTTGGGTAAGTGTTTCGTATAGGCACCATTTTAAGTCAACACTATTCTAGTTAATTGTACTAATTCGTGCACGAGATGACTGGACTATAGTACCCTACTTCTAGCAATGGACACTGACATAACTGTCTAAGATAGCAGTAGAATAATGCAAGCTACTTCATTACCCCAGTTTTCGTAAAACATCATGTAGGTAAAGAATTTCTATATTAAACAGAAAACCTTTCTTATAACTAAAATAAACCATGTCATCATCCATGTTCGTCAGCCCGTCTGTCAACAATCTGCTTTTTTAAAGAATTTTTTTTTTCCAATTTGAGGTCGAAGCTTATCGATTTTCAGCGCCCCGAGATCATTCTTTCCAGGATCTCTCCTCTTTTCCGAAAACCATGTTAACACGATAGTGGGCAGGATACAGTTTTTAACGGATTTTTGTTCATCAAATTTGGTGCGAAACATTGGGGTTATGAGAGGACGAACCCTATCGATATGTAGCGCACAGTCACCTTTCATTCCGGAGTTACCTATTATTTGCCGAAAACCCTGTTATCTCGAAAGAGACTACAGGTTGTTTTTCTTTTAAAGAAATTGACTTCAAATTTGATGTAAATCTTTGTAGTCATGGGAATACGAGCTCTATCTATATTCAACTTTTGCTGACATTTCATTCTGGAGTTTTCAGAAAGCTTTGTTAAGAATTATGCAGTCCACCCACAATTAGTTTGTTAACGCGAAAGACAAAACAATTTGTAATGGATTTCTTTTCAATTTTGGTGTGAAGCATTGGGGTCAAGCTATTGGCATTCTGGAGTTATGCTCCGTTTCCGAAAACTTAGATAGGGGCTACTGTTTTTAACGGATTTATTCAAATTTTGCGTGAAGCTTTGGGTTAATAAGAGAGTAAACCCTCAGCGCTGTGGGAATTTGCTTTCCTTAGTTAGCCTACCCACCCTTAAAACCGTATTAACATGATCGAGGCTGTAGCTTTTAGCATATTATTTTCAAAACTGGTGTGAAGCGTTAGGATTGAGAAGCTAACTCCATTGATGTTCAAATTTGGTTGTAAGGCAATTGGATCGAAAAGGATGAACCCCGGGGCTTTCTGTTCCAGAGACATTATATTCCTGGAAAAACTTGAAGGCATAAAGAATCCTTATCAAATCTGGACAACGCCCAAGTTTTCTTTTTGGATAAGCTGCCGTCTATTGCTATCCATTCACACTTAGGAGAATGCGATAATGATGATAATTTAAAAAATATATTAAACTTCATTTACTAGAAATAATCTTAGTGCATGTCAAAGTGTGTGACAAACTGACGGAAAGACGGGCATACCCACTACCCAGTCAAATAGCTTATTGTTTTCGTAGAAGGCATTAGACAAAAAAAAATCGTATGAAGCTTTTTATGTGGCACAAGTAAACGAAAAACGGGTCTATATTAGATACGAGTTTATTAGGATTGACGGGTCTATATTAGATACGAGTTTATTAGGATTGACCTCCCGAGGCGCGATTAAAATTGGATTGCATTTACAAAACCAGTCTATCTTCCTTTAAAAAAAAATCGACGGCCATATTTTGTTTTTGATTTGAAAGTAGATTGTTGAATGAACGTGGTTATATGTGCAAAAAAGCGACCATGTTCCATTGCAAAATGCAAATAAATTTGGGCACTCGGTATTTTTTTTTTTTTTTAAAAAGAAAAACAATTGGCTATTTAAAAACATTTATTGCTTTTTTTAAAAAAAAAAGAAAACTGCCATTTTTACATTAATAACGTGTTTCAGATTATTTAGACTAACGTATACCTGATTTAAAGAGGTCGTCCAGCATCTGAAACCTTTCCAAAGAGTTAACAAGAAACAGATATCCGCCGTCTGCTTCACACCGAGCAAAGGCCTTGCTCCAGGTTGTAATGTCCGTATCGTTAAGGTAGGCCTTATAACATATATTGTAGGTTATGTTGTATATATAATTTGATGGACATACATCTGGAATATAAAGCAGAAATTAAAGTATTTACATTGCTCCCCTAGAACACATTTCCATTTATTTTATAACCTAGTCATTCCTGTACATCTCCGTACATTCTGTTTTATCTTGAAATGTTCCTTAAAAATCCTTATTTGAAAATCGAGAGCATTGGTAGGATCAGCGAATCGCCACTTTGAACTACCCGGTAACAGCATACGTATAAAGCGCATATTATGAATCATAAAATAGCCATGAACATTTGTCATGATTACCCAGCGCTTCGTTGCAATCGCCATGGGACATACGAAATGGTCTATGTTATCCAGAACGGGTCCGATGGATGTTAGGGGGAGAGACCTGAACTGTCGAAAAAAATCCCGTTTACAGACAGCGGCGTCGATCGTCAACGAGCGCCGAAATCTCTGAGCTTACCGTGTATGTGAATCTCGAAGAAAGTTTGGAAAACTTGACGGCCGCATACGCGTTTTCCTATTCCAGCCCGTGAATACAGCAACTTCAATGGTCCCATATAGCCGAACTTAGGTGGCTGACCTGAATTCCAAATCGTTTGTTGTGGGGTATGGGGAACTCGCTCTCCCCGAGAAAATTTCAAAATTTAACCGCCGCAGATACGTTTTTCTGCTATTCTAGCCCATGAGTTTAACAACTTCAAAGTTGTCCAATGGTTTGGCAACTGAAATCCCACTCAATGCCGACCTAACTTCCAATCATCCAATCAGATGCAACCGAAATCCCACTCTATGCCGACCTGAATTCCAATCATCCAATCAGACTGCTGGAGCTGAATTCACAAATAATAATTAATGCCCGAAAAATGTCGCACAAAGCAGTGTGACTCCCATACGCCTCGCAGTGTTTCGTTTGATTAGACTCAAACGACAGACTCATCCTACCTGCAGAGAAGCCAGCTACCATTTAATTTTCGTACGTTAGTTACGTACGTACTCACTGCTGTAAAGAAGGCAAATTCTTGTTCTAAATTATGACTGGTCAATAGTCCGATTAACAACCAATAGCTAACTGCGTAACAATATCAAACAGAGCCCCAAATTGGACCAAATATGTTTACATAACGTTACGTCATGACTCACGATTTTATGATGCCCAATTAACCAGTGCATAGCAGAATATTGCAGAAAAACTAATTGTGTGACAAACGAGGCTATCAGTACGGATATTATGTAAACAATACTGTTTTGAGACGAACAACACTTTCACTGTTTTTAATACCTTAAATCACTGTCCAAAGTTTTAGGGAAGGCCCCTGATTAAAAGAAGGGCTGTCATGTTGTGTGCTTGGGGATAGATTTGATTGAACGGGAAGAATAGACACACTCCCTCAAAAGCGCAAGTATCAGAAGCTAATCCAGCAATGGCCAGAGCGGGATTTCTCGGGCCATTGCTTCAGGAATATGTGTGACTCCAGACAAAATGCTATAATCCATTGTCAATTCAGTACAAATTCGCGGTATTCAATTAAAATAAAAGAAAATTAATGTTTTATTAGATTTCGGGCACTTTATTTTGCCAACTAGATAATATTTTGCCAAGCAGAGTGGCTTCAGACAAAATGTTTTAATCCATAGTCAATTCAGTACGACGTCACGGTATTCAATAAATAGAAATGCAAAATTAGTGTTTTATTAGACTTGGGCAGTTCATTTTGCCAACTAGATTATAAAATTATATCATAATTTTCCCCCACTTTATCTGCCTGCCCGAAGAGTCAGATTGCTCGAAGTTAAATTTGGTCGTTTTGATTTTTATGATCTTTAATTTAAAGTAGCCAAGTCTATAATTATAACCCAATATCATCTAAAGCATTCGACATTGAAAACACGAATTATTTGTCAATTTAAATCAACATTGATGTTGTAATCTTAACGGGAAAAGATGGGCTTCTGATATCCAGTATTTAAGACAAAATAAACATTTTATCATTGGTACACGAATTGTGTACCATAATGCGTTTCAGCGCCATTTGTAACAGGGGACTCGAAGAACGATGCTAGACATATTCCACAAGTCATGCGCAATAAATTCTATTGGTGTAGACTAGAATAACCAGACGCTAAAGACTGCCATTCGATTGAAACTTCTGGTGTATTTCGCCGAACGTAACTGATTTCAAATTATAGTGAAAACGGAAACGATTGAATGTAAATCAGTTTATATACATTTGTATTACATTATTATATGCGTTGCGACCCATTTGTATCAATTTCTAGGTCCCAAATATTAGCGATTGAGCTCTTTTAAGCTTTTGTAAATAAAGTCCCAGGACGACAGCATTTCTACCTGGATGACGAAATATAATAATGGTAAATTACCTTCAAGTCGCCAGTACGTCACTAAACCGTCGCAATGTGTGTAATGCTCCCCAGCCCAAACTCTGTTAAAATGTAAATAACATTCAGAACGGCTCTCATCCGGTTTATATGAAAACGAACCACAATTCAACTTTTCAATACATTTCTCTCCACAATCTTCAACTGATAAATTTATATATCGTTGATAACTGTTTACTAAACGACCTTTAAATGGAATCATCTTAAACACGTATTCAGGACAGCTGCTGGATTCACTCAAAACAGATAACAAAAAGAATACCAGTATGACCATTTTATTATGCTGTTAGAGGTTCACTGTGAGCAGTTTTAATTCCACAAGTGTTATCAAGAAAAAGAATCTTATTGGAATATAAGATTCCTTTCCATCCAATATATCGATATTATGGATTTCCCCATTCTCTCATTGATATTAAAGAATAATGGCTGTCAATAAAAAGGAGACATAACCTCATATTTTAAACTGATTGAAAGCATGACCAATAGTTTATTTCGGCAGATTAAAACAAAAACTATGTAAATCAAAGTAAACTATTGCCCTTACATTGCAAAAGGTCATAGCTCTTATAAATAACCATTGCTATAATGTAGCGCCTCAAAAAGAAATTTTGGTTAATAAAAATAATAGTTCCATAGTTACTAGTTACTATTGATTTATTGTTTACCTTATTATTCAAAATTTACCATATAATTTCGCTTTTCCGATTTATATTTTTCTGATAACCTATTTTAGACAGAAGTTTATAAGAACTTTCAGTATAAATCCGTTACGTACATTTTATTATTCCTATCTCAGGTGTACATTGAAAATGCTTATTTTCTCGCCTGACTGTAACTTGTGTTTTTTTTTTATATATAAATCCAATTTCCGTATATTATGTTTGTCTATTGATCTAGGAAATCTTTGGAATGAAGTGCAATACGGTTAAATTAATGTCCTACTGTTCTGCGCCGTATTTGACCAATTTCCCTAAATTGGGCCCCGTCCTAGAAAGGGGCCCCGTAGCTCACCAACTTAAAAAGAACGTGTGTACATAAAGATATATTCAGACATCGTTGGCCCTTAATAGAACAACATCGCATTAGACATCGTGTAGATTTAGACAGAAGCCGTAGCGTCACATCAGAGATTTAGTGCCGTGGCCAGGATTGTGTCCCCACAGTGACAAAGGTTACAGCAGAGTGCCACATAGCCTGTTTGGGATTCGCGACCAGGATAGGTGACCCGAAGGTGGCACCGTGGTGTCATATCCTGGCTAGGTTCTTGTCGTTTTAAAAGACTGTGCTAGACAAGGGTGCGGTTTATTTCCACGAGGTCTCCCAACTAATGTCCATGGTGGATCAAGTGGATAGTAAGTAGGTCAGACACTTTTTCTAAAACAACTTACTAAGTGTGTTTGTATTTTACCATTTGAAAGGTGTCGATCAACCATTTTTAAAATTTTGTTAGGGTCAAATTATGTTTTTGGGTTGACATGTTAACGACGACCATCTTGTTCATTTTTTCCTCTTTTTTTTGGAAGCTAATATCTGAAAACCTACTCACGCTTACATTTTGAAATCTATGTGCGTATTACCAGAATGTTGGTGAGTGCAAATAAGAAGTTATTTGAGAAAAATTTGAAATCAAAAACCAAAATGACCATTTCCTCGAAATAAAATTGGCAACCATACATGTAGTGACAATATTTCATGTTCAGTTGCATCTAAATTATTACAGTTGTCTTTTATAGCTCTTCAGTAGTAATTATGTACAAGTAACGACTTCGCCATCAATAACCTGTCCTTGTGATTTCGTATTTGGATTTTCGTTTACTAATATGATTGATATAGTCTTCGTTTTTAAGTTGAGATTCAGGTCCTAACATCAGTAAAATTGAGTACTACGCATGGGAATTTATGTTATTTATTAAGAAATTTGCAAGAACGTACAATGTCCTTCATTGAGGCGTTCCTGTTTCATTACTGAGCTAGTAGAGGTATATATTTCTTGGGAATTAAATGCGGAATGAATGTTTGTTACATATTCTTAACCAGTATGGGGTGTAGTATTCCAGAAAAATTTCCCCCATCAATCGGTTTTGGGGAAAAAAATTTGTGGCCGGGTGAAATTTTGGCCTTCGGTGATCACATAAAAAGAGGGATAATTTCGGTATGAATAGAATTTCGACATTTTCTGACGAATTATCATGGTAAAATCTCGCACACAATTCACAAAACGATCAGAGAATAATATTTGGTGATAATAAAATCAGAAATCATATGACGTCATCATTGAAATCCAAGATGGCGGCCAAAATGCAGCTATCTCATAAGTTATCAATTTCAAGTTAAAAATATCTTGTAATATGTCTATCCACAGGTTTATATATCATCTGAGTACGATTAACATAGTAGTTCTGCTAATCCATCATTGGAGTGAGAATATGCACGATATTTATCTCAGGCGAGAAACGTCGAAGAAAGGGACAGTAGTCCGGATGTTCAGCATACGCGGTGTTTGTGCAACCCTGGATCGTACGCTGAAAGAGAATATTCTTTTCGCCCATGCCTGGTCAAGCAGTGACACGACGTCGCAGTGTTATGGCCAAGGAAAGAATTCAATAATAAAATATTTGTGCGACAAAGGCGTGAAAGGTTGGGCTAAGATAATATCTAAATTGAACAGTTCACCAGATTCTGTTGGTAAAGCTGATAGTGCCCTCTTTGGACACATTTACGGTCATACCGGAGACGGCGGACTAGCTCGCTTGTGGTTCACAAAATTTAGAACGATGATGGCTGAAAAGAACCGGATTGACGTCGAGCGTATGCCCCCAACTGATAGAGCGGCACACTTCCACGCACTAAGAGTACATTTGCAAGTAGTCGTATGGGCAAAATTGGACGAATCTGTATTGGATCCAACCGAATAGGGATGGGCGAATGACAGTGGATCTTATGAGCCAGTCCGAACGGACTTGGCATCAGCTCCCGACTCGGTACTCAACTTGTAAATGCAAGTCGATCCGGAACCAATGCGGCACAAATATGTGCACGTGCCGTAAAAATGGTCTCAAATGTTTTGATGAATGTGGCGGTTGCGGCGGAGAGAACTGCACGAATGTGGAGGCAGTTGATCTGGATGACGATGAGGACTAATCGGTGAGTCACGAATATTATTTTCCCGGATTTAATACCGTGTTCAATGAGTTTTTACTATGTTAATCGTACTCAGATGATATATAAACCTGTGGATAGACATATTACAAGATATTTTTAATTTGAAATTGATAACTTATGAGATAGCTGCATTTTGGCCGCCATCTTGGATTTCAATGATGACGTCATATGATTTCTGATTTTATTATCACCAAATATTATTCTCTGATCGTTTTGTGAATTGTGTGCGAGATTTTACCATGATAATTCGTCAGAAAATGTCGAAAATCTATTCATACCGAAATTATCCCTCTTTTTATGTGATCACCGAAGGCCAAAATTTCAATCGGCCACAAATTTTTTTCCCCAAAACCTATTGACGGGGGGAATTTTTCTGGAATACTACACACCATACTGGCTCAGGATATATAACAAACATTCATTCCGCATTTAATTCCCAAGAACTGGGCATTCACTCGTTCTACTATTAGGCTTTTTACTAATTTGAGCTTTGAAAAACTGGCGCGTATTGTGATATCCAATCAAAGCAATCATACGTATACACAGATATATTCATATACATATATTAAGTATTTGGGATTTTCCCTTCTATTTTGGCATATTTTGTTTAACTCATTAATTCATTTAGTCGCTGATGCATAATTTTGCGACCGACTGCACTTATTTTGCTCTTGAAGTGCTCTTTATCTTTAAGGCCTAAGGGTGTTTAAGCGAAGTATTTGTATAGTTATTTTTTATTTGTTTACGTAACCTATATTCTTATCTCGGCCAAATAATGCACTTTCTACTTATAGGCGTATTACGCGAGAAACTGTGTTATGCGATACTCTTTGTCGCCCCAAAATGGCATTTTCAGACAAATGTTACACATTTTCAGGCTATAATTAGAGATTTTCCGTTCAAAATGCTATTTCAGTGTATTTTCATGGATAAATCATTCAGGGTCCGCACGTCCATACCTCTTTTTTTTACCGGTGCACTTGGTAGACGTTTATGTATCCTGATAATCGAGTCTATAGTGCAGGAAATTGGTAGGTGATAATTCGAGTTATGAAAGAAAAACTTGTTGAGGTTGGTATGTCTTTTGACTGTGTTGGCTTTATTTGAAACCTAGAAATGAAATGAAATGAGGTTTAACGTTCTATATTCTGCCCGTCTTTATTGGCCCACTCGAAGCAGTAGAGTAGGACGTTTAACCTCATTTCATTTAATTTCTATTTTTCCGCCACAAGCCGGATAATGAAGATGGACAAATGAGAGAAGTTTTCGCCTTGACAATGGTCTCTCCGCCTACTCTGCATCGAATTCTAACGGCCAAGGGATCCTTCACGTGCATTCCAACGTTTACACGGGTCCGTAGGTTGTTCATTGCCAGTCCATACTTATTGCATCACTGACAAGTGGAAATATGACTCACCCAACGGTGGGTGGGGAAAGGGGTGGAGGTTTGGGTCGAACACGTTTCTAGGTAGTCCAGCTCGGAACGTATCTATAGGTCTCTTTACAGTCTAGGCGACCGCACAGGAGCTTGTAACGTGGGAAATCTCTTTCAAAAATGAGATTAAGCTGTGACTAAGTATAATAACTTGTCTGAAACCCATTTTCTAATTCAGGGGAAATAACTCGCCCGAAACCAATTCTATATCGAAAGATATAATACTAAAAGGTGAGAAACGTTTATATATTATTATTAATGTTACTTCTGGAAAACTTCTACTTCAAATATTGAAATAATATTACAATCTTAACACTTGCTAGTTTAACACAGCTATAGCCGAGATGAGGTCAAGGCCTAAAACACAATTAAACACAACCATAACCGAAGCTAAACACTAACTGACTAAGCGTGAATGGGCGCTTTGTTTATATTTTTTTAGGCCAAGAACCTCAGGACAAGCCGTGGCAAGTGGATAAAAAAGATAAAATGGTATGACTGTATTAAGAATATTATTTATTATACCATCTTAAAGGCTCCCGTGTCCCAACACCATTGGCCAAGCAACTATATTTGAACAAATTACACTATAAAGATGCCTTCCCGCGTATAAACTGGGTGATTTGATGATATATTTAGACTAAAAACATATTCAAACTAATTAATCTATCAAAATTTGCTTCAAATATCTCTCAAAACGAATTGGCGGGGAAATATCCCAAGCTATAAATTAATAATCTATTTTAAAAAAAGGCAGGTTTGTGTCACATGACTTGTCTGTCGCTGTAACTAGCAACGGGTGCGACGCCGGGGGAGAATTTATTGCATATAAAAGAAGATGTTGTCTTTAATCGCTGTCCATTATCATAAATATCGAAGCCTAAGCAAATTCTCGGACTATCCCCTAACCACGTCTTTCTCCGTGGATTTTATACCAGAAAGTCTCCCTTTTTCCACGTCCGCTCATCATCAAGTTTATTAACATATACATCAAGCGCTCCCTAGCACCAAGAGTTCAGACAATCTACGCGTACAACCTTTGACGTCACTCGAGCAGACAGCCCTTAATCGCCAGACTGCCAATTAGTGACACCCTCTCATTTTTGTCCAGTGCGCGCTCCATGGGTGTTTTTCAAGAAATCCAGTATTTTTCTAGTAAGATTAGGTGTCTCTACTTTCCATATATTCCAAAATTGCCATACTTTTATTGGAAATAACCACCCGATAAATACTTTGGTGGGAAAGTACACGTATCTTTAAAGCAGCTACATTAATCACTTATACACCAGGCGGTATATAAATTGTTTCGATCATTCACGCTCAAGCTGTTTTGTATCGACTACAATGAACCGAGTCAAGGCAAAATAGCGCTTAAATTGAATACAGTGTCAAAAGCCATTTGAGATATAGAAAGCATTGTCTATGGCCGTCACAAATATCTGGGTTTTTTTAGTTTAAAAGTTGAAGAAATGAAATTCCCGTAAACTTTCGCGTCGCCGCCGGCAAAGCACGGCGTACACTCTTCCAATGATTTTTAAAAATTAGACGCACGCCAACGCGTTTTTATAGAAGGCAAACAGGTTTTTGTTCCCCAAAAATATTATATTAAACATACACTGCCTATTGCAATTCTTTCTTTAGGCCTGAAATGTTATCTAAATTATTAATTAGACATTAATTAACTGAATAGATCATGTAAGATTAGGGACAAGAAACCAAAATGGTCTAATTGCCCCTTTAAGGTGTTATTCATCTTTATATCATCAAATGTGAATTAGTGCCATCCAAAAATCAAACTTTCATTGTGCATATACTTAATAATAAAGGAAACTTGACTTTGAATTATTTTTATTTCATTTTTAGACTTCCCTGAAAAAGTGGATCGAGGATTATTGTCCGGTAGACGACGTTGGTGTGAAACAATCTCGAATTTTATTAACTGGGTCAGTTGGAGCGGGAAAATCTAGTTACGTTAATACCATCAATTCCATATTTAGAGGCCATGTGACTAGTCAAGCCGGTATCGGGAGTGCTGAAAATAGTTTGACTACCATAGTAAGACCGCACACTCATTTTGTACTCCATGTAGAAAATCAGAAACCCAAATTGGCCATCATACTAATGACAAATGTTTATAAACTAATTCAATTTTTCAACAAATATTTGGGACATAGAAATTGACACAAATGGGTCGCAACGCATATAATAATGTAATATGAATGTATATAAACTGATTTACATTGAATCGTTTCCGTTTTTACTGTGATTTCAAATCAGTTGTGTTCGGCGAAATACGCCAGAAGTCTCAATCGAATGACAATCTCTAGCGTCTGGTTATTCCATTCTACACCGTTCTTCGAGTCCCTTGTTACAAATGGCGCTGAAACGCATTATGGTACATGATTCGTGTACCAATGGTAAAATGTTTTTTGTCTTAAAAATACTGGATATCAGAAGCCCATCTTTTCCCGGTAAGATCACAACATTAATGTTGAATGACATTGAGTTTGGGTTGGATTTTTCTCTGGTAATGACAAGCTATATAGTTAGCTCTAAACAGTCAGCCAAGAACAATTCGAGGACCATCTACAGACAGACATGTAACATACCCACTACCAAATTTTAACAAAATGTTAAGCAGACAAAAAATATGAATGAAACAAATAAAGCAATCTACAAATGTTCACAAGGAGGTTCAATTTTTAAAATATTACATGTTAATCGTATACAGTTAAATATGTTTAATAGTCCCCGATAAAGATTTTGTAGCACCACTCGTCGGTTGAATATTGAAAGCAAAACCGTCAGGGACACAAAGCATACTGCACGCAGCGACCCATCTACGTCATACTTCTCAGCCGGAGCTAGCTGTAGATAGGCAGCCTAAGTTTGGGATGGGACACAAAGGGACACAGATCACCAAATATTCCTACGAAACAAGGGCCAAAGCTATTTTTAGTCTTCCTCTCCCTTTTCCTTTTTCCCCCTTTTGCATGGCGATTTTTGTTGACTTTTTGGTGTAGAATTGAGGAAAAGGGTTTGAAAATACATTTTCTGCCAGGTTTTGGTGAATATTCATAATTCTGATGCGGAAGGATACAAGAGTTGAGAGGTTGGTTACGTTGAAATGTAGGGCCTGAAATTGCATGTTTACTTGTCTCTACTTCCAGCTTGTGTATCTCAAGTTTTTCATGAAGAACCTCATACGTGCTTTTGGGCAAGCGGTTGCCACATGTTGCTCCATCTGTGGTAGAAAGCGTTCTACCCAACGAAAATTTGGGAAAAAGTTAGAGCCCGTCTAAGATACGAGAATTAACATTGGAGTCAATGAGGAAATCTTTAGTGATCTGTGTCTTGTCTGTGTGTGATAAGGCTGTCACTGATATGCCTTAGTTTTGAAAATATGAAGATTAAATTCTCAGAAAATATGAATAAAATAGTTTGGCTACAGAAAAACTAAAAAAAGTTAATTAAAAAAAAAAAAATCAAAGTTTTGAAGAAAAATTGTGATTTTACTGCAAATTTCTCAATTTTCAATTTTTATTGAATTTTTAACAGTAAGTAAAATATTGTAATGCCCAATGTTGGCTTATTCAGTCTCAGAAAGCACAGATAAAGTGAACAGTATTGAAATTTCACCAAATTTTGTCTAAAAATCAGGAATATTCACAAAAAATCTTGAGATTCCCCCCATTTGGATGTAGAAATTAATATTTTCATGACTACTAAAATGAGTCAAAATGTCTAAAAATGCCCATATTTTCTTTGCTAATATAACTTAGATGGGATCTACATGTTTGTCAGGTTTAGAAATAGCTCCAGCTTTCCTACAGAAAATTTAAAATTGGTAACACTGAGTTAATAATGTACAGCAGATGGGTTTGTACAAAATGTTCAAAACAGGGGTTGGCTCAATTTTGCCACTATTTTACCCAAAATAAGCATTTTTTTCTCCTTTGAAACATTAAATTCTTGCATTTCCTTCATGTAGGAAGCAATATCCCAGCCTTTCTAGACATTTTTTACTCCATCATTCTGTTTAGAGAGGCAATAAATGCCCCACCCCACCCTTTTCTATTAATGTGTTTTGAGGGATTTAAATGCACCTGTGTTGACATGAAAATGATCTTAATTGGAATTTGTGGTTGAATTACAGCTAAGAATGTTATTTTTCACCCAAAAATATTTTTTTTGTGCATTTCTAACCCTTATTTGTTCAGAGTCAAACGTAGAACCCTGAGGCATTTCAGGCCAATGAGACCAGACCCAGATATAAAACTGGTGTAGATGTGTAAATGTCAGTTTAATGTTCAATATTTTCTTATCAAAATCCAGCATTTGTGGTGTTTGCTGCATTTATGTTGCCTATAAAACAATAAAATGTTAATTTTTCTCCTTTTCAGGCCTCTTTTTATGTTGTCAAGTCTGTCATGACTACTTTTTTGACTTCATTTTTTCAGGAAATTAATGTAAAGTTCCAGACATCTTGCTTCAGCACAAGGATTGCAATACAAATTTGTAACATGCCTCTGAGGTTTGAGATGTTGGAAACATTGAAATATTCCCAAATTTGTGAAAATTGTGTATTCTGTGACCCTTCTGTTAGAGAGGGGTGATCATAGACCAAATATGGCATTTTTTTCATTCATCAAGGCCTATTTTTAACCATAATTCATATTTATTGCACCTATTTTAGTTTATATGTGCATATGTTAGCCAGGGATGGTAAAACATAGCTGTTAGACAGATTCCTTTGGTAATGTAAGTTCTGCAACCATAGATTAGATTAATTCAATCAGTGGCATGTTCAGGGGGTAGGCATACATGTTTCAGTATAGATCTCTAATATTACAATCATTGCAACTGGTTTGCATTTTTTCTGTTTGCATATTGTCCACAGATTCTAAAAATATATTTCTTGTCCGTCCGGATATTTAAAAAAGTGGAAAATTATTGGTATTTTGAGAGATGCTACATGTAAATTTTGTACATTTTTCATCACATGGCAGTAAAAAATTGCTCCATCTGTGGTAGAAAGCGTTCTACCCAACGAAAATGTGGGAAAAAGTTAGAGCCCGTCTAAGGTACGAGAATTAACATTGGAGTCAATGGGGAAATCTTTAGTGATCTGTGTCCAAAGGTGTTCTTATATACGTTTTTATATCAAGCAGGATACACAGTTTACAAGCCTAAGTTTACAAAAATCTCAAATGTCTTTCAGTCTATCTCAATCCCTCAAAAAAACAAAAAACAGAGCGAGTTAGCAGATGGAAACATCATATCGTATTTCTCATAGGAATTCAAACAGCGTCTGATTTAACAAGACTCATTTTTGATCTTTTATAATATTCCCTAATATCACATATTAATTAGGCGATTGGTTAATTACGCCCGATGACGTCAAAATAAGCTAAATATGAAAATGTAAGTCTGACATCATATCTGTGAAATTTCCATTTAAATATTAGTTTAAAAACATAAACAGTTATGATGTGCAGACCTATGGGTCATTTTAATATATCAAAATATCATCTAGTTTGGTTAGATTAGGTGATGTAAAACTTGTCTTGGAATTTGAAAACAATATTTAGGTCGGGGCTTAATAATGCTACTATTTTACACCTTTGCATCTATACTTTGGATGTCTTTATTGTTGTTAGGTTTTATATATACAATTAATTATAAAAACATTTTGGCGATTGTTTAATTTCAGTATCGCTGCCATCAAGTTCGTAATGGATCGACCTATTTAAAGTTTCGTTTGTGTGACACCCCAGGACTGGACGACGCACACGGAATAGGTGAAGGTGATCTGGAAGCTATCTTGGACGGCCAAGTTCCTGATCGTTATACGGTAGGTAGACAAGGTGATCTTGTTCAATTAACATACGTACATTATTTCTATAGGAGAGGGGCGGGAGGCTTGGGTGATCAAATGGTCTAAGTCCTTAAACTATGCCAGCCTTGAGTTTGATCGTATGGCCAACTGACCCTGTATGCATACGGAATTAAGATATATTGAAGGCTATAAATTTTCAAATATAATTCTGCTTAATTTTACAGTTTCATCCGTTTTCACCGATCACTACAGATAATCCAGAATATATTAAATCACCAAGTATCAATGATAAAATTCACTGCGCAGCTTTTTTCATTGATGGTGGATCCGTAGATGTTATGAATGACTCCATTCTCTCTAAATTTAAACTTTTACAGAAACTAGCTAATCAGAGAGGTAAGACTAGCTTTTCTAGATAATTGATATAAAATGTGCATGTTGTTTATAGTGTCGGATAGGTTGGGCAATGTAGACATTGTTACTGGGGAGAAATATCAAAAACTAAAGAGATAATGCTATATGATTAAAGCTTTAATAGTTATTTGGAATTCCTATGGCTGTATATTGGGCCCAATTTGAACACATTATTACCTTTTGAAAATCAGTGTTTAAAGAAATACATGTAATTGTAGTAGCATGATGCACATTTTATCAAACACGCCCATTTAGGAATATAGCCAACCAAAATAATATTGTTTTGAGGGGATTTGTTTCTAAATAGTAATAATCCGTTTAAATTTAAGTTACCATATATGACAAAGGCTGTTTCTTAAAAAAATAAATATAGAATGGCCTTGTTGGGCGGACCATTGCTAAGTTGATACATCTGTGTATCGTCTAGGAGAAACAGAGCTAATGATGCTAAAAGAGACTGCAATTAGTTGTTCAACACAGGGAAATCTAGCGGCCAAGAAGCCTCTGGCGCATCCGATTCCAAAGGTGGTTCTGCAACCCCCAGCATACTGGATTAAATCTACTCTTCTTCAAATATAGTCTTGTAAAGTGTGTTGTTAGGGGAATATTACTTACACTGTATATCATTTTAACAAGACCGACATGATGAGAAAATAAGATGGGTTTAGCCAATAACTGGCTCTGTTAGCGACAGGATTAGTCAGAAATACTGTGGTATGACGTTAAATTTCCAGAAATTTTTAAAGTTACATTGGACTTCACGTTGTGTTTTAATAAATTCTATTAATTTTTAGTGTTTTTTCTCTATATTTGAATTTTACTCATATGTTTAACTGAGAGTTAGATCGTCCGGCCATTTTAATGCACGACCTGACGATTCGTTTGATAACGATGAAAGTACTAGCCAGAAATTTAATTTTTAGTGTTTTTTCTCTAATATTTAAATTTTACTTATATAATAAATTTTATTATATTTACAGGTGTGCCGCAAGTTATTTTGTTGACCAAAGTTGACCAGATTGGATTAGAAGTGGAAGACAACCTCTCTAACCTATTGCATTCTTCTAAAGTAGTTTATGTTGTAGACCAGGTAGCTCAGTTGACTGGTTTACCAAGGGGACATGTTTTACCTGTTAAAAATTACGAGAAAGAAACAGAATTAAACGAAACTGTTGATAAATATGCTTTACTTTCCTTAGAACAAATGCTACAATCTGCTGATGATTTCATGTATGGGATACTCGACGCTTAAAACTGTAATAATGTTTTCCACATCTATTCTGTAGTGCAATCAAAATTCAAAAGTTCATAACTACAGAATGACAATTAATCAATGCAACATTATGTGGACTTTTACCACTATTATCATGTTCTGATGGCGATAAGTTAACATTTTCGACACCCGTTCAGTATTCACAAAGATATAATGAAATCGCAGCATCCAGCATCTTCTGCAGACGATAAAAACAAGCCAATGCCACCTGTAAGTGAAATCTTCTGGGCATGGACATCTTATCCACCTTTCATATGTTGGTTTTGTCTTCGTAATTTTTAAATAATCAATTTATTACACATTTTCTGATCTAAGTTTTCGATTGGGTATAATTGTTTTAGTTTACCCTTTTACGTTGTTGTAAACAACACAAGACGACTCCAACTTCAGCGTTTAGTATGGAAGCCTATCGCGGCGAGAAGTCGGGGGCAAGAACACGAGAAGACGAGAAGTCGAGAAGACGAGAACACGAGGAAATAGGGCGAGAATACGAGGAAATAGGGCGAGAATACGAGGATATCGCCCCGAGAACACGAGATTACTTTCACCTCGACTTCTCGCTCCCTCGTCCCTCGACTTCTAGCTCCCTCGTGTTCTCGCCTTTGAAAAACCTCGTGTTCTCGCACTCTCGCCCTCGTGTTCTCGCACTCTCGCCCTCGACGTCTCGTCTTCTCGACCTCGACGTCTCGACTTCTCGTCTTCTCGCCTTTGAAAAACCTCCACTTCTCGCTCCCTCGCCTTTGAGTTAATCTCGTCCTCTCGTGTTCTCGCTCCCTCGCTTCGTCACAATCTCGACTTCTCGTCTTCTCGTGTTCTCGCCTCGGAAGTGCAGTTTATACGCATGTCCACTGACTACCGTATCGGCATTTATATTTGGACATTGATTATAATAAACATAAGTTCTAGAAAATTGAATAGTCCTAAACAATTTTAACAAGAACAAGATGGCGGATGTGAGAGGACGCTTAAAAATTCGGTCTGAGTAAATTTTATTTTTATCCTCGTATGAAGAAACAACGGTCAACTATGTTCTAATCTGACTGACTTGTATGTTTCTGAGCAACACCTAGACTATTATTTATGTGAATTTCAAACCTGTGGTCCCTAAATTTGTGTTAGTTACACATCGGAGGAGATATTGAGACTCAGTCATTGTCTAAACATGGCAGAAGATCGACACACTGTGACTAAGAGCTCACTACCAATACAAATCAAAGAAGCTAGGATCAAGTTATCATCTAGGACAAATGATTATGGTAAAAATTATCGTCACAGTATTTCCAGTACTTCTAGCCAGGAATCTCCACTTCAACCTAAAACTGCGAAAATAGCGGGTGAACCATCGTGTGGGTCAAAAAATAATGACGAGTCACCACTAAATCAACCAGGTACAGTTGACAATACATTTTTTGATAGCAAAGCTTTTCACCTTGTCATTGAACAAGCTGTACAAACTGCAGTTGCAGGAATTAAACAAACTCTTCTATCCTATGTCAAGGATCAATTCCTTGTATTCGATGAACGACTATCTGAGGTTGAGCTAACACAAAGAAGCATAGGCCTTGACGTAGATAATTTCCACGAACGATTTGAGCAAATGGAGGCTAGTATGAAGGCAAAAGAAAGTGAGTGTAAATCATTAGCAAACAAATTAAACAACAACTTAGAACAATATACACGGAAAGCCCATCTGCGAGTATTTGGGGTAAAAGAAACGCCAAATGAAGATTGTGTCAAAATTGTCTCCAAGTTAATCAAAGATAAGGTGAAAATTGATAAATCAATCTCTATTGAGGCGGCTCATCGTGTTGGTCCTCTTCCCAATGTTTCAAGTGATGACACTACTCCAAAAACTGTGAAACCCAGGGGAATTATCGTCAGATTTATGAGAAGGGACGAGAGACAATTAGTTGTTTCAAACAGACGAAAATTGGCCAAATCAGGGGTTTCTATCGTAGAAGATATGACAGTGGAGAATATTAGACTTTTAGATAAACTTCAAAAACACCCACTCGTAAAATCATCATGGTTCTCAAATGGAAAGGTTAAAGCACAGGGACACAATAATAATGTTTGTAGAGTGGAGTTAGTTCCAGAATTAGATGACCAGTTAATTAGGAAATTAAGTGATCAGAAATTAAGTGATGGAAATTTGCAAATGTTATGGCTATTTTCAAAAAAGGTCACCCAAATGAATGCAGCAATTACCGACCCATTTCGCTCCTTAGTATTATTGTAAAAGTATTTGAGAAAATTATATATAAACACGTCTTCAATTTCTTCAAGGACAATTCAATACTGACTAACACTGCAAAGTGGTTTCCTACCAGGTGATTCTACTATCTTCCAATTAATAGATCTAAATCATTTTTTGTCAAGTCATTGATCATAACAAATATACCAGGATCGTCTTTTGTGACATAAGCAAGGTTTTTGACAGAGTCTGGCATGCTGGACTCTGTCACAAGCTGGATGCTGCTGGGGTTCGAGGAGGGTTATTATTATGGTTCAAGAATTATTTAGATAATCGACAGCAATGCGTCGTAATACATGGAACCTCCTCGAACTAAAGGGGCATCCCCGCTGGTGTCCCACAGGGCAGTGTATTGGGACCACTGTTATTTTTATTAACGACATTGTGGATGATATACAATCAAACATTAGACTATTTGCAGATGACACCTCTCTGTACTTAAAAATAAATGATCCAGAGGCATGCGCAGTTACCCCAAATAAAGACCTACAAAAAATCAATGCATTGTCGGAAACGTGGCTAGTGACATTTAACCCCCTAAAGACAGAAACCCTAACCCTCACGACTAAACACAATATTGTGAAACCACCCCTTTTAATGAAATCAATTAGAATAAAGGAAGTAATTGAACACAAACATCTTGGACTTACTTTTCAAACCAATTGTAAATGGAACAGCCACATTGATAATATAATTAGTAAAGTATCTAAATTAGTAAACTGCCTACGCTCCTTGAAATATCGCTTAAACAGAAAATCACTAAACACGTTATATTCTTCATTCATTATGCCGCACTTTGACTATGCCGATGTTATCTGGGACGGGTTGCACTGACTACTTATCTAATAATCTCGAATCCCTTCAGCTTGATGCACTATGCACTATTTGTGGGGCGGTTAAAGGTACTAGCCACGCTTCCCTCTACGCGGAAACTGGGTTTATTCCACTCAAAGAACGACGAAATCGAAACAAATTAAAATTAATATACAAAATTACAAACAACCTGACCCCTCCCTATCTTAAGAATCTCATAAATCTGGAACCAACAAATACATACTCATTTCGAAACGAAGATAAAATTAAAGAAATTCGATGTCGTACTGAAATATTTTCTAAATCATTTATTCCATCCAGCATAAGAGAGTGGAATAAACTCAGCCTCCCTGCTAGAAACTCAAGAACTCTTAAAATATTCTCCGACCATCTCTCCAAATCAGATATAAAAATTCCAGATGGGACCAAAAAAAGGGGGCCCCGTGTACACATTGGCGTCTGGCATTGATTCAAGTGGCTCGGTTTCGATTCGCCGCTTGAACGTGACAATGATAAGGATCGTCTGCTGTCCAATCGTGTGAGTTTTCTCCGGGTTCTCCGGGGTTCCCCCACTCCTAAAGACCCCTAAACGCAAGCAAATTATTGAAATAAAATTGTTAGTCTCGGAATGACCTGGTTTGTGTCGAGTCTGTCTGTCTCTTTCTTTCTCTCTTTCACACTCATTGGTGTCCACGTACAATAGCCCTTTACCGTTAGAATTCGGATTAAGAGTAGGCCCTCGTAGCACACTGCATGACGTATATTCACTTTCATTAGCTCAGTTGGAGAAGAACAGTATAGGTTTTGGTAGCCGAATGGTTAACGCGTTCGCGTTTGATGATAAGGACTGTCATTGAATCAACTGGCGGGATATCGATTCCCCGCTTGTACCTGTCAAGTGATAGGTCGCCTGTCGAACCATGTGGGTTTTTTCCGGGTCCTAAATGTGCGGTCTGGTAGTTGATTCTGTGAAATAAATAACATTTTGCCACCAAGGCTCATTTAGGTGGTTTTGATGCAGCCTGGACGTACCCTTTGATTAATAAACCCCAAAAGTTGTGTATGTAGGTATGTATGTATGCATGCATGTATGTATGGATGTTCGCCCGTCACGCTTCGTGGCCATGAGAACTTTGCGGTGATATCATTATAAATAAAATCTAAGTGTGTATGGGTGTGGGTATGTATCTTTGTATGTATTTTCGCCCATCACGCTTCGTCGCCGCGCTGCACCCACACATTATTATGTGGTATTAAATTAACCAGCACGACAACGTGAATGTTTTAGGCCATCGAATCTGGGCCACAGGTGAATTTGGGCCACGAACGAATTGTGCCTCGGGCGAATTTTGTTTCCGTGCGAATTTGAGCATTGGGCGAATATGGGCCCCTGGCAAATTAAGGCTACGGGCGAACTTGGACCAAGAGCGAATTTAGGCCCGTGTAGAGCCGGGTATCCTACGAGTTATTTGATAATGCATCATAGAAAGGTAATGAACATTGGTATGTTCATAACTTATTCATCCGTTAATTCGAAAACATAAACATCTTGGAGCCACCAAAGCTAGTTAAGAAGTTATTATGTGCGCGGTGAGCCTAAAATAACCCGATTTTCCCATATTTCTGGTATGACTATGGTAATATATGTCGACAAAACAGCAAAAGAGGCTTCTGAAATTTTGCAGTCTAATAGTTTATTTTGTGAAATATTAAGCATGCTGCCACCAAAGCTGGTTTGAATACTTTTTGATGCAGGTACCCTTTTCTGCGTGCTCACTTAGTCTAGTATGCGACATTTTAATGTGGGTACAGTAATGACTTAATGTGGTTATTTTTGGTCTAGTACTTATATTATGTATTAATGTGTTTAAAAACGTTATTTTCTAATACAAAGGAAACAATTATTATCGGTTTTTGTTGACGTTCGAAATGAAAATGAAATGAGGGGGGGGGGGTTGAACGTCCACTCGACAAATCAAGCAATTAACAGTTTTTTTTAGGAGGGGGGGGGGGTGAAGAAAACCCACAAGGAACCATCTGTGTCTCTATCACATCATATGAAATATCCCCCATCACTAAATTTAACGTAAAATCGGCGTTTTTCGAAATTTGGTCAGAGAAATCCCATGCAAAGTAATGGCGGCCTCCTCGCGAGTTTGCTCACGGATCTCCCACAATGTAACAGCGAGACGCCCTTTTTTTTGGAATGGGTGATTCATGTTACATATACTAATAAGCAAAGTCTTACACGAGGGTGGCTCGTTGTTCTGACGGAGTTCGGGTCTTATGTTTGATTAATGGGAAACATTTGGTTACAGCTTTTGACCAATCAGCCATGGATATTTCGTAATAATTAACTCCTTTTGTGTAAGACCATTTCTATTCGTAAATGCATGCCGGCAGGGTAGTATATAGACGAGGGTCGATTATTCGGGCTATTCAAGCAAAACAATATATATATATATATATATATATATATATATATATATATATACGGGAATACTATTTATAGACCGCCTATTTACATAGGGACCGGTATGTATGCCAGTAAACCATATGATTTGTAATTGATGCTTTTAATTCCACTGTCTTTTCAGAAGAAAAATATGAACATCTCTGTAATGGATGAACCAAAAGACTGTTAAAATAAATTGTTCAAAGACTATAATCTAGAAAGGTTTTTATGTAATAGAGGGTCACTAACTCCAACCTCTTCCTTATTTACCGCTAAGTACAGGTATTTCGCAAAGAAAATGTTCCAGTCTATTGCAGTTTAAGTTCATATGAAGTCTTGATAAATGTTTTGTCGTACTCAATACAACACATTTTTCATTATTTTGGAAGTTGGGCTCGTCATTAGCCCAATGAAATGTAGTTGATCCGTCCAACCATTCCCAGTTCCCTTCACTGAGACTACCTCCAGTAAAAGCATACAGCGATTTTAGTTTTGGTAAGTCTAAAAGTATATAAAAATAGATATGAACAGTTAAAATATTAATTTGCTGAGCAATCACAATTACCTCCGACAGCAGCAACATCGTCCATGCTTCCCAATATGACCCAATGAACAACCATACTACACAGTTTTAAAACATTTCATTTGAAACCATATAGTCTGATTCGGTTTGTTATTCCCACCCGTCGGCTTTTCGTGTATAAATCGTGGAATAAGCTTTATTTTGAAGGTTTCAATGTTTAATGACGAAAAAACAATGTTGACATAGTATGGGAGACCATTAGTTGAGGGTAGGCATTTTGCGATAATATTCCAACTTATTTATAATGTTACCGGGAAAGTTTGACGATAAGCTGATTTTGATTAAGTAGTAGTGTTTGGTGTCAATATATATGTTTTCAGGGACACAGATTCAACTCAATTACACATGTAGACCTATTTTTGCATATTTTTTGGCGGGAAAACGGGACGATGTGCTGATATTGATTAAGTGGTCGTCTTTAGTGTCTATATACATCTTTTCAGGGGCACAGATTCCATTTCTGCCAGTTATAACGGTGTAAAATGATCATATGTTCACCTATTTTGCATATTTCCAAGATGGCGTTCCCATTTTTCAAAGGAAAATTGGGCGATGTGCTGATATTGATTACGTAGTCGTGTTTTGTGTCAATATATGTTTTCTGGGCGCAGATTCGATTTCTGCCATTCCAAATTGCGGGAAATGATGGTATGTCCATTCATACAACATATTTCCAAGATGACCGCCGTTTGTGGCAGGACGTTTTCTAAACACATTACTGAAAAGGTTTCTGAATCCAATTATGTTATATATAGGCTTGTAGCGTGTTCCTGGAAGCCAGTGCCGTGTTTTACCCATTAGGTATATTATCCAACGATAAAAATTGGTGGCGCCATCGAGACTTTTAGTTTATGTTATCTGTCAGTTATAAAAACAAAATTAACGACTGTCAAAAATATGAGACTTAAACTTTTGAAAAGGTAATCAATAAATTAAAAAGCAGAAGAGAAATGTATGATACTAAATATAAAGCGGTATACAAAGAAATAAAAACAAGGACTGCAAATGAAATAGTAATACTTGCTATAAAAAAAACCTTCAAGGCATAGATTATATTATCAAATGACTCCAGTCATCTATGACATCACTGCCATCACCATTTTAAGAACTGGTGGCAGTGATGTAAAAGTATAAAAGTCGTTCTTTAAGTGGCCACGTCGTTCTGTAAGTGGAGACATACTTTATTTTTCTAACGCAACAGCATTTCACATGCTCGTTCCACATTCAGCTTGGAAGTCAGTTGATAACATAATCTATGCCACGGGGCCTTCTTAGCAAGTAGTTCATTTACAGCCACGCCACCCACCGTTTAACAACGTTGTCGTAAGGCTGAAACGATGCTCCTAATCACATGCTTGCTACGCGGTTACGACCTTTTTGTATATATCGGGAAGGTGCTGATCCTCGTCCATCAGCTCCAGTCTAGCATCCAAAGGGGAAACATCACGAAACTAAAAATGTTCTTGATGGCTTGACGTTTGGTTGTTCTCTGCTTTGAAAGTTAATAAGGAAGGGGGAGCGTGGCGCAGGCTCAATGGGCGTGGCGAAAAAGCATGTCGGAGGCGTGGTGGGTGAGAACGTATCCCGGTCTAACTGCTAACCACGAGAGCATGGTGGGAATACGGTGCGCGATACCAGAGCTTAGCCATGAGCGTAGTAAGATCTTGAGGCGCTAAGGGTAGTAAGCGCTTGGTGTGGTCGTGGCAGGAGGAATTTCGTGCCATGCTTATTGACGCAACCCCCACACCGCCGTTACGCTCTCTTTGCCTGCATGCCAGGAGATCGAGTGCATAGGCCTTTCTTTCCCAGGAAAATCGATATTAGCTCGGATCAGCAATTTTCATCGTTGGATAATATACCAAACCGGCTGCCAGGAATGTGCTACAAACTAATAGCCTACGTAGCAGAATTGGACTCAGAAACCTGTAAATAACAACGAAAAGTAAATATATGATAATACCGTGTTTAGACAAACGTTCCACCGTCTTGAAAACATGCGAAATTGGTGAACATACGATCATTTTAAGCAGTTGTATATGGCAGAAATCGAATCTGCGCCACCGAAAACATATATATTGACACCAAAGACGAATACTTAATCAAAATCAGCAATATTGGAAATACGCTAAATATGTGAATATGTCAACATGTTATCATTTTACAAGGTTGTAAATGTCAGAAATGGAATCTGCGCCCCCGTAAATATATACATTGACAACAAACTACTGCTAAATCAAAATCTGCACATCGTCCCATTTCCCGCCAAACATGGCCACCATCTTGGAAATATGCTAAGTACGTGAACAATTTACAAGGTTGTAATCTGAAATAAAGCCATGACCCTTGTCAATATTAATACAGTGCCAAATCACAGTTGATATGTCGATAACATTATCAATAAAGTGAAAATGATAAAAAAAAATAAGCTGGAATATTATCGCAAAATGGCTACCTTCAGATAATGGCCTCCCATACTATGAAGACCTACTCAGAAAAAATGTCAACATTGTTTTTTTTGTCATTAAAACATCGAAACCATCAGAATAAAGCTTATTCCACGATTTCTACCCGAAAAGACGACGGATTTACATTATAATGGATCGGACTAATAGCCTAACTTGCATGACTGACTCGAATTCCAATCAATTCCAATCAACCAATCAGTCGTTTATAGTCCAGGGAGACGAGACCGTCGGGAGAAAATCTTTAAAATGTAACTGCCACAAACGCGTTTTCCTGCTATTCCAGCCCGTGAATACAGCAACTTCAATGTGGTCTAGTATAGCATACCGTCGATGGTTGACCTGAATCCCAAACAATCAATCAATCGAAGTATCGGTGCCCCCCCCCCTCCCCGCAAAGCGAGAAAGTTAAAAAAAAAATAACCGCCGCAAATGCGCTATTCTAGCCTGTGAGTTTAGCAACTTCAGAGTTTCCAACCAATATAGCCTACCTGGCTGACCCGAATTCCAAACAACCAATCAATCGTCGCGCGGTATATGGAGGCCTCACCTTCCCGGAGAAAAATTTAAAAATTTAATCACCGTAAATGCGTTTTCTGCTATTCTAGCCCGTGTAAGCAACTCCAAAAGTATCCAATGGTTTTGTAACTGAAATCCCACTCTGAATTCTAACCAACCAATCAGACTGTTGCAGCTGCATTCACAAATAATAATCGATGCCCGAAGAATATCGCACAAAGTAGAGTGACTCCAGACAAATTGTTTCAATCCATAGTTAATTCAGTACAACTTCGTGGTATCCAATTAAAAAAAAGGTAAAATTACTCTTTTTTTTATAAATTTCGGGCACTTTATTTTGCCAACTAGATGAAATAATAAATTTCATTTCTATTTTACCTGTCTACCCGAAGAGACGGTCCCCCTCTCCCGGTTTGTATGCCTGTGTATCATGTTAATTGACTTTAAGAATCAAAATGTATAATTCTGAAAAATACTACCAGAGTTTTAAATAGAAAAAAATCAACATTTCGATGTGATACTACATGTCACCCTGAATGATCCCACCGATTCTTTAAAATAATATCTGTTAAGACCTGCATTAATGGGGCAAAAACGCGGGATGTTAAACCACATTTTATTTCATTTATATCAACATAGAAAAAGCCGAGTGTAAACCTAAAGGGAAGGAACGCTCTCGTGGCCGCCAACCCAAACCTGAATGGGGACATACGAGGGCTAGCTGATAAGTTCTAAGCCTATCTGTGAAAGACCCGTATAAAGTCGATTGTTTCCTTCGAGGTGTACACACAGTTGCCAAAGATGTTGCAAGGCCTTGATGCCGGTCAGGAAGAAATATTTTTTCAGCCACCATAAAAAAGGTTGTTCACACATGACACGACGTCATCATAGGTGGAAGTCCGACAGGGCCAAATCAGCCACAAAATTATAAGGATCTGCTTCAAAACGGCGCAGATGGTCCTTGTCCGTCAGGAATCTGACACGTTTCTGATCCGAGCTTTTGCAGAAACTTTTTCTATTCGTAATTCGTTTGCAATAATGTGCTCAACCCTCTCATGGCAATGTGTCGAGTGGCCAATAATCCATCAGCCATCCCCATGCCATGCACCCGGGTAATGTTTTCTTGAATGGTTATTGTTGATGACCTTCCAGGACGCAGTTCATCGCCAAGCCTGTCTCTGCCACGCTTAAATTCCGAAGCCCACTTCTTTACCGTGGAAAGGGAAGGGACATCATCCCCTAAAGTGGAGACAATGTCGGCGTATATCTGTGTATGGGTAAGTCCTTTCAGCTGCAGGTACTTGATGACTGCCTTATATCCAGTTTTGTCCATTTCTTGTGATTTCAATGGGTAGATAGACAAGGTGGTCTGTTACGAAGACAATAATAACACTACAGTTGCAGTTCTTATGTCTATGATTCATTCAATGATTGATTGTACTTTTCAGCGAGCCCTCGTACGTTCGTCGTTTAAAATTTCTCGTCTCGTAAACACTGTAAAAATATGCGTTAGGGGTCAGATATGTAAAGCCAAATAATTATTTTTTCAACGAATGCTATACATAATGATACTATTCTGAAAAAAACAATTGAATAGTTCCATGGCTGGACTCCAGCCTGCAGGCGGCGTCACAAAACCTGCCAACATTTTCCCCGCTAACATTTACCAATACGACATATATATCCTGTGAACTACTATGTACAATGCATTCGTCGGTTTTATCTGCGTCCATGTTCCGGCGAAATTCATAAAAACTTATAAAAAATTTGCAAACTTTTAATCTCGTCGTCAGATACGTGTTTTCCCGTCACAGATTAACGTCGGTTTTCCTAGACTGTGATTCTCGGAAATCCACGTGGCCTGCAGGCTGGAGTCCAACACTGAAACTATTGAATTGTTTTTCAGATAACTAGTATCATTATGTATAACAATCGTTGTGAAAATAAATCGGAGAGATTTCTATTTGACCGTTTTTAAGTATTTTTGAAACCGGTTTCAAAGTGTTTTGGTTCTGTTATGCAAGATCATTTTCGACGTTCCAAAGTAAAAGTTCGGTGCTAAGACCATCAAAGATAAATTTTAAATGTTCCTATTATTAATTAGAACAGGTTTCGCTTTAGTTTTTATATTTTACGCTGGCATTTATTACTTTAAATGTTCCTTTTGACCTTTTGACCTCTGGGGTCACAAAGAACAAAGGTGAATTTAGCAAGTTTACATTTTTATTGAAAGTGTGATTACTTTGGATCGTTTTCAGCTTATTTTCATGATGAAAAAATGGCCGCGCATTCACTTTCAGTGCAAATGAACCCATTTGACCTTTGCCCCCAAATATCTCGAAAACGCCCCAACGGCGGACTGATTACCACTCGGCATCGTATTTTACGGGTCTGGTCTTGTGCCCATTTGATGGACACCCCCCCGCGCTGAGCCTCCAGACTATATACATCGAGGGTCGACCAATGGCCTTTCTGGTCGCACCCAATAGAATCATTTTTTCAAACATGAAGTGGAATAATCAAGCGAAAACTATAACGTAACGAATTATTCCGCGTCGAACAATGTTAAGCAGCGGGACATTTAAATTTAAATGTGCCCCCTCCGCCCGTCTTTCGTTCCGGTTTTGTTTCAGGAGTATGTCATATGCACCAATCAAGATATATTTACGAAACAACTTTGTACACCTTTCAACCTATTATAGAAGTGCATTTAGAATTTTCTCAGTTGACTAGATTTTATGTTTCGACAAAAACAAATTTTCCTGTAGGCCCAACCTTCATGTGCTGAGGCGCGGAAAGTTGACGACTGGGTCACCCTGTTACATTCTTATAATATTCACGAGGTTCGAGTTATTTAGGCTAACCTACGATAAATACCTGTAAGAGATTTTAAAAAGTCATCAAACATCTGAATCCTTTCCATAGAGTTAACAATAAATAGATATCCACCATCCTCTTCACACTGAGCCTGTGCGCTTTTCCAGTTTATTGTGTCATTTCCGTTAAGGTAGGCCTTATAACATATATTGTAGGTTATGTTGTATATATAATTTGATGGACATACATCTAGAATATGAAATAAATTTAAATTATTTAAAAACACGCAGCCCTCTATTTGAAATTAGATTCCACGTTTCTGATTTAACGCATCAGTGTATTAATGTACCTTAGTCCTAATGTTTAGGATTAAACCATCCGCGTCCTAATACAAGTCCTTTGAATGTTTTTGTGGACTTTGGGCATATGACTTAAGTAATGGGTCTGGCGATTGAACAACGTGCTGGGTGAAATCTTTTGACGTACCTGGTTTTAATCCGAATCGAATTTTGTGCTATTTTCTAGTTTATAAAAGAAATAAAAAAATTCATACCTTCAAGTCGCCAATACGTAACCAACCCACTGTAATCTGTATAATTATGTCCAGCCCAAACTCTTTTATAATGTAAATAACATTCAGGTGAGCTTACATCCGGTTTATATGAAAACGAATCACAATTCAATGTTTCGATACATTTCTCTCCACATTCTTCAGCTGATAAATTTATATATCGTTGTAGATAACTGTTAACTAAACAATCTTTAAGAGGAATCATCTTAAACACGTATTCAGGACAGATGATTGATGCACCCAAGATTGGTAGGAAAAGGAACACCAGTTTCATTGCTACAAATGCGGTCAGTTTAACTTCGACAATTTATTTATGAACTATAGAGATATGAAATCTCGTTGAAATATATGGTACAGACAGATCGATGCTATTGATTTCATAGTGCTTATATAATGGTGCCGTCCCAGATATAGTTTCGTCTATCTATAGAACACCTGATGCCGCATCACAATTTATGTTGTTGTTGTTTTGTGACTATGAAAGGCCCTTAGACATATTTATCGAGAAATCATATTGAGGTCTTGTATCATTTTTAAAAATAGGGTTAGTCATGTTTTAACACTTTAAAGTAGCTAAGTCTCTAACTTAATATCATCCAAAATCTTCAACATTGAAAACACGAATTATTTGTCAATTTAAAACAACATTGATGCTGTGATCTTACCGGAAAAAGATGGGCTTCTGATATCCAATATTTAAGACAAAATAAATATTTTACTATTGGTACACGAATCGTGTACCATAATGCGTTTCTGCCCCAGTTCTAGCAAGAGACTCGAGGAACGAGGCTAGACATATTGCACCAAACCAAACGGCGTATGTAGACTGGAATAACCAGACGCTAGGAATTTGTATTCGATTGAGACTTCTGGCTTATTTCACGGAACATAACTGATTTGAAATTAGAGTAAAAACGGAAACGATTGAATGTAAATCAGTTTATATACATTCATATTACTGTATTATATGAGATGCGACCCACTTGTGTCAATTTCTAGATCCCACATGTTAGCGATTTAGCTCCTTTAAAGGGTGATTATAAATAATCTGAAATTATTTTCCTGCTATATCAATTTGGCGATAATCACCAAAAGGCTAAATATTTTGCCGGGCAGCTTTTAGTCTGGGTAAATATGTCATTTATTGACATCTTGGCTTTTGATCTACACCTAAATAAACCTGTTATCGATAAAACGGACCATTTCCATTTGAAAGGGAATATGATCAATAGTTTAAAGCGATAATTTCATATTTTCTAAAAAGTCAAAACATAATTATTTCTGTCTTTTGCTCAATAGGTTGTCAACTCACTATAATACGATTATAAGTATTATTCTCCCTCTTAAAAATCCTTTGACCCCGGAAATAATAACACAATTACCTCCCTTGTTTTTCTATTCCCCCCATGGAATAGCTATCTTCAAACGTTTGAATTTAAAGTTGAAAATGATATTTTGCCAATTTCTCAACTGGCAATAGTGAATTATAGGATTAATAGAATCATTCTTTAACAAGTTAGGACTGTTTATAGATACCATCTATTTTAAGGCTTTATTTTAATAAACTTTAAAAATATAACTTAAAAATATGAAAATGCAGCTTTAAATAGGCTGGATAAAGCAAAAATTCAACTAATCATTTGACAAAAGTTTACAAAATAATTTATAAAGATAGGGTAACAGGGCAACGAAACATTCGAGTAAAGAATTTAGCAATGTGATTCTCTGTACTATGGACAAGGAACCAAGTATTTCGGTATCACCGCCATCTTGGAATTGAGCAATTGTCCAAGGACCAATCCTGCCTAGATCATGTTGTTCATACTTGAATTGGTGGAGCCTTAGGCTTTTATTGAAGAGTGGAGCCCCCCCCCCCCTCCAAGAAAAAGAACAAGCCGATTAGCGCCTGGAGTCCAGGTTCAGGAACAAGATGAGTAGCGTCTATTGTCCAGAAACAAGAAGAGTAGTGTCTGATGTCCAGGTCCAAGGCCAAGATGAGTAGCGTCTGGTGTTCAGGAACAAGAAGAGTAGCGTATGGTGTCCAGGTCCAGGAACAAGATGAGTAGCGTCTGGTGTTCAAGGTCTAAAAAGGCAAAAGCTTTATACTGATGACATTTAAGGAAGTAAAGAAAATAGCAGATCAGATGAACAATTTGTAACTAAAATATTAACAAGATTCGAAAGAATGAGCAAGTACCAGAAATTATTCCAATTCGAATTCAACAAGATTGGATGAAAACAATATTATACAAAGTGATCATAAAAATTCAGTCAGCTTCTTCGTCTCAATATGTCAACACCATATGAGGAGTCTGCTGGGTGTTCACCACGAATGGTCAGCGACAAACTGACGTGCGAACAGGGGCGATGCCAATTCACCCGTCCATTATATATATATCATAAATTCATAACCTGGGAACAGCAAATTTTTGTTATTTCACTTGAATAGGTCTGGAAAGGTGATCGATCATTAAACAGATATACTTACATTTAAATGTCAATTTCTGTGTGCAGTATCGGATTATCAGTGAGGCTGATGAGGCTGCAGCCTCAGGCCCAAAGATTTTGTAAAAAAATTTTTTTTAGACTTGTCTGATACGATTAAAAACGCATAGACAATGAATGTTAGGGGGGTGGGGTTTAGGCCCAACGGGAATCAACATAGGCCCTGACCCGAAATTAATTAGGCCCACACCATTTTAAATAGGCCCTATTGTTTGGAGATCTGATCTTATTTTTTAAACGTAGGCCTACATCGTACGTTAAATCCTTGTAAGTTTTCGGTTATGTCTTGCTTAATATATTGTATCCACGTGACGTCATTTATGGGCATATAAAGTTACATTACGTTTTTAATGTTAGCAACTACCTTGGCTCTAACTTTAAAAACTAAATAGACCCTCCAGCAACTGCCGCCTCAGGCCTTGGTGGAGCTTAATCCGCCACTGTCTGTGTGAGCTATATGATAAATCGATTATTGGAAATCCCCTCAAAGTACATGGAATTGTGTTTGTTTTTTTCACAGTATTTCTAAGAACTATAATTCGATAAAATGTTCTCAATACAATCATTTCAATGTGTATGTCGGTATGATAGATAGATTTATCTGGCAAAACCACACACAACATATGAAACGATATATTTATTTATGGTTACTAAAAAAATACAGCTATTTTTTTTTTGGGGGGGGGGGAGGGGTAATATTGGGGCCCCTGACTACCAGTGCACCCCCTCCCCCTTCAAGGCTTGTCTATCCGTGTTTGGTTCCCTCCCACCCGCCACGAAAGAGAACTGCACATCTAGCCTGTCTGGGTGTGTGGGGGGGGGGAATACAATATATTACAAAACATGTGACCGTACAGATTTATTTTCCTATGATCTTGAAAGTTTTGGCTGGACATTCGCATGGTTTAGCGCGACCACCCAAAACTTTGGGAACAAATACATTCCAGAACAGAACATCTTGTGGATGCTGGTTAATGTGGATGCTGTTACTTTTATCAATATCAATATAAACTTTATTATATTCTTGGTAATTTGTCCATACGGGGTGCTGATATTTCTCTTTATTTGGGTTTCTGAAGAAAAAAGTACAAGATATATAAACAAAATTACACTTCTGCAATATTACATTTTAAAAAACGGTAATTATACAAGCCAGAATAAACTGACGTCATTAATCTTTGTTTAATCATACTAATTGGATGCAGCTATGGCGGGTGTGGCGCCAGGCAGGGTAAGCTTACTCTTCCGGACACCTGTTACCACTGTTTGTCGTGTATTTTGTACACGAGGAGCAGTCCATTTGCTGATTACACTATTTTGCTTGAATACACTATTTTGCCTATAACGTTTTTTAGGACTTCGAATTCTGTCTTATGGTTTGGATTGTTCGTACTTGGTTTTATTTTATTTATACATAATACTTTAGAAACCCCTGGTTTAAGCTCTTGAATAATGTTCATTGCTTATCTCTCTCTATAGCGTCACTTACCTTAAGCGGTGGACACACTTGATGATTCCTTCGGTCGAATCAATCCGCGCCGAATTGCAGCCGAATGAGTGGACAGACTATAGGTGAATCCTTCGCCCGATTCACCAGTCGATTGCATCACCTTTTACGTGACATGATTAAACACGACAGCGGTCATGGCTTCAAACAATCACGTGACTTCTGAATATGAGTGGTGATTGGCTAATGAATTCTACAATCGGGCGAATGCTTCGACGAAGCAGACACACTAGGCGAATATAATGCAACCGAATATATCAAACATGTTTGATTCTGGCGAATCATTCGGCCGAATAGCATTGGACACACTAGGTGAATTTGGTCCCGACTGATGCGGCCGAACGATTCGACCGACTTATTCGACTGGTGTGTCCACCGCTTTAAACAGACATTATTCTGGTAGCCAACTAATTTAAAAAGAGCGTTGGACCGGCCATGGAGCGATGATGATCATGTTGTAAGTGGCTGGTGGCTAACGGACCGCCACGCCATCACTGGAGTCTGGAATGGGCTGGTATAATAGACTTCATGAATTTCACTTTCGTCACTCTGTACCAATGTGTCTCGTGGCCTTCCATCACGGAAGGAATCAACTAGAGCTCCCAGCAACAAAAATGGGACAATTTTCAATGGTTAATCAAATGGTTAAAATTTTCTCAACTAGTCCCATTTTTTAACCAGTTAATTTATCTTGACTCTTGACGATACAATGATAATACGTTAATTAATAATATGACGATATGATAATTTCACAGGTTGATGGTTGTAAATTACTTTCAGGTCGGGGTTTTGACCTAAATTAATCGATTTATGAGATATATTATTTGACAGAGATTTTAATCAGATATGCCACCAAATCGCATATTTGGGGTTCATTTTTCAAAATTTTCAAGGGGGAGAGCCCCCGGACCCCCGACCGGGCTCCGCGGACAGTAAAAGGGGCCGCTCCGACACGGGAGCCCGGGCCGGTTCCCGGCCCCAATCCGCCCCTGACTCCAGGACGTGGTTTGTGTTATAAGAAAATATTGTTATTCTAAATGGATAACATTTCTTTCACTCAAAACTGGTCACTGATAAGGACGAATGACTCTTTTTGTAGGAGGTTTTGATTTCTAAGTCGGTATTGCCCAAAATATATTTCTATCGCGCTCTGTTCTTTTATTAAAAGAAAGGCGACCGTGTAGTTCCATTTATATGACTTACAACAATTTAGCAAAATTAGACCACAGTTCCATCATATTCCGAGAATGAAGTTTATCAGCTACAGTCCATTTGATAGCGGTTGGCCAAATGCTGTTCCATTTCCACGGTTGGCTAAATTTGCTAATAAACGGCATACCAAATTGATATTGGAGTTCAATAGCATGATAAGTGCCTGTATGAAAAAAAAAGAAGTAGATGAAGTAGTTATATCGCTGAATTACATGGGGCAGCTTAGCTGGAACACTCAGGGCTATACAAATTGATCAATATTATTATTATTATATCGAGTAGAATTGAGTAAGAAGTTTATTCATAGAAGTGTATTGGTAAGAAGCGCGATGGTTTATTCATTGCGAAAATTTTAATTGTTAAATATCAGAAACACTTGCTTCGCCCACTACCTCAGTCGACAGAAATATGCGAGATAAATAGCTATGCCATGGCATACGCTCGTCTAAGGCAGCTTCGAAATGTTATCAAAACGTTACTGAAGTATGTCTAGGATGTTCTTGAAATGTCATCAAAAAGTTACCGAAATGTGGCTAGGACGGTCTTGAAATGCCGTTATTAAAGCACGGTATGGGCGGTTTTGAAATTTCAATAAAAAGGCCTTGAAACACGTCCAGGGTGGTATAATATAGCTGTGCTTAGTAATACTAACCCCAATATTTAGGAGTAGGATCTTGTATAGAACGGTAATTATAACTATAAATCCATACATTCGGATTGAGATGGACATAACGGTCAACCAAACGGTATATACCAGCTATATACTCGTAATAAGACATGAACTGAAAATTAAAAAAAAATACAGTCTTTTATTTCACAAATTCGGGGAAATTTAAAATAAAGGAGTAGAAGCTCATTTTAGAATATGAATATCTCTTTAGACATTGAATATCCGTTTCAGCACCACGGCTTTTAGTTTTAAAGTGGTGTTAACAAAGACAATGTTTATCATCTTTAGAAGATGACATACTTGACATTGTTGGAAAGCTAACGGAACATTGAATAAAATATTGGATGCTAAAAGGAGAAAATTATTGAAGTGTTTTACAAAACATGCAGGATTTGGTGTGTTTCTGACGAATTTCTACATGAAAGAATTGTAGTAGTGAATTAATATTTAGATCACTCTATTTTACACAGTATTGCCTTTCTACAAATACATATAGTATTTTATGGCAGACTGAGATTGTGACTATTTTTGCTTTCGGCTGCGCACTTAGTTAACGTGAAGACGTGATTGAGCGAAGGGGTACTTATTGGCTTCCATTGTTTAAAGATATACATGTTCCTTCTAATTCTACCCGGGGGGTTGGATGGCCGGTTGTACGTGACAAGGAGTAGGGTTACCTGTCCAACCTCGTGGGTTTTCTCTGTATCCTCCAGTTTCCTCCCACTGCTAAAGACCCCTACGCGTAAGTTTATTATTTTAAATAAAATGATTTGAACAATTTGTTTATAAATAACAAAATCAGTTAAAACTGTAAATCGTGCCTCAAAAAGTCGTTGTCTGTTGCCTATTGGGTCGTCTGGTTTGCCGCCATATTGACACATAATTGCATCCAACATGATGTCAGTCTGGTCAAAATATCGCTGACAATGTATACTATAAACATCATGTAGTTCTGTTTGATTTATACCGTTCTCTATACCTGGTAGATAAGCTGAAACAAACAAACTCCACGTTTCTATTAAAAATACATATAAATTATAGATGGAAGGGAGGACATTGTGTGATTTAAATAGCTATACGCTAAACAGAGGTCAATTGAATTTTGCAACACCGGATTCCAGTGGCGCGCAGAGGATTAGGGATGCAACAATAAATTAATTTAAATATCTCAAACAGTACATATTTCAGCCGAATGGAACTGCGCTATCCTACTATCTGCACTTGTTCCATTCATATAAATTGGTCTTCATGTCATGTTATCTAACATACATCCAGTATTCTTAAATATCATCTCTCTTTTGAGAATCCAATAAATTGATTTGAATACTCGTTGTTTTCTATTCTATTGTCACTGCGCATTGAAAAGAAGATAAATAGTCACTCGATAACACAAGTAGATATAACACAAGTAGAAATAACATAAGTATAGATATACCACAAGTAGATATAACACAAGTGGATATAACACAAGTCTAGATAGATATAACACAAGTCTAGATAGACATAACACAAGCATATATAACAGAGCAGATATAACACAAGTATAGATACAACACAAACCACAAGTAGATATAACACAAAACACAAGTAGATATAACACATGTAGATATAAAAATACAGAAAAAGATTAGCATAGAAAATAAAAGAAAACAAAACCAAAGATAGCAAAATTTCAAAGTGAAACAAACACGTGAACCCAACATAATATCTATCTTACAGATTATTGAAATGGCACGCGGTATCATGTGTTCCTGAACAAGTAAGCATGCGCCTGTCTAATAAACGAACCTATGAAGCAAAAGAAACGCCCAACAAAACTATTAAGGTGGGGCAATAGGTGCTAAACTTACTATAATCTTCCCCGGTTTCACTAGTAACACTACCAGCTATTAAAGGTACGCTGTTAACTTCACCTCGCTCTAATAATCTTTCTGGTAGATCCATTAAATAATATTTATCAACATTCGGTACCCACGGTGCACTCATTGGGGGTTGCTTTAAAATAAGTAAAATAAAATAAGAAGGAATAAACACATTTTAAAAGAGATGTGGGGCATACAAAAGAAAAAAAACACACACTGATTACAGCGCATATACGTTGCTAAATAGGATATAAGCTCTTTTGAGTACCAAGAAGTTCGTCTGAATGCTCCAGATTTAATTTCCGACAACAATTTGGAATGACTTCACTGCCGGAATAGTTACTCAAGATAGCAGATTCAAGATGTCAGCCACCAGTACACATCCGAGATTAGGGGGCTCATCGTGGTCTAATGAAGAGACGCGTATGCGAGAAATGTTGGACCGGGCATTCTACTTTTAATCGAAACCAGTCTTGAATTTCCTGATGAGCTTTCTCGGCGAAACCCGGGGTCGAACCCAGGGACTTTTTGTTAATTATCCACAGGGTGAACAAAGAAGAATTGTAATGGACTTTGTAACAAAATGGGCGGCGCAATACATAAGTGCTTATATACAACTAACATAAGTTAACTTTTTAAATACCTCTACTTTAGCCTCAGCTAGAAACATTGCCGGTTTTCCTCGTAAACAGTTGATCATAGTTTGAGAATCATTGGTAGGACAATTAGCTACCCTGGCTAGTGATTCGGTGGTATTGATTGGACGATAGGGATGACGATATATAGCAAAAGTATCTGTAGCTACACCACTCTGGGCTATCACACCATGGAATAAACCTTAAAATATATTTAAAGGGGCATCATGGGGAATTAGATAAAGACTTGATAGTTCTCGCCATACTAATTGAAAATAGATAACGTAATGAGACTATGCTGAAACTTTTAGCCCAATTGCTCCACTCTGAACCGAGATATTAGCTTTTGAATTTTAGGCTAGCCTCGATCATTACTAAAGTCGGTACGATAAAAACAAACCAACAAAGACTCGATAATCATTTTACGTTTAAATATTTTTCAAAAAATGTATCCCAATCCGCTAAATATCGCAGGCTAGTGATGCCATCGAGAGTTGATTGTGGTCTTGATAAGTTAATTAATGTCTAATTAATAATTAAGAAAACATTTCAGGTCTAAAGAAAGACCTGCCCTAGGCAGATTTAGCTCTTGCATAATGTATGTTTAACTATTCGTTAAATAGGTGTTTCTAGAACATCTGATACCACTGTGTATTTTTGTAAGTATATCATTTTGCTAAGTCAATTAAACAGGAAATGAAGTGGGTTAATTTAGCATCTTAATTGTCTGCACTCACCGTGACAATGATCAAGGGTCATTTAAACATATTGAGGAATAGAGAACCTAAAACACGGGTCTTGAATATGGTCCATTAAGTGCCGGATTTGTGACCCTCGCTTCATTTTACAAACCAATAACTATCTCGTTTGCCAAGTAAAGGGGCGGGTGGTTTAACGCGTGCGCTTTAGATCACAACGTCTATCATCGAATCAAGTGATGTGGTTTTAATCACATACTTGTACGTGACAAGGACCAAATATTCCTTCCGCTGCTAAAGACCATGCCAAATAGAATTACTGAAATGAAACTGTACCATATGCTACCCCCCGAAATGACCTATTGGAGATCAGAATTCCATGAGGTCCGATACAAAAAAAAATAGAGAAAAAAGTAATAATATTTACAATACTATCCTTGATGAGTAAACCCCAGGATAGAGTGTACTAACCAACTAGACCAAGGGGTAAGTTCAATAGTTAAATATACATGTTGTGTTTACCTTTAGTTAGCGGAGAAAACATGTGCATAGAAACCGTGGAACCTCCCGAACTTTGACCAAATATTATCACTTTGGAAGGATTACCACCAAAATAATATATATTTTTCTGTATCCATTTTAACGCCTCAATCTGATCCAACATACCATAGTTCCCTGGTGCTACGGGGTCGTCAGTTGATAAATAGCCTGGACATAATACATTATCTTTAGTTGATGACTTATTGGAATAATCTGTATACATCTTAAACATGTTAATAAATTTCTAAAAGATTGCCATCAGTTGATCACAACCTTAACTATGTTATAATAGATCAGTGATTCTCAACCATCTTCCTTAATGTGCCACGTAATTTTGAAAGGCATACTAAGAAAATTCGAAAAACCACGTGTTCTCAATTGAGTAGTAGTAGTAGTTAGTTGTATTTTACGTCCGCTTCCACCGAGGTGATATCACAGACATTTGAGTAGTCGCTGATGTCTATTTAACTGGTAAGTTCATAGCTGTGTTTTCCTTTATTTAGTTTGAGTCATTCTGTGTTTCTATGACTAGTCGGTTTCTACGGTGGTATGCCGTCTATGACTTGGCATTTTTTTACTTTGAAAAATTCAAATATTTTTCATATCTATTTAGCCGGGCGTGCCGCAATATTTTTTTCATGTGTTCCATGGTGTGCCGTTGGCAAATAAGGTTGAGAACCAGTGTAATAAATGGTCATCAGTTGATCACAACCTGAACCATGTCAATAGATGACCATCAGCCATATTGAGCTGATACTAACTTCAGCTATGTTTGCTCTAGTATCTGCTGATATAGTAACAAACTTTGCATTCACTTCAGGTGAGATCGTGGTTCATTTTGAGTTAAATAAATATTGTAATTACCCATAACCCCAAGGCGAAAGTTAATAGTTACGACGACGACTCCGTAGGTTGCTAAGACACGTCCGTCATACTCCATGGCAGACCCGTAGGTATAGGCCCCTCCGTGAATCCAAAGCATGACTGGTAAATTCTCACTGTTTCTGCTACCATTGTTAAACTTAAAAAGAAATAAAGACAACATCTGCACCAAACGACCCCACCAAAGAAGCATCTGTTCATTTCGAACCAGAGCATCTGTTCATTTCGAACCAGAGCTACACATGCAGAACTTAATATACTAGGGGCGGGGAAAGAAATAGGGTTTGACGTCCTTTCGACACAACCTTGGGCATTTCCGGACAAACATGTTTCAATTTTATTTTAATAATTCACTTGAACGTAGGGTATGTCGGGGTCGAGGAAACCCCACGGGGTTTGGCAGAAACCCTATTCCTTATCAGGTACACACTTGGGCACGAAACCTCCTCACGTGACTCAGTGACAGGCCTTATGAACTAAAGCGCCCGCGTTAGACCACTCGACCCCCTCCAATTCCTTGAAACTTGGTACGAAACCACATCACTTGACTCAGTGACAGATCTTAAGATCGAAAGTTCACGCGTTTGACCACCCGACCTCCTCGGATTCCTTGAAACATAACGTACTTTACGTCGGTATCACAGTAATTAATATTGATAATTATTATTACCTTAGGTGCAAATATATTTAGGTAAAGACAATCTTCGCTCAGATCATTGTTTGTAAAGTTAGGAAAATCATACCTGAAATTACATGTAAAGGTGTAAGTTAATCAAGGCGAAGTGAAACAAGGCTTTAATGACATTATTAAACCGGGGGAGATTTGTCATAATATACTCAAACATTTGATACCCAGATCACCAAACATGATTATGAAATTTGAAGTTCGTGATTCCAGATCAAATTCTTTAAATAATAAAGGCAACAAAACATACACTCAATCGCAACTGGGTTGTCTATTCAGTCCATAGAGGTTGCCGCATTGAGATTCCACCGAAATGATAAACAATCATATTATATACTAATACTGTAAAATATCATTACAGGGGTGACACGATTCTAAAAAACAATCAAGGGTGATAACTTTAGAAGTAATTATTAAAAATTGTTGTAATTTGATAGAATTGTTCGGCGTAATAATCCAAATAAAGAACATATATTTAAAGCAGAACTTGGATAATGACTTTTTTTTGTTAAAGTAGATCGCATGACAACTGTCGACGTCAGAGTGTTCCTAGGATTCTAAAAAGTGATCATTGGCAAAAACTATATAAAATGTTATCGGAAGTAGCAGAAATTCATAGGCTTCTTCTACTAATCTGAACAAGTCAAACACATCGGGGTCATAACTCTGGGTGTAATTAACAAAAATTGTTGAAAATCGATACTCATTAAACTGAGTAGTGCATATAATCGTATGTTGAAATGTATTGCTACAACGTGATCAAGAGCAATTACTCTGGTGGACTATCGGACAGAGGTGACAACAATATATGATCACATTTTAATGTTGCGTATAAATGAGCTATAGTGCTTACTGTTGTAGAAAACCAAGTTTTTGAATACATGGAGGTCTGTAAAATGTGGCATTCCATGTCCGGTTTGTCCATGGTGCTACAGGAACTGTCCGAGCGAACCTATCAACAACAATATGTATTAAGCATTATAAAGAATTACATGATATATTTAATGACCCCTTATATTATAAAGTTTAACATATAGCCAAACAATGTCATTTAGGAAGTCCATCTGCTATTTACTCGTTTTGCCTTTGTTGTATGAACAGTTTGTATTTGATCTATATAGTTCTATAGCAACCAATAAAATCTATAGGATACTGTGGTAGTATAATATAATAGAAATTGTCCCATCAGTTGCCGTAGCACTATCGTCGTTGCGACATTGTTTTTAAATTTATAGACAAAGAATAGAGAAATAAGATGACTTTATATTTCATTAATTAATATATTTGGCAAATTAATAGTTTCACACATATTCACATATATATTATATATAGTATGTACTAAATCAACTTAGTCTGTAATTGACAGTTGACACATAAAAAGAGCTATTTAGCCAAAACATGTGTCAATAATATACCACCAGATTAAACGTGACTCGAAGTATTCTAATTGCATCATTTGGTTTAAAGTAACCAATCATATCGTTAATTGCACAGGTTCAGGGCCATGAACAGGCTTTCTGTGCGTGATATGCAGGAGTCTTATAAAAGAAATCATAGTAAAGTTTTAAGTTAGACTTCCATTATAGATTCCAGAGAGGTTCCATCTGAGTTCTTAGACCGCCGCGAGGCTGGCTAGGGTGGAGAAATGGTTTTAGCTAGTATTGTTATATATTATGCTTGTATCCATATATGTATTCGGCTATGCTATATAAAATGTAGAAGCGAACTGTTGCATTGTTATTCCTGGTAAGACAAACGTCTTAAGAAAACAGTAAGAAGTAAATACACAACGTGAAGCAGAAGTAAAGACAGCTAGAGACAAATTCTAGACGATAACCAGGCTACAGAAATATGTAGTAAGAAAAGATGCATGGGTCGTATGTAGGATTAAAATAGGATTAATCACAAGTTTTAACAGATATAATTTGCTGAAGTGATAAGAATACAGTAAGTAGTATTATGGGGAGTGGGGGTGGGTGTGTATGTGTGATTGCAGTCCATTTTGACAAAAGACCCATGGTGCTACATTGCGCTATAGAAACTATAGGGTATTACCTTACCTTAAATCTCCTATTGGGGCTTGAGCATAAGGTATTCCCAGGAAAACACCCATAGACTGTGCCTTTCCTTTGTTGTCCAAATCCGGTGCCACAGAATCAGGAACCGGGATATTATAGCCCTGTATTAAACCACTGTCTGTCTGTATGGTTTCTAAGCCATTGTTGTTTGGAGCCGATTGAGAAATAACCAAACGAAGTAGAACCAATATCAGCAACATTACGTATTCTAGGATTTTTAAAATAGGATTAATCACAAGTTTTAACAAATATAATTAGTTGAAGTGATAAGAATACATTAAGTAGTATTATGGGGGTGGGGCGATTGCAGTCCATTTTGTCGATTTTCATACCCCTTAAATTGCGAAGTGTGCAAATGTAAAGTTTTAAAACAGCATTAATAGAATTGTTGAAATGATACAGGGGATATCGGAAAAAGATAAGTTTGGATGGCATAGTGGTTTAGAGTGTCGCGCTCCGACCTCTAGCTGGCCGGCCACCTCTGGCTTGCGGTTGTGTTTAAATCCCTGGTGTGAACGTATGTGGCTTGGAGGTAGGGGCGCATTCTCAACCTCGTGGGTTTACTCCGGGTCTCCCACAGCAAAGACCCCCCCCCCCCCCTGCACGTGCACTAAGATAATAAAAATGAAAATAAGACAATTTGTCTGCGATATTACCCGGGAACATGACATGGTGATGACTGATCGACGATTGACCACTCGACATATCGCCAGTGTTGTGGGCATCTCTCATAAGATGGCTGAGCACATTATCGCCAACGGGTTAGTAATAACAAAAATGTCTGCAAGATGGGAGCTAAAGCTCTTGACTGCGTATCAGAAACGTGTCAGATTCCTGACCTCCCGTGATAATCTGCGCCGTTTGGAAGCCAGATTTGTAACCATATGAGGTATGTGAGGTAGGGTGGCCGAAGAAAGTTTCTTCCTGACCGGCATCCAGGACTTACAACATCGTTGGCAAAAGTGTGTCGCCTCGAAGGGGACTATGGAGAAAAATAATAGGAAACCATCGACTTTGTACAGGTCTTTCACAAATAGACTTAGAAATTTTCAGCCAGCCCTCGTATAGAAAGTTTGGGCGTGGAGCCTTTGGTCCAATAAAACGAAAAAGACTATGCCTGATAATAAGAACTCCTGTGTTTCAACCAAGTTATGGCAGGGTCAATAATTTCATACAATTTACCTCCGGGTGAAGACGGTTTAACGCCGCGCATATCTATGCCATTGAAAACGATTCTGTAGCTGGTAAGCAATTCTTTCTTTCCATTGCTTTACATATAAATGAAATAGGGTTTAACGTCCTACTGGTCTGCTCCGACTGGGCCAATGAGGACGGGCATACGCCATACAGTGTGCCATGAGGGAAATTTTGTCCGGGCAGTGGCACTATGGCCTACTCTTATATCGAATTCCAGTTGCCAAGGGATCTTTTGCGTGCATGTCAATGTATACACGGGACCTCAGTTTTTCGTCTCATCTGAAGGACTAGACAGCTGTCCGTACCACCCGAGCGACTAGACAGTTGTCCTTGTCAGACACCATTGACAAGGAGAAACCACGTCGGAAAATCTCGATGAACTTTCTTGGCCAGTGCAGGGATCGAACACCGGACCTCCAGACTACCTTTACTGATTACAAAATTACATACTACAGTAAACCGGTTCAGCCATAGAATACAAGACAGGTTTACGGACACTACACTTGGACAATAAATTATGATTTATATGGTGGAAGTCTGTTCTTTAGATAAATTATGATCCAATTAATGGTTACAAGATAACACTGCCCAAACTTTAACAAACATATTCATAACAAAGTAAGTGTGATTTGTCTACCCTATCAGGACCTTCTTATACTCGATCTTCTTTTTATACCTTTCTTATCTGTTTAATAGACACAAACTTTATTAAAAAATATTTAAAACACAAAGGGAACTAAATCGGCTTGTCAGAATTTTATATTTACCTGTGTTTTCCTGCATACACAATGATATAGGTCACTGAGGTGTGAGAACTTTAAACAGATTGCTTGTAAATTGAAACAGTCTAAACTTTATCTGAAATTGTCGTTTAACTCAAGTACAAACATGAGATAAGAGATATAATGCAGTAGTATAATCTTTCTATATTGATGGCTAGGGTCGGTTTGTGACTTAAAGCCTTAAAATGGTTTAACGTCCTACCAACTAGATTAGTAAAGACAAGCATACGCAATGCAGTGTGCTACGAGGGACATTTTGGCCGGAAAGCTGTGTTTTCGAATACCCTTTGTCGAATTCATCTGCAAACTAGTACACACATGGTTCTTGGTTTCCCATTCCATCCGAACAACTACACTCATTTCCTTGCATGGTCCATCGTCCAACACTGACGGGGGAACAAGACTGGGAAATCTCGATGGGGGAAATCTCTCGGTTAAACCCAGCCGCCACACTCACCAAACTACCGTGGCTACCCGGGACACAAGAGCAATGACCAGATATATTGACTCATATATTCAACGATTATTTTTTCAATCAGATGTTTTCTATAATCTTCTTTCTATGCCATAGACGATGATTCTTTACATCTAGGATTATTTATTCTCCGTATAATACGATACATTCGTAACAAAGTTAATAACAAAAGTCATTGTTTATCAATGTTTATTCCTGTATATTATAAATCCAAGGTAAACAGTGTGAGCCGGATAAGACCGTCGGGACTTTGGAATATTGACTTTTTAAAGACTTTTTTTGTATGGCACACAATCGTTGGAACGATCTTTACAAAGTATAATGCAACAAAACAAAAGGGATAGGGGCCTGAATCGCCCATCGGTGTAGGCTATTTTGTGCATCTGGGACTTCGCTTAATAGCTTGTTACGAATAATGTACAATTATTATAAATAATTTTTAGGTCCTAATTAGCTAATTAACAAACCACTTTTTAAAAAAGTCACCATAACCTGAAGCGTCAGCAGAAAGATGGTAAAATTATATGGTCAAGGGGGTCGTCTGTTTTTATGGCGAAATTAATAATCAAAAAATAAAATATTAAAGAATCCTTTACCGAAAGAAAATGTTGAATAAAACTATGGAATTGTAAAAGAAAGATACCGAAACCACATTTTTTGAAGATATATTTTAGTTCATCTCTTACAATAGCTACAATATTGTAGCTTCCACGTGGTCCCCGCTACAACCTATGAGTAGTATCTTTTGGAGGTAGATACATGGGAAATTAATAGAGAGTCACAGGCTTGTGATTTTCTTGTAATCAAATAATAACAAAACCTGTTCATTTATAATACATATTTAGTAATTTTTTTTCAAAACATTAGAATTTTTGACCTGTAGAGTGAAATACAGTTTAATAGTTTGTATATTAAAATTTGAAGCTGATATAAAATAGCAATATTGTTATAAATTTAAATTTTTTTTTAGTCTTTGTATTGATTTAAAAACAACTATATAAAGGTCATCTGAATAACCAAATTCTTAAACTAATTGGTAACCAAATTAACGTTTTTTTCACATTAAGTGACGTTATCGACATAAAAGCAATGGTCATTGCATGAGAATACTGCATAATTGTTTAACAAGTAGGAAGATAAAATGCTGATTATTTAAGCTTGCATAGGCTTATTGTTACTTTTAACCATTTTCTTTACCATCCACGTGTTGGTGTCCATTTATCAACTACTGTATCTCCAGAATGAACATAATATACAGGATGCATGGCTGCTGTATGACAAGCCTGAAATATATATATAATGAATGTTGATCCAAATCCATATTTACATATTTCTCACCCAATATAAACTCGATCACGGATATAAAATCATTTACCTATAACGTAAACTGAAATCAAATGAGGTTTAACGTCCCACTTTTCTGCTAATGAACAGGCATACGCCTTGTAGTCTGCTATCGGACAGGGGCGCTACGGCTTACTCTTTATTTCGAATTACAACTATCAAATTATTTTTAACATGTAGACGAACGTGTACGCAGGACCCCACTCGAACGACTAGACGTTGTTCCTTGTCATACCCTCCGACTCGCGCCACTGACAAGGGGAAACCAAACTGGGGAATCCACATTTTCTAAGAGATGGACAGAGAACAAACTAAAAAAAGAAGCGATTTCTCGTACAATCAAGGGCCATAATCCAGTAAGTTACGGTCCGATATGCGTGATATAAACATATTGTAAGTTTAATCAAAATCAGATAAAAATCGTCCACAACCTTGGTATTACATACTTTTACACTATTTGCATACAAGGAGCGGCCATTTTGTCAGGAAGTTTCTGTCAGATATTTACGAAATTCAAACTCAACCTTCATTGATGTGTAACGGTGATATATTTAAACGTTTTTTGAAAATTGAATCCAAATTGTAACTTCTAGCGGGCCCACAAGCCAAAAATGCGATTTTTCGAACAATAAGGGGCCATAATCCAGGAAGTTACGTTCGGATATGCGCGAGGATCCAAGATCGTTGTGATCTAAACATAAATTTAAAGTTTCATCAAAATCGGATCAAAATTATGGGGTTCACAACCTTGATATACCATATGGTTACACTATTTGCGTACGAGGATAAATGGATAATAATTGTAACCTCTAGAGGGACCACAAGCTAAAAACGCAATTTATTTTTCGTACAATTAAGGGCTATAATTCAGGAAGTTACGTCCCAATATGGGCGAATATCAAAAGGGATCAAGATCTTTGGGTTATAAACAGGCACTTAAGTTTCATCAACATCAGATGAAAAGTGTTACCTCTTGAGGGTTCCTAAGCTAAAAACGTGATTTTTCATACAATCAAGGGTCATAATCCATGAAATTATGGTCCGATACATGCCAATATCGAAAGGAACCGAGATCTTTTGGAGGTAGACCTATATTTCAAGTTTCATCAAAATCGGATAAAAATTGTGGACGTATACCAAAACAAAACAATAATACTTACGTGGAATGGGTAAATATATAGCAGTGTTCCGATGGGATATTTATCAAAATCAAGTTGTTGACCGTCTGCTGCCGTAAGTTTCCCTAATTCTTGATCCATGGCCTTCATTCTATAAAGATCAATATTTATCACTGTAATTGTATTTTATTTTACGCTGCGGCTATTTAAAGATACATTATGGGAGATAAGATAAAGAGCTGGCAGTTCTAGCTATATTAGTTAAAAACTAACTAATGTAAAGGCAATTTGCTGAAAATTTCAGTCAAATTGAGTAACTATTTACGGAGAATTAAGCGATTGAATTTTCGGCCTAGTCTCGATCATCATTACTAAAGCCTGTATGATAAAAAACGTAGTCTCGATCATCCAATTCATGATTAAATTATGAATGGAAGTCGGGCAGCAATGGGATCATAATCCAGTAAATATCGCAGGCTGGCGATGCCATCGAGAGTTGATTATGGTCTAGATAAGTTAATTAATGTACAATTGATAATTTAGATAACAATTCAGGCCTAAAGGACGACCTGCAATTGGCAGATTTAGCTCTTGCATAATGTATGTTTAAAGATACATTCGGTAAGATTTAGATAAAAAGCTGACCATTCTTGCTATAACAGCTTAGAAATTGATAATGTAAAATGAAAATATTGAAAATTTCATTCAAATTACTTCATTCTGAGTCCAGTTATCACTGCAGTTTTGACAAGATGCCTGCATTGTGGTAACCAGGGCACTGGTATATTCGAAACTTTTAAATTGCGAACCGTTCTAATCTAGTTAAAATCTCGAGTTGATTAGGGTCTTGTTTGGTTAATAGATGTCTAATAGTTTATATTTCAGGCCTAAAGAAAGACTTGCAGCAGGGAGATTTAGCTTTTGCATAATGTATGTTTAATTTAAATCAATTAAGGCGGAAATTGCAGATTTTGAACACTTCTAAGATTCCTACGAAGTACAAATTTTAGAGAAAATAAAATCTGCATTGTTCTTAAAGGGTTAAACGATCAGTCCATTCAAGATATTTGGGCCTTAGAATTCAATTCAATCACATAAAGATAACGGCATGAATGCAACACAAGATAATATAAAATTTATATGAGCATAACTTCTGTTAGAATTTCTAAACTGAGTAAAATAAGCACTTGTAACTGGTAATGGTTTCTTAAATGATCAATCTTGGTTAAAAATTTCAAACAACACTTACTTTAATTCCGGATGGTCCTGGATCGAACACATTCCTCCATAACCTCCTTCGAGGATTCCATCCAAACTAAGAGCTAAGAACCCACAATCTACTAGTACGACATTTTTAGATTTTTTATAATCTATGACTCTTGTGGCTACTTTAATAGCTATTTCTGATCTAGCACACGATCCATTTAATGTTAATCCATAATCTGAAATACCAAATAAATGAGTGTGAATTCCTTATGTATATGCCGTTTTGTATTCACCAAGCATGGACGATTCCGGTCCCAGTAACTTATGTAAATGCTGTTTCGTTTTCACTGACGTCACACGTGGTCTAATTAATAATTAATCAAATGCTGACGTTTATAAAACTATATAATAGTCCTTTATAATATGGCAGGTCAGTGTATAGAAAAAATTAAAACCTTGTGACGAAAATACTAAAAAAACACTTTTTTTTGGAGCACACAATGTAACATTAAAAGAATCATAATAAAATATTAGATCTAATATATGAATTAGCCAGATTAGAAAAAATTTCAAAATTAATCTTAGTAGGGTGGTACCAATGTAGAGCAAATAGATTAAATACTGTAAATTCACTGCGAGAAAAGGTGTCATATCACTACAGAAGGTGACAAAACTCTAGCCTCAAAAAGAAATGAAATGGGGTTTAACGTCCTACTGTTCTGCTCCGACTGGGCTAATGAAGAAGGGTATACTCCATATAGTGTGCTATGAGGGAAATTTTGCCCGGACAGCGACACTATGGCCTACTCTTATACCGAATTCCAAATTCCAAGGGATCTTTAACGTGCACGCCAATGTATGCACGGGACCTTGGTTTTCGTACACCAGAACGAATAGACAGTTGTCCTTGTCAGGCCCTCCATCCTGCGCCATTGACAAGGTGGTATAACGTCGGAAAATCTCGATGAATTTTCTCGGCCAATGCAGCAGGCATCGAACACGCGACCTTCAGGCTAGCGAGACAGCGTCTTACCCACTTAGTCACCGTAGCTCCCAAAGGCAAAATAAAAACTGTATTAAGAAATTATTAAATAGAAATGGTGTTGTATTAAAAGATAGGACACTTAAACTTCTAATACTTAGAATAAAGCTATTATTTATTTTCTGGAGCTGTCAAGCCAGCAAGGGTGTTATTGTCCCTTTAAGATAGACCTACAAGATACATTATTATAAAACTATAAACAGAAATATATTACCCTCCATGTTTATGCAAATAGAATTCAACTGAACTATTAAACTTGATTTATGAGTATCTCCTCAATTAAGAGATCTTGAGGTAAAGCTATACTGTATATAAAACGGGTATTTATTTTAATATTGTACATATTATTTTAACTTAAAGCTATCAAAAATTACACAAAAATATCTAAATCCCAAAGCATTGAATTTGTTTTTTTTAAAAAAAAGTCCATTTTCTTATGTCTTTTTATGAAAATAATTTATCGAGACTGATATTGAACATGTCAATATGAAAATAAATATTTTACACCACTGTACTGACATTGAATGTACTGTGTGTATAACATGTCAATATGGAAATAAATATTTTACATCCATGTTCTGATACTGAATGTACTGTGTGTATAACATGTAAAATGTGAATAAATATCTTTACAAAAGAAAACCAAAAACAAACCACCAGAACAATTTTCCATTTCTCATTATATAGGCTGATCCTGGATATATTTATTTCCCTTTAATGGTAAAGCATGATAGAATGAAAGAATAAAAAAAAAATACTGATACCATTAAAAATGTAACATCCTGGATGAAATTCTGTAAGGTTAGCCATTTTCTTTGAAGGTTGATTACAACATGGCGTAGAACCAGTTCCAACAGTTTCACAATTTATGCCTCTATCTTTTAATCTATAAAAATATTATATGTTTTCTCCATTAAAAGTGTTAGAAACAACCGTCTTCCTTTATGAGTTTGGGGGCCAGTACATTTAGGGAATTTTTCTGATCCAGGATTTTATTTTTGTAACGCAGAAAGTTCATTATGACATAGTGTTGGATAATCCTCGCATAATTATTTCCGGTAAATCACGAAACAGCGTAACAATTCCATGACATGTCATTTATTTACTGTACTAACAGAGTTTATAATATGTTTTTAATGGTGTGGTTTTTGCTGCATAGGTTACCGGTAATTCATTTTCAAACGAAATACCTTTTCTGGCGATTTCTCTTAGAAAAGAACCATGACAATGTCGGCTTAAAAAATAATATCGTTGTGTTCATGTCAGTGGCCTACTATGATTTCTCGCCGATGCTTGAAAATATCTAATTTATCCGGCTAAGAGAAGTGGGAAAAAAAGACAGCCGAGTGGAGCAAGTCAATAACATTTATTTTACGTCACGGTGAAACACTACAAATAAACGACGGCATTTTGAGTTATAGCACATTTCAGATTATTGTATTAAGTACCGCTTTACCCCCTAGACCAGAGGTTCTCAACCCTTTTTGCCAACGGCAAACCTTGGAACACAAGAAACACCTGGCTAAATAATATATGAAACTTATTTGAATTTTGCAAAATAAAAACATGGTAAGTCATAGACGGCATACAACCGCAGACATAGGCTAGTCATAGAAATAGAATGACTCAAACTGAATAAATGAAATGAAATGAGATGGGGTTTAACGTCCTACTGTTCTGCTCCTATACTGGGCTAATGAAGACGGGCATACACCATACAGTGTGCTATGAGGGAAATTTTGCCCGGGCAGCGGCACTATCGCCTACTCTTATATCGAATTCCAACTGCCAAATGATCTTTTACGTATATTCCAATGTATACACGGGACCTCGGTTTTTCGTCTCACCCGAAGGACTAGACAGCTGCCCTTGGCAGGTCCTCCGTTCTGCACCACTGACAAGGGGAAACCACGTCGGAAAATCCAGATGAACTTTCTCGGCCAATGCAGGGATCGAACACCCGACCTCCAGGCTAGCGAGCCAGCGTCTTAACCACCTAGCCACCGTGGCTCCCAAACTTCATACAGCTATGAACTTTCCAGTAGATACTAGTGAATGTTCAATTGGGATCACCTGGTTTTTCGCATTTTCTTAGTGTGCCGTTCAAAATTTCGCGCCACACTTAGGAAGCACACTGGTTGAGAATCACTGCCCTAGACAGACGTCGGTTGTATTCTAATATACAACTCATAGAGTTTTCCACGGAAATCCATTGGTTTTTATTACAAATTCGACAGAAGTTGTGAATGATTTTAATTGCGGATCCACTTCTCAAACATCAGATCACAGAAAATCAAACTAGCCTCCTCCAAAAACTTGTTTGCGTGCAAAACCACGACGACTCCATTAGGCTAACAGGTTCATGTCATGTCATGTTCTTAGTAATGGTCGGGATTTTACTAACGGGTCCCCTACCTTCTGGCTACTTCTACCAATCTCTCCGCTGTTCTATCACCAATTGCATGGATTTCTTCAACTGATTCAGCATTATAGGAGTCGCCACAATGGACATATAATCCCATAAAATGAATAGTTGGACATTTATCTGCTTCTTGTGCTATGGCCAATATTTCCTCGCCATCCCATTCAATTCCAGCTTAATTATAATAAAGAAAATGTATAGAATTTGATAAGTACCGTAGTTTTTATGAAAATCTTATCAGTTTTAGTAATAAATGTTTCCCAAAGTCACGATCCCGACGTTCTAGCACCAAACCCGGTCTAATCTTCTTCTTCTATAAGTGTTTAACGGCCACTTCCACCGATGGTGTTATCACATACGGGTTTAATCGCCTTTCACTTACACTTCTTTACTTGTTGTCAATTCGTTTGTAAATGAAATGAAATGAAATGGGGTTTAGCGTCCTACTGTTCTGCTCATACTGGCCTAATGAAGACTGGCATGCGCCATGCCGTGTGCTATGAGGAAAATTTGGTCCTGACAGCAGCGCTATGGCCTACTCTTTTTTGGAATTCCAACTATAAAAGGTTCTTTTACGTACATGTCAATGTGTACACGGGACCCCGGTTTTACGTCTCATCCGAACGACTATACAACTGCCAAGGGGGAACCACGCCGGAAAACCACGATGAACTTTCACGGTCAACGCACGGCTCGAACACGGGACCTCCAGAATAGCGAGCCAACGTCTTACCTACTGAGCCACCGTGGCTCCCCAGTTCGTTTGTGACTGGAATCCGCTGTTCATAACCACAACTTTGCGAAGCTCGATGGAAACCACGGGATGGTTCTAGACAGTTGGTTGAATTTGTTAATGATTTCCTATCGACATGCGTCTTATCTGCATTTGCGGTAGTCATCATAGATCAACCATAACACGGGTTTAAATTATACTTGAAATGTTTGTAAAATTAGCGGAGGTACCGTGGACACGTTGGCGTGCACGTAAAAGAACCCTGGCAGTTGGAATTCGATAAAGAGTAGGCAAATGTCGCTGTCCTGGTAATATGTCCTCGTGTATGCACGTCGTCATTATCCCAGTTGGTGCAGAAAAATAGGACCGTAAACTCCATTTAAGCTCATTTCATTGAGCGATGTGTCACGGAATGATACTTCCGAACATTCTTTGAATAAAACTACATGCATTACTTACTTCTAGCATATCCACAATCAACTTCCATTATGGCTGACCATGGTTTACCGTCTGGTCTAGGATTATTCATGATACACTGTAAACCATATCGACTATCAAACATCAATTTTAAATCAGGCACTTCTTTTATTGTTTGTTGACAACTGAAAATGTATTTAAAAGTCGCTCGTATGACACCTGACGCGACCTTCCACTACAATTGGTCAGATCTTCATGTAGTGTAAGGCCATAGAAAGTAAACCAAAGACGAAACGAAATATAGATTTGTATTTTAATCAGATTGACTGAAATTTTCAGCATATTCTATTTACGTTATCTATTTTCTAACTATTATAGCGAGAACTGCCAACTCTTTATCTAATCTCCCATAATTCTCCTTTAAAATTGTGTAATTCCCCCTTCCGAAATTGGAATCTTGCAACTGACTTATATTGATACCGTACTAAGTGTTGGTTAACTCTTGTCTGCCTTATAACTGTTTTAAAAAAACATATCCCCAACTACCGTAATGTTTTGTGTCGCAGCGGGGCAAACATACATTTTATTTTATTTTTAGTTTAGTTTAAATATGAAATTAATTTACATTTTTATTTTATTTTCTGTAATAGGGATGGAATATAGTATATCTGTAAAACCACCAGCTGAGAAGAATCGTGCTTCTTGTAGAGTTGAAACACATATTTTACTTTTTCTTCCACCTGTCATCATAACACCACCTTCTCTACAAATAATAATGATAATCATAATAAATTCTCTTAAACATAACGTTTAGAAGCACAGTAACGTTTTAGTAATGTTAACTATTCAATCGTAAGCATTTTGTTAAAAAAAATCTAAGCTTTCATGCTAATATTGAACACATTGAGGCCCGTCCTTTGTGGTGTTTTTGGCTGAAAACATCTTGGTCCTCCGAGTAATCCATAAAGGTTGTCGTATTGGGTTCTCATTTAGTTAGCTAAGGCATTTACAAGATAAGGAAATTTGATGAAGGGCAACAAAACGCGATGTAATAATGTTATCTGTATCTGGAATTCTTGACTTCAGTCAAAGAGTTGAGAACTTGAACTTCGCAAGTGTCCGCACGAATTTTCACAGAGATCAAAATCAACACACCTTTAGGAAATAATTAGAAATCGATGAAAATCTATGGATTTCTTGGTCCAGTCAGCATATAATTCCTAGAACATACACTGATATTTTAGCTTTGGAAACGCCACACAACGTAATTGGACAAATGTTCCGACGACCGCATAACGATATTACAATACTAGTGTACAAAAGAAATATAAGTATTGCGAGATTGTTGACTTTTTTGCCTACTGGTTAACCGCGGTACTCCCCTGGAAAAATCCAATGATTTAGTTCTATTCGAGCATTACTCAATATAAAATCAATATAACTTACAATGTTTTATGGGTTTTCATATGTGGTCGTATTTCTACACCCATTTCAGTGGCCGTATTCAACATTCTCTGTGCATTACCTTTAGCTATTTCTAAATCTACTAAAAGGCATGGTGTAGGAAGATCTATAATTTTAGTTTCTGCCATGGTGAATTCTGCTGGATTTGTATAAAGAAAATGGAACACATCACTTATATAGAGAGAAACAAGTCAACAGTGAGGCCCATGCCCTCCGTCGAAATCCCAAAAATAAATAGAAGACACATGTTAAATAATTGCACATTTATCTTTTTCAAAAGCATTGAGCAATGAAACTGATTATCTATACTTAGTCTAAGCTTAAAGTGTTCACGATCAAACCCAGTCATGGTTTTGAAGTACCTGGTTGTAGAACAGGAGCCCAGCGGGGTCAACCTAGCTGAAAACTGTACCATGGTATCTTATATGGTATCAATGCATGCAGGGGCGGATTGGGGCCGGGAACCGGCCCGGGCTCCCGTGTCGGAGCGGCCCCTTTTACTGACCGCGGAGCCCGGATGAGGGGGGGGGGGGGGTTCCGGGGCTCTCCCCAATGAAAATTTTGAAAAATGAACCCCAAATATGCGATTTGGTGGCATATCTGATTATAATCTCTGTCAAATAATATATCTCTTAAATCGATTAATTTAGGCCAAAACCCCGACCTGCAAGTAATTTACAACCATCACCCTGTGAAATTATCATATCGTCATATTATTAATTAACGTATTATCATTGTATCGTCAAGACCAGCTATCATCAAATATTGCCGAGTCCTTAAAATTGAATTTTTTTTGGGAGTTACGAACCATCGGCAGACGAATTCCGGCCCACACCCAGCCCAGAAAGTCTATTAAACCAGCCCAATCCAGAATCTAGTGATGGTGTGGTGGCCCGTTAAAGCCACCGGCCACATACAACATGATCATCATCGCTCCATGACCGGTCCAATACCCCCCCCCCCCGATATAATGTTCAACAGAAAAGGTTTTTTTTAGATGAATTGGACAAAATTTTTTTTTCTTCATTTTTTGTCCGACCGGCCCGATCGCACAATCCGCCCCTGAATGCATGCATATCTGGTATCACCAGAATGTCAGTCTGACGGGTATCTGGTGATGGGTGTTACTGTGGGGGCTGGGATTCTGGGCATCATCGTGTCTGTTTGGAGAACCTCACCACACGAATTCCTTAACAATGGGCAGTGTGATCCCTGGGGTGCTGAACAATTTCCAAGCAGTTTTAGGTGGTACACACTTCAGCTAATCTATAGCCTAGTTGCGGGGGGTGGCACTTTTTTGCATGTCTGTCCGGTTTCCTCCCACTGGTAAAGACCCCTACGCGCAAGCGAATTGTTGAAATAAAATTGAACATGTGTTAGTCCCGAAATGACCTATTATATGTCGAGTGGACGTTAAACCCCATTTCTCTATCTCTCCAAGCAGTCTAAGGTAGTAAAGACTTCAGCTTATGTAGCCTTGTCGCGGGGCGTGGCTTTTTAGGATGTCTGTCATTAGCACCCCACAAAACAAACTGTCTGGCAATGGTAATTCATGGCCCCTTTGATGTTGCTGAACAACGTTCAAGTAGTTGTAGATCGTACGGACTTCAACTAATCTAGCCTAGTTGGGGGAGCGTTGTATTTTGGGCGAGTCTGTCAGGGGTAACCCACCACACAAACTGGCAGTGGTGATTCTTGATTCATGTGGTGATGCTGAACACGGGCTTCAGTTAAACTAACCTAGTTTGGGGGATGGGGGGGGGGGGGGGGGCGTGTCTGTTCGGAGCAACCCGCCGCATAAACTATCTGGCAATGATCATTCATGATCACTATGGTGCTGAACAACTTCCAAACAGTTTTAGGTAGTACCGGCTTTTCAGCTAATCTAGCCTAGATTTTTTGGGGAGGGAGGGGGGTTGGGTCGGAAGGACTGGCAATTTGGGGCATGTCTGTTAGAGGTAACCCACCGCACAAACTGTCTGGCACTGATCATTCGTAATTCCTGGGGTGGTGCTGAACAACTTCCAGGCAGTTTTAGGCGGTACGGATTGCAGCTAATTTAGCCTACTTCCGGTGTGTGTGGGAGTATATTGGGTGTGTCTGTTAGGGGTAACCTACCGCACAAACTGTCTGACAGTGATCATTCATGATTATTGTGGTGGTACAGATTTCGGCTAATCTAGCCTAGCTGTGGTCTAACAATTATACCTGGGCCCCCGGTCTATAGTGAAAATATACACTAAGTTTCACCACTCTCCATCAGTTAGAATCAAAGTTATAGTGTCCCAAAGCATCAACCAATGAAATTGCTTGCTTAGCTATGCTTAGCTTTAGTGGGAAATGTTAATCGTTGAACTCCGTAAAGACATTCACCTAATGAACATCTACATCAAGTTCAAACAATCCACTTCAATTTAAAACAGACTTGTTGTGTTCCAAAGTCTTGGCCAATCAAATTGCTTATCGCTAATTAGCCTAAGCAGAAAATACTCATTATCGAACTTTGTCCAGATATTGATGTAATGAAACTATACACCAAGTTTCACCACTCTCACTTAATTAGAACTAAAGTGATCGTGTCCCAAAGCATCAACCAATCAAATTGCTTATCTCTGCTTACCCTAAGCAGAAAATGCTTATCTTCTAACTCCCCCAAGGCATTCACCTAATGAACACCTACACCAAGTTTGAACATTCTATCTCAATCAGAAGAAGAGTTATTGTGTTCCAAAGTCTCGACCATTCAAATTGCTTATCGCTCTGCTTACCCGGAGCAGAAAATGCTCATTATCAAACTTAGTCAAGGTATTGATGTAATGAAACTATACAGCAAGTGCCATCACTCTCACTTAAAGTTGTGTCCCAAATTGCTTATTTGGCAGACAATCCATCCTGTGCGAATCATCTGGGTTGGTAATTTATTACCGAACGATGAATAACCCAGTGATTACGTTTCTAGTGTAAGGAAAGATTTGTAATATAAGAATCTTCAATGAAAAAAATGGAATTAAACAGTTAGAAGGTTTAATGGATCCATGTGATTTAAAGCGTCAACACATGGATCCAAAATTTTCACAGTCTACAACAGAATACAATACAGAACAGCTGTATTCATCCGCAAAAAAAAATAGTACCTAAAATTCATGTACATTATATAGGTTTAAACGTCAAATGAGGTCAAATGAATAGAGACGTCTTTAATATATACTAAATATTCGTATCATCCCAAATCGACAATAAAACAGTGAGAAAAAGGAAAATCTAAGTAATGGCAATCTAATTAACATAAAATTTACGACATAATGGATTCTTCAATGTTTTGATGGTGATCATGAAGAAAATAGGCCTACATCTGTTCTCAGGAATCCGATAAGATTTTCAAAAAAAAGATCAGTAGAATTATAGATTGTTATTCCACAAAGTCGAAAGGTATGTTAGATTTTTCATTCAGTCAAGTTAGAGCGAGTTTATTGCCGTACTTTGAGCTCCAAACTCGATAGATATGAAGGCGGAAGTGGCCATAATAGTTTTAGAGATCACTACGTGATGGCGCTCCTGCGTCGCGACAAACGGGGCCGATTTGTCGAGATTGTTCTCCAATAATCCACGACGTTCCCCCAGTGAGTATCCTCACAAAGCAGGAGGTCCCAGGTTCGAAACCGTAAATTTTGACCTGGAAAGTTCCTCATGCAGGACGGAACTATAGAGCTTGGCACTGAAAAGGTGTTTAATATTTCGGATGGCGTCACGTAAAAAAAAGAACCATTGACAGTAGAAATTCGACGAATAGTGGGTGAAATTCCTTTTAACACATCCTGCGTGGAGTGGACCGATTGGTTTAGAATTGTTAAACTCCATTTCATTTAATTTATGCGCAAACGCCTTTAATTTGTATTTCTATTTCTATTTTATACGCCCAGATTTCAGAGTGGGCGTATTGCATATTATATTGTCACGTCATGGTCCGTCAGCAGTTGTCTCCTTAACGCGATAGGGGCTACAATGTTTAACGGATTTCTTTTAACTTTGGGGTGAAGCAATGGGGTCATGAGAGGACGACGAATCTTGTACGAATTCCGTAGTTACCTCCTTTTACGAAAACTCTGTGAACGTGATACATGCTACAGTTTTAAACAAATTGGGTGTAAAGCATTGGGTGTCCGTGCCAGAATTTAAACATTGGGTCTCTATGCTACATTTTCATCTATATTGAAATTTGAATAGATTAACTTTAGATACGAAATTCTGCAGCTGTCGCTGTGACACCAGAAACATTTACAGGCCTATAATATAATACTGGCTATATTCATTTCAGTTGGTAACGTACCAATTACATGTATTACAAAATCAAGTCTATTTGTTTGCTCGGAATGCTCAAGTATGCATAGTATAAAAATAGAATGAAATGCAAAAATAGAATAATATAGAATAACTAAAAAGTTTAGATACATGTACGACTTTCTGCAGCTGTGACACATTTCTCGTTTAATCCGAAAACACGAACAATCAACAATGGTTTGTGACAATGAAGCGTGGGCCTACTAGCCTATGTGGAAATAAATGAAATGAAAAATGGGATTATCGTTTCTGCACCAGACTGGCTCTTTCATGTGTACACCGACGAGTGTATTCAAGGTTTTTTTTTTACTCATTTTTTTACTCATCCGAACAACTAAACACTGTAGGCTACGCCCCCTTCCTACATTACATAGGGCCTACACCACACTCAGTGATCAGGGTTAGTGATCGAGCTACACTCACTAACCATGTCTCCATATGTTAAAAAAAGAGAGAACAACACAAAGAAACTCACGCTGCCCCGTCTTACTAAATTATCTCCTGGCAGTAACTAAGGTAAAGCTGGTGAAACGCAAACTGTTATGAATTATCGCCAGAATGCGTTCACAAGACTCAAAGACTCCCGATTGATGGCTAGGGAGAATACATTTACATGAAATTAAAACTAGGTGATATGATCATTTTGTTCTGTTCAGCTGTTATATCAACAGTATTTAAAGGCATGTGCTAAATACATTTATTATTAGTGTTGAACCAATTACAAAGTGATTCTGACTTGTCGCCATTATTAATATAAAAAAAATAGGACCCACCTTCCCCGGAATAGGAACTCTTCAATTTAGAGGGAAATTACGTGTTCTGTGTACAAACACAAGTGAAGTGAAGTGTCAAGTGAAATGTATTAATTTAGTTCAACGGAATTCAGTTGTACATTATCATTGATAACTTTTTGATTACCATTTATTTTTTATGATGTTTGTGCTTTGAACGAATTTTAAACCAGACTAGAAAGGAATTAATATGATAGGGATTTTATTTTTTGGAGACACTTTGATTTCCATCATATGCATTGCATATGATTATGAATGATTAAAGTGATGTCGAGGACTTTGATTATGTTTTGAAATAATTAATATCATTCAAGATTGACATGGTCAAGAATAAAAATATTTGAAATGTCCACAGTTACTTTACACGTTGGTCAGTGTGGTAACCAAGTAGGAAAGTCATTTCTGAAGAATTTAATAGACACTGAAGAGGTCAAAGAAAGGTGTGCGATATTATTAATTACTAGTTATTAATTATAATAGGCTATAGGCCTATAGTGTGGCACATTTTAAAGGTTGCCCTCCCCACCCTCTCTCCTCTTATCCCACCCACACGCTCCACTCCCCCAGTAATTGATGCCTAAATATTAATCCTTTGGCTTCACTCATCATATTGCAATGGATTGATTAATAATCTGGCGACAAATGTTAGTTCATTGAGAAGCTATAACTTTATGAGCTGACATAAAACTCACATAGAACAAACCACAATCAGACAGCCATATTGCAGCTTTGATACTAAAGTATAGTCGAACTTGTACTTGGATCTAACTAGTTGCACCTAGTTTTAAGTTTTTGTCACTGATTCTTATTAATATGTGTTACTACTATATTGGTACTCTTAATTTTCTTGTTTTAAATTTCAGTTTAACTTACATTGATAACAGTGGAAAATTGAGATCAGTTCATGTTGATAGTGAACCAAAAGTTGTTCATAAACTTCAAAAGTCTTTATCACAAGTACGGTAAGCATCTTCATAGTTAATTAAGTTCATTCCAGCTTTAACTGTCAAAGAAAATTAAAATTAATTGAGATCTTCCTGGAGCTCATTTTAGAATGGAACCAAGTCCTATATGATACCATATTTTTAATAAGTGGTTACCAGTAAATATTTAATGGTTGCAGTAAGAATACCTCTCCAAAATAAAATTCCTGTTATTTAAGTGAGGTATTACTTACAGTACTACTAGAGCTGGGTGATATTATGGTTTTTCGATATAGAACCGTCACAGAGATAAAAACTGTCAAAATTACCATCTTCAGAAAAATACCGAAAAACAGAACATACAGCGATATATCGCAGTTTTGATTTTTGTGGATGATATTTAACATGAATATTAAAAAAAAATTCTTCCTTTTTATGTTATTTACGATATTTTATTGCTTAATGATGAATACATGTACATACCGTTATAAACTTCCGAGTGTTTCATTTAGTTTGCAAAACCCACTAAAGAGCTTTTTTTCATCATGTGACTTCTTGCTCACTTTTTTCACCTGACTGAATTATCCTTGCTCTGTTGATTTTCACCCAGCTCTATACAGTAGTAATCTATAAATATTTATCGGTAAACTTTTGACATATATCATCTATGTTATTGTTGATACTTGATAACCACTTAATCTATTGAATATACAATAACAATAACATAGTCATCATTTACAGTTAATTAATAATACAAACTGTGATTCATCCTGAGCTGAAGCCCTACTGAAATCAAACTAAGCAATTGACCAGAAACCGAAATATTTTACTTAGCACTCATGACTTACAAAGTTAAACATACATGGTGGGATATACATGTATCTGTATACAAATTATGATATTTTATGTCATATACCTAATTTAACGTTGTCGATATAAAAATTAGAGTATTAGTTAATATTCTCTTGTATTCATTTGCTTTGTATTTTGATGTTTATTTACAGAGAGAAGAATATAATATGTGGCAAGAGAGGAAGGGGAACAAATTGGGCTTTAGGTGAAGTCTTTATATTTTTAAGGTGCTTCTGCGCTAGAAGATGAAATAACATGTACAAATAAGTAGTAAAGGCAAAGAACATCGTGATTTTACTTAAAAGTTTAGAGATTTTAAACAAAATAAAGCCTACTGGTCCTTCATAAAACACCTTTGGTACAGTTATAACATGTTTTTGAGAAAACTTACCAAACAAAGAATACACACAGTGTTATTCGTTTTTAACCCATCTGTTAATTATAACCCCTAGCGATAATTAATTCAATTTTCAGCCAGTTTTCTCACCCATGTTAATTAATGCACCTTATCTAAAGATTTTAGCCTCTTTGTATTAGATTTGTTGCAATAATTAGAAATTTACCCTAAATGTACAAAAATCACCTTTTTCACTTTCCTGTGATAGTTCACTAGACTAAATTGACTAATTTTTTTATCAAGAGTACGTGACAAGGAGTAGGGTCGCCTGTCCAACCTCGTGGGTTTTCTTCGGGTCCTCCGGTTTCCTCCCACTGCTAAAGACCCCTACACGCAAGCGAATTAATGAAATAAAATTGAACCATGTGTTAGTCCCGAAATGACCTAGTTTGTGTCGAGTCGACGTTAAGCCCCATTTCTCTCTCTCTCTCTTTTTTATCAAGATCTCGAAGTATTAAATTTGAATAGTTTTGGCCTCATTCATAATCCCTTGTCTAATAATATAATGAGTTTTATGTCGTTATCAAGACCTTGAAAAACTCAAAATTAAATTGTTTTGGTCGCATTCATAATAACTTGCCTGACAATATAAAGAGTTTGGGGATGCTTAATTGTTAGTTTGAAACGTACCAAATTGACGAAATTGTTATCAAGTAATGTCATAGTTCTTTTAGTCCCGACAACTGAGGTGTAGTGATGTATTTAAACACAACAAATAGGTTTCAGCTGCCAGGGTTAGTTGAGATATTTTCTTATGTTGTCAGCACATGTGTTGTAGCCAGAAATCCCCCTTTTCAATTGCCCGAGTGTCACTTTTGAGAGAATTCAATTCCCTTTGATGTCATTACATTAAGGAATAAAATTGATTTATTTGACAGGTTATTATGGATTAAAGTCTGAGACAGAAAATAACCTTGTAGAAGATACAACTGAAGCTTTGAGAAAAGAAATTGAAAGGTAATTAATTGTACTTGGTAATTGCAGTAATTTCTAGGAATCTTGAGTTTGAAATTTCAAATTCCTGTAAGAAACATCAAATTGTTATTGATGACCAAAAGTCACCTCAAGCAATTAAATTTGTGATTCATTTAAATGCATAACAGGGTTGATGGAACTGGATATAGGATGGATCACATTCTTTTTAAATTTACCATAAGTTTTCAAATTTGTCTGTTTTATATAATTATCTCAAATTACCTAAGCCATTATCTCTGAAGTTGATACAGTACTAGATTATGAAAATGAAATGAGTTTTTTGTTTAATGTCCTGCTTTTCTGCACTGATTGGCTATTGGTGAGAAATGGTTACATTGGGTTTGCTTTTACGAAATGAAAGACACATGAATTTAAGATCATAACAACTATTGGTGCATGTCTTGTGTACTGAATATATTTATTTTGTCTCTTGTATTTAAGATGTGACAGTTATTGTGGTGTTGTTCTAATGCACAGTTTAAGTGGAGGTACTGGATCAGGTAAATGGAAATTATAAGTGACATCTTTTTGGGGATTTTGTTCTCTAGGGAACTGATGAAGGAACAGTCATAGAGTTTTTTTTTAAAATTCTGATTAAAGGATCAGGAAACAGCATAGCTGTGTTTCAAAAATCCTTTTTATTATTTGACAGCTGTTTTGCACTCTTAGAAATAGGATAGACTTTTTAAAATGAATTTAACTTTGAAAGTATATAAAGTAAAAGATCCTTTCTTTTATTTTTTTAGGATTAGGATCAAGACTATGTGAAGTAATCCGAGATGACTATCCTATGAATTATCTGTTATCTTGTACATTTGCACCATTTTCTAGTGGTGAAAGTCCACTACAGCATTATAATAGTTTGTTAACATTATCAGCCTTGCAAAGGTAAATCTTTAAAAGTACGAGAATGTCTTTAGAATTGCAGACCAAGAACTAGATTCAAATATCAAAGTAAATTAAAAGTTGTTGGACACACAAACTTAATCTTTGTACAGATTGCTATATCCTTTATCATCCAACAAAAACTACCCCAAATTCACCAATATTAAAACATGGATAGTAATAATTTTCATCAGTTGTTTTTACTTACACATCTCTTGTTTCAGTTTTCAAGTATGTCATTTACTCATTTTTGATTAAAAATTGAATGATAGTAAAGCTTGGGCAATAACTGTTGGCTGATTAAATATGTAGCCTCAACCCTACCGATGTACACATGCAGATGTCTTATTTAGAAATAATGACTTTAAATTTAGATAAATTTGATTAAAGTCGTGTGGTAATTATCAGGTGTTCGTGGGTTAGATAAGATATCATTACTAACCCTGACATAATATCAGTCCCATTAAACATACATTATGCAAGAACTAAATCTGCCTATTGCAGGTCTTCCTTAGGCCTGATGTTATCTAAATTATTAATTAGACATTAATTAACTTATCCAGACTATAATCAACTCTCGATGGCATCGTTAGCCTGCATGTTTATTGGATTGGGTTCCGATTTCCTGTTCGACTTCCATTCATAATTTAATCATTAAATGGATAATCAAGACTATGTTTTTTATCGTACTGACTTTAGTAGTGATGATCAAGGCTAGCTCCAAAATTCAATCGCTAAAATCTCGGTTCAGAATGGTTCAATTTAACTAAAATTTTCAGAAAATTCCCTTTACATTATTTAGTTTTTAACTATTATAGTGAGAACTACCAGCTCTTTATCTAATCTCCCATAATGTATCTTTAAGTACTGTGTGAGCCTTCATAAATTTCAAACAGATTTATTTGATTATGAACAAACTACTAATAATGGTTATTAAAAACTTACATACATGTAGGTGTTTGAAATCACCACCGGTATGTGTTTGAAATCCCTTCCAGTTAAATAAATACCAGTGTACAATCAGTAGCGGATTATCAGTGAGGCTGATGAGGCTGCAGCCTCAGGCCCAAAGATTTTGTAAAAAAAATTTTTTTAGGCTTGTCTGATACGATTAAAAACGCATAGACAATGAATGTTAGGGGGTGGGGTTTAGGCCTAACGAAAATCAACATAGGCCCTCACCCGAAATTAATTAGGCCCACGCCATTTTAAATAATATTATAACCTCAGTAACGAATCCCGTTTTTAATGTTAGCAACTACCTTGGCTCTAACTTAAAAAACTAAATAGGCCCTCCAGCAACTGCCACCTCAGACCTTGGTGGAGCTTAATCCGCCACTGTGTACAATTAGATATCCCATATTTTCTATTCGTTGGGATAATTGTAAAATGGATTTTATATAACCTGAGGTGATTTGAAACACATGTAAGTTTTTAATAACCGTTATGATGTAGTTTGTTCATAATCAAAGAAATCTGTTTGACACAGTAATCAACAACTTTGACAGATACAAACAATTATTGCCACATTAAATCAAAGGGATCATTGCAAAAATAACTAACAATCACAAAATGTCTCGCAGAATACACATGAGTTTGTATTCAAACAAAACAGAGCGAAACGCAACTCGGATGTCACAATTGCATTTGACAATGACTGGATTAAATTAATAAATTGTCTATTATAGATACAGTGATGGTATTATATTAACATATAATGATGAGATTCTGTATCGTCTACAGAAACAGGCATCTGATAATATTGTTTCCATGGAGAATATCAACCAACAGACCAGTAAAAACTTGTGTGGCGTATTTTTACCAACAGATACTCTCAGACCTCAAAGGTATTCAAACTTTTAAAAAATGTTTGCAGAACTGTAAAACATGGACTGTGAATTTAATACACATAATTCCTAATGATTCGAAAATTTAATGAAATATGGAATTCGCACTAACAAAGACAGTTTTGTGAAATAATTGTGATGGGTTGATGGTTAATCTACCAGGCTGCTCTTTGTCTTTGGTGGGACTTAAACAGAAGGACTTGGGATCGAAACTACATAAAACTTTTCCTCTTTTTTGGTCAGACTTAAACAGAATGTTTTGTGTTTTAATCCCAATGGCAGTATATTTCATTATACAATATTTTTGTCCAAACTAAACCAGACTGAAAATTCTTTAATGGGAGATTATAAATTTTATTAAAATTTTATTAAATCAAACAAGAGCCCATATTCCCATTGACAGATTTCACAAAGAAGTAGATGATATCACTACATGACTCTAATCTTTATTATAGTGGATTAACTATCGGCAGTGAACCTTGGGAATTATTGAGATCAACTTGTCCAATGCCATCAACCAAGTTTATACATATAAATCATAAAGCCAAAAGGTAAAATACATTTTATTGTTGAAATCATTGTAGTTTAGCATACTATGAAGTTGCAGGTTATAGGAAAACTGATACAGTTAGTAGATCTTCTTAATACTCTTAAAATGTCGAAAAATTGAATGTAAATTGATGGTTTGAGTGTGACATGTACACCATGTCCACTTTATTTTGAGCAATATAGAAAGCCATGTCCACTGTATGCGAGGGCTGACTGGACTTACAGGCATTTGGACAATGCACAGTGTGTTGGGACTTCCAGTTAAAAAATGAGCACTCTGCGGAATAAAAATGATTAATGAATAATGGGCTGACATATAGTAGGTCAAGGTGAAGGATGCCCGGGCTGATTTCATTGAAGTCATAGTCCACTACTGACATCATAAGCCATGTCCACTCTTTGTCTATTGCAAGTCCTGTCCACTCTATGTCTATTGTAAGCCGTCTATGTCTACTGTAAGCCATGCACATCTCTTTTCCTCAATGCATCTCCAAGTATGAACAATTCCTGTGATAAAGTAGCAGGAAATGGCATAAATGTATTCATATATAAAATACTATTTTCAGCAAAGTGTCATGGGAGAATCTGATTGGTTTATCTTTACAGAATTTAACTAAGCACAACAAACAAGGTGAACCTGTATCTTTTACCAAAATATTACCAGCTTGTTTTAACATAATCATGTTTGTTTTCATTGATATAACTTCTATACAGTAGATTTTTGGTATACAATCATTTTAGCAGAATTACCAAGTATTTAACAATAGATTGGTATAGAACTGCAAAACAGATGACACAATTATATGGAATACAAGTTACTTATGAGTTTATTTCTGGGGATGTTTCAGCATTTATCAAGCAAAGAATGACAACCATAGTACAGTGTAAAATTGAATATGAAAATAAACAAATATTTTGCTTCAGATGGATAGAAACAAGACTGATAGAATGTCAGTAAGAAAGACCCCAGCCCCCCCCCCACCCTAAAGTAAACTTGCCGATTGATCAAAAAGTAGATATGTGTTCAGATCACTGGTTTGACCCTTAACATTTTCTCAGTTTGGTTGTTTGTCAGGTGTGGCTATTGGTCGAGGGGATCAATCAGGATTGTTTCATCAAGCATTAGAGAAAGGTTTTAGTCAGAGAATTAGAACAAGTTACAATTGTGTCAAATGGAACCCCTTCCCTCTAGACACTTGGTCAGGTAATTATATTTATGTTAAGTTTATGAAGAGGGGGTATACAGTTCACTGAATTAAAATTATTATTAATATTTTTTATACATCCATATTTTATATGGGACTATAATATCACCACCCATGTTTGATGGTCTGTCTGTCCAATATACAATTCACTTCAGTATTGAGTTTCTGAGATTTAAAAAAAAAACAAAAAAAAAAACATGTATAGATTTGGTTAGTCATGAAAGACTGTGCTGACATCAACATTGCATTATCTGGCAGCATTTAACTGAATAAACTTTTTGATTGCATTAACAAGTTTGATTCAGCAATTCAAAAAATCACAAACTTTCCAACAAGATTTTTTTTTTTTTTTTAAGACTTTTTTGAGTGATTTAACAAATTTACATTTTTTTTTAGCTAAACAGAAAATTGTACAAGGAAAGGAGAATTTTTCATCTATTACAATAGCAGCTAATTACAGTAATATTGTAGAGTATTTATCAACAGTCCGATATAAAGCTAAACTTATGTATGATAATCAAGCCTATCTACATTGGTATTGGAGATATGGTGCCACTCAGGTACATTGTATGGAAAATATGTGACCTGTCACAGCAATATAATGAGTCACAAGGCATTGTTTATGATGATAATACATGAATATAATTTAATGTTGAAATAGACTTAAAATATAAAAACAAATTTGCTTTATTGATCAAAACTAAACTTTTACCTTTTGTATTATATCATTTAAGATATTTTTAGCCTATTTTAACAATTTTGTTCATATCGTAAAAGATTTGCGACTCGTTTTGCTATCGTGGGTAACATATAGTTCAAAAAAGTTAATTTAGAAATTATTGTTTACTTTAGATATATTAAACTTAAAGAATTTCATTTAAAACATCATTCAGTAGGCTTGTGTGTTGAAATGAACTTGTTGGGTGAATGTGCAACTCTTTTTGAGGTGGTACATCTATCAGTAAATTAAATTCAGTGGGGGAAGTACATCCAGTTGCCAAATAAAAATCAAGTGATCTTTCAGATTCCCAAAGAAGTAACTATATAAAAATTATCTGTAAATTAGAAGGGTAAATTGTAAATTTTTGTGGATATGTTAATGATATTAGCAAGGTATGCATTTGTTTACACACCTTACCTGGATTTGTTCTATTACAGGATCTATTTGAAGAAGCTTTCAATACAGTTGATGGGATCATAGAGGATTATAAAGCTGCTGTTAGCTGATACGGTACCAGAAAATCACATGGATATGAAAATATAAAATCACAATATCCCAGGATAGCTGTGGGATTACTCCCTGATTTAAATTCCCTGTTCTTTAATTAAAGTTATGGGAGATTAAAGAAAGAGTTGGCATTTTTCACTATAATAGTTAAAAACCAGATATTGTAAAGGGAATTTGCTGAAAATTTCAGTCAAATTGATCCACTCTGAATCAAGAATTTAGCGATTGAATTTTCGGCCTAGCCTTGATCATCATTACTAAAGTCGGTACGATAAAAAACATAGTCTCAATTATCCATTTCATGATTAAATCATGAATGAAAGTTGAGCAGCAGATCGGAATCCAGTAACATTGAGAATTGATTATGGTCTGGATGAGTTAATTAATGTCTAATTAATAATTTAGATAACATTTCAGGCGTAAATCAGACCTGCAATAGGCAGATTTAGCCCTTGCATAATGTATGTTTAACTTAACTTATAATGATCTCATTTGAACTAAAATCCTAGCATAATCAGCCAATGAAAAGTCAGCAGTATTATAATTTTGTTAGTTAATTAAATTGCTTAGAAATATGAAATGAAAATGAAAAATAAATGAAAAGGGGTTTAATGTCCTACTGTTCTGCTCCAACTGGGCTAATGAAGATGGGCATACGTCATACAGTGTGCTCTGAGGGAAATTTTGCCCGGACAGCACCGCTATGGCCTACTCTTATATCGAATTCCAACTGCCAAGGGATCCTTTACGTGCACGCCATTGTGTACACAGGACCACAGTTTTTTGTCCCATCCGAACGATTAGACCGCTGTCCTTGTCAGGCCCTCCGTCCTGCACCATTGACAAGGGAAACCATGCTAAAAACTTAGAAATATGAAACAGGTAGATAAAATTCTGAACAACAGTGTATCCCTTCTTGTGAACATTTTGACTACACAATGTTATTATTTGATGTGTTTGGAATTTATGTGGGTTGTTTAAATAAGTTTATAAATCCTGTTGAATTTCAACAGTGCCTGTTAAGTTCTAGAGTTATGGCCCATGTAAAATCTTGTGAATGCCCTTGAAACAAATGTAATCCAATCTGCTTGGAATTTATGTGAATTATTCAGGTTGAAATGAAGAATCCTATTGAAATTCATAACTCCTTCTGTCCAGTTAATGAAAATTGTCCGATTTTATTGAAATTTATATGCATTGTTCATTCATACTGGTGAAACAATTTCTGATAATTACTTAAAAAGTTATTGCCCCGGATAATGTTATAGAACCTTGTCAATGTGCCAATAATGTTATACAGTATAATGATTCTGCTTTTTATTTACTTAAGATTCACAACATGACAACCTTTTGGGGACTCGATGGAGGACTTAGCTGCAGTGGGATTGTGTTTCACTTACATACTTTCTACCTTGTACAACCCAAACTACAGATTGTTTCGTCTTTATTTAACATCTGGGGGAACTGTCAATCACTGTTTATAGACAAAAGTGGTGTGTTTTCAACAATCTTTTAACTCTTTAGTTCAATAAAGGTGGAATCCCAATTTTTTGGTGTATAGTTCTATTAAGTCCATACATGCAGAGTGATAAGCAGTTTGTTTTAGATGCTTTATAAAAAGATAATTATACAAGTAATTATAATGAGTCAGACTGTCATCTAATTATTTTTGGATTGAGGCAAGGGACATTAGCATGTATTATTCCTTTTATGGAAAAAACATCTTGCTTAAACTTCAGGAATAACAGCTTAATGACATATAAATGTTGCTTAAAGGGACTATCCCGATTTCAAAAGAGTCTCAAAAATAAAAGTCGGAGTACGTATGAAATTTAAGCGCCAAAATATAGAGGAATGGTGTATTTACCTTCTCTCAAAATTCCAGCTCAAAATATTAAGTCGTTTGGACATGAACGTCAAAACTGCTTATCCGGACACGTAACCCTTTTAAGATTTCGGGTCAGTTTTTTCGTTGGGTGACCTGATAATCGATTCCCGTTCCTTGAGAGGTCTATATAGTGAATGACCCGTGTGCTCTACTTGATAATGAAAGGTAAATTTCACCTACACATTATTATTATAAAATAAAAGTCTAGTTTTATGCACACACCGCATAATACAGCTTGGGACACCGGTCTCCATTTCCAGATGAAGACTGACGGGTTTAAGTTGTTTGAAAACGTATCACAAATATGGAGTTAGTTGCTCGGCCCTTAGCTAGAGGAATTTAAGGGATTTTAACACAAAATTAAGCATTTTTATTCTCAAAAAAATATCGGGATTCGCCCTTTAAGGCATTTGTCACATCCAGATTATATTTATACATGTAATATTGATTGTAAGAATGGGTGATTGATAGTTGAGTGTGATAATAATACAAATATAGGTTTTATGCAAATTACCCACAAAGTGATTCTTCATTGTGGCTGTTGTCTTTGGATTAGAGATTGCCTTTAAAACAGTTGAAATAACTAGGCATGTACTGTAGTAATTTGTACATGTAGACCTAGTTAATAAAACATGACTCTATAATACATTTTAATTTAGGATTTTATTATTGTTAATGATATTTATTTATTTCTGTATTTTATTTTTATAAATAAATCATCTAAAGAAAATGCTTGATTTCTTAATTTTGCTTCCCTCAGTGCTGTGGGAGATGAATTTATAATATACTGGTATAAAGGCCTGTACACGTATGCAAAATGGATAATTTGTCGAAATTTTTACATCACCGATGATAAAGTAAAACACAGAGGAGTCATTCATTGTAGCATTGTATTCAGTCTTTATCAAAAGATTTGCATAGTTGCATACTATGTAACTTTGTAAGTGAATTAAATAAGTAGACTAAGTATTGCATCACATGCCTATCGGTTGTTAAAATGTGCTGTAAGGTTGACGTATCATTGATTACCAGTCTCGTTTTGGTTCCAACAAAACGCTGTTAAATCTGTGTCGGTCTGGTCGGTTAATTATTAATATGTCGTAATGTTACGACCTTCGCGGATATGACTTAATGCCCCCCCCCCCCTTTTTAATCACTGACCGACTTCAAATTAGGTTTGATGTAGTTACACAGTTACATTTAGTTGTGTGGAATAATACTGCCTAAGGTCCATGGTGTGACGAACAACTGACCCCCCCCCCCCCACACACACACCCCCACACACACACACCCCTGCTCATGGCCCCAGGTGTCATCTAAGGGGTTTATCTTTTGGAATTAGGAGAACCTGAAAAAAGGATGTATGTTTAAAATTAATAAAAAGCAGGGTAGACCTAGATCTAACATCATTTATTTAAATGAAAGGGCACTTAAATCATGTAGACTAGCCTCCTTCTTTGTACAAATTATAATGGCATTTGATTTTTAACAATGATTTATAACTATTTAGACTGATACTGAACTGTAGCCGCATTTAATTCAATACCGTACGTATTATCTATGAAATGATCAGTCAAATGAAAGCAGAACCAAAGCTAGGAGTCGCAAGATTAAATAAGTCTGATAATTATTTTTTGCCGTCTCGATATAATTGTTAACAGACACATGTTGAATATAAAAGTAATGTACATTTTTTACGAACAAAATTGGTTACATTAAAATACAGGTCAGTTGTTCGTCACACCATGGACCTTATAAGGTTTCTATCGTTGACTGATATTTACGGTTTGCGCGGCTCCGTTTTCATCGCTACTTATCTTTGATCATTGGCATTATGACGTCACGTGGCGGGAAATTATGCTTAGCAATATGGCGGATCAGTTGTCGAGCTCTTCGCGGAGAGAGACAATGGCGTTATTAGGTTTATGTTAAAAAATGTATTACAAGGCCGTTTGGCAATTAATGATTTAATAGACAGTTTGTAGGTGGGTATACAGTAGAGAAAAAAACGGTGTTAAAATTTAAAATACTAGACTAGTTATTTCCAGTATACCAATGGCAAAATGAGGACAAATTTACGCCAGTAATTGCATCCACAAATCTGGTACGGTACCCAGAAATAACTAAGATCATTCTCTGTTTTTAAAGATAACTAAATAATAAAATAAAATTGCCTTTATTCAATTAACATATTTTTGTACCATAAGTTTTAGTCAATAGTATAGGCCTAGTCTAGTAGGATCAAAATTTATCTTCCTCCAGTGCATAAAAATTCTCTCGGCGGCCATTTATAATAACTCATAATTACCGGTACGATACCTGTATATCAAATGTAAATGGACAAAAATAAGCGGCATGTTTCTAGTTATTCACAAAATCTGGAAGTTTCTTAAATCCTGATTTTAGAAAGGGGGAGACTAAATTTATTGTTTCACACTCAGTGGTTTTTTTGCAGGGTAGCCTAATTACCAGGGCCCACCCATCTAAATCTGGCAACTTATTTACAAATTGCAGTACCACTGTGTCTTATTGTGTTCCACAGACAGAATAATAAACAGTAGCCATGAGGATGCTGCAAGAATCAAGTGGTGATTTTGAAACCTTAAATTCAAGTCGATGGGACAAGTTAAAGCCATGGTCTAAAGTGCGAACAGAAATAGAAGAAAGTTTATTAGAACCAGACAAGTTCGATCATAATATAACTTTAAGTCATGGACCACAGGTACAGATTAATCCTATTTTTTAATTATAAAATATTTCTGTGGAAATATTTGATGCATGATAATTGTATGAGTTTTTGTCTGGGGAGATCTTTGAGCAAAAGGTCAAATGATGGATCCGCAACGAAGGCTGTGGTATCCGTGTGTCCTTGAAAAAACCAATCCGTTCCGCCCAGTTGTGTCTGCCGAATAGGCCTATAGTGCAAGGTTATTTAATGCAGCTTGGTTCCGTATTCACCCTTGACATAGTGCTGTTTGTACATGGATGTATACACATCACTGGATGTAACTAATCAAACGAGTCATTTTTTTTGTAAGATATTTAACTGCTCAACGTTCGGGCAAAGACAGTTTTAGCAGTCAAGATTTCAATAGTCAGTTCCAGATCAGGTCAAGTGAAAATATCACTCCAGTATTGAAATCAATGGTAAAATAGATCTGCAGCATGAGTCAAGTTGCTGTTGAATTTTGAATTCATTACTTTTGCAGGGAAATTAAAATAAGAGCAATCAAATATTTCATAGTCATCGGTTTCAACCTGCATACTCAACCTATGAGTTTGGAAAATGGTCTTGATCATCCAGTGTACAAAATCATAATGTAATCCGAAAGACTAGATTAGCAGATATGTGTGTGTTTTGTTACGTTATGCTAATCGTTATGTTGAGGCTCTGAAGCTGATGGGTGCAAGATATGCTGGCGCTGATGATTATCGCTCTTCCAATTACACAGTACATGATACATTGTAGTACTTGCCATTATTATTGTGAAAATATTTTAATCCTTGTATATTATTATTGTTATTTATAGCTCCTCCATACTATGAGACATTCAAATCCTGTACGATGTATGACACATTATACAGGTCAGAAAGGTGAAGTGTTTACAACACATGGTTGTCATGGTTCCTGTAGTCATATCTCTATATGGACTTTAGAAACTGATAATACCGTCAGTTTAAGAAGGTATTGAATTTTCTTTTTAAAAAAGTGTTGATTTATTTTTATACGCTCACATTTTTATGTGGACGTATATTGTCGCCACTCCTGTCTTTATGTCCGTCTGCCAACAATTTGTTTGTGGACACTCTACAGGTCACAATTCTCATCCAATTTCCACGAAACTTGAAATATAGGCTTATCTCCAAAAAATCTTGGTTCCGTTAGCTTGTGGACACTCTAGACGTCATAATTTTTATCTGATTTAAAAACAAATGTATCACCCTTGCACCATAATGACCGAAATCGGACCGAAACTTCTGGACAAAATGGTTGCTACTTGTATGCAAATAGTATTAAAGTATGTAATATCAAGGTTGTGGACCCTCTAGAGGTCACAATTTTTATCCGATTGTGATGGAACTTCAAATATATGTTTATATTCCAAAGATCTTGGTTTCTTTCGATATTCGCACATATCAGACCATAAATTCCTGGATTATGGCCCCTGATTGTATGAAAAATCATGTTTTTAGGTTGTGGACCCTCTAAAGATCACAATTTTTATCCGATTTTGATGAAACTTAAAATATATGTTTATATCCTGAAGATCTCGGTTCCTCTCCATATTTACGCATATCCGACCGTAACTTCCTGGATTAATTGCCCCTGATTGTATGAAAAATCTCTTGAGCTTGTTCTCTGTCCATCTCTTGCAAAATATGAGCGTATCTTGCATGGCAACCGCTTGTTTTTTATGTTTTGAAATGAATGATATGAAATGGGGTTTACTCTACTTCTGCACCCTCCGACTTTTGAAAGTCACAATGTAGACTAAGTAGGAAAAGATCATATTTGAATTATGGTCAAATGGAAGACATCTCAGATCCAGGGTTATAAATTTATACATGGGTAAATAGACTAGCATTAGACCTCACTATTATAGTCTGCCTAATTTTTTCACTGAAGCTATATTGCTTTCTCTTCTTTGTTCCACCAAGATCTTCTTTGTATAGTGGTAGGTGTTGGGTGGTCGAGTTGTCTAATGCTTGCTCTTTAAATCATAATATCTGTCATTTTCTCAAGGGGAATGGCTTTTATCTCAAGCTTGTATGTGACAAGGAGTAGGGTTACAGGCATGAAATTGTGGACTTTCTCTGGGTTTACAGGTTTCTTCCAACTGCTATAGATCTAATGCGAATTATTGAAATAAAAAGGTACTATTTTAGTCCTGCAATGACCCATTTGTGTCAAGTTACACCCCATTTCTCTCTCCATAATCCTTTATGGTTGTTTGACTCCATCTTCATTTCTTTTACTTAACCTCATTGTTCCTCCCAGGCAAGCCTTGAAATAACTGCTAAGGTTCAGCCTGACATCATGTCAGGCTGAACTGATTTTCGGCCGGACATTTCAGATTTTCAGCCTGACAAATACTTTATAAAGTATATTAAACCAAAAAACTGTTGAAATTTACTATGTTTATATATATTATTATACATACATTTATTAATAAAATAAATTGATGACTCACATACAACCTGGAGTTTTAAGTTTTTATATGTATATGGAATACAACTTTATAGTTCATATAATAATGTCATTAATCTCTTTGGTGGGGCTGGGGACTAAATCCTAAAAACTCTGATTAAGATTCAAATTTAACTAAAGAATAGACATCTTGAGTTGTCGTAAATGGTTCAGAATCTGCCAAGTCATTTTTGATCCACTTTTCTAGTTCTACGGCTCGTTTTTGTATTTTTCCAACTGGTGACGGCGACGCCCCCCGTTTAGAAGTGTCTTTATGAGAGACATAAGATTAAGACACAGTACCAGTCTTTGAATTTTCTGGAACGGTCCCACTAGCCGGGATATCCGTGTCCGAGGGTTGGGAAAAGTAAGAAGTTATTTTATTCGACATGTTTTCACGGCTCTTCTATTTACATTCACATTGGAAGTGTCCAACAAAGTGAGATATTTTCGTATAAAAAATCTGTCCCTAATTACATCCATAGTCAACTTGGACATTTTCTTGTAAACTAATTTTAAAATATTATTACTTTTAT